TATAAAAAACTAATCTGCACCTTATGGTTTCCCATTTAAAAAAGTAGCAGATAATCAAATTTGTATTGTGAATTTCTCCATCTTACCAAGGTCCTTTACTTGATCTAGTGCAAAAGTGGCACTTTTGTAAATTTTATCTCTAACATTTTTCGAAAAACAAAGATTTAATTATGTGACTATTTCCTACAAAACTATAATAGAAAGCGATCATTAGGCATTGGGTAAGTACCTTTTTTTTTTTAATTTTATGTGAATTTTTAATTTATTATGAGATAATAAAAAATAAAAATTTTATTGAAGATCTTTTTCTAATTTCTTGTTCTTTTCAATTGATAGTTTACAACTATTTTCAGCAATTCACAATCTTTTTTCTTAACTTTTTGTCTCATACATGTTTACATTAAAATAAAAATTGATTATATCTATGCTTATTTATCCTATTATATATTTAAAATAATAATGATTTTAATGAATTATTTTAAAAATTGTACAAAAGTATATCATAAAATTTATTTTGAATCACATAAAGTAGAAAGTAGACATTTTTATTTAATAAATAAGATGAATTTCTTAATGTTTGATTTAATTGAGTTTATCTCAAGATTAGGATTCTCTCCAATAAAAAAAATAGTATAATTAAATAATGTGTGTCATTCAATCTTTCATTTCATGTCTCATTGAACTATATTCAATATGTACAAATTTAAAGTACCGATACCTAATTGAAAAAATTTCAGATCACTCAATTATACCTTAATCCAAAATAAAGTCCCTTAAAAATACACAGAACATCAAGTTATTCTAAAAAAATTGTGAATATCAATTTAATTCTTCATAGTGTATAAAATAAATTAAACATCAATCCATCGATCAATCAGATTTCCAATTACATTGATGTATAATATATTTATAGCCGGGACCAAAATAATAGTATCACACACACATATATTTATTCCACGGAAAAATTAATTATTTTTTGGCAAGATAAACTTAAAAAAAAAAAAGAATCATGTTCATTATATTTTTATCTGATTTTCACTCTAATTATTCAACCTACTTCTTTATCATGTCCCTAATAAATATATTGTATACTTTTTGAGAACTAAATTACTATTTAAAACATTTAGATGATCAAATTAATATCCCTTATATCTTTTGAAAGCCATTTTGTACCAATCAAATAATTTTTTATCAGTAAAATAAACGCAAAATGAATCTTTTTTGTCGAATTTTCAGTCTAATTTGTCAATTACTTTTCTGTATCATGTCTTTTTTATTCATAGCAAAAAAAATAAAAAAGGTTATTGTCAATTTATCGGCATTAATCAATGAAAATGACATGATTTTGGAGATTTTAAGGTCCTAGGTATATGCATAAAATGACAAAAAAATATTTCTACTCCGGGAGTAACCTATTGTTAGCTAATGACAGCATTTCTTTGTCCCTTTCTCCTATCAATCTGAAAACCAGCACTAGCACTGCAATCGTATATTTACACACACACACCATACCCCTTTTTTGTTGCCTTCAAGCTTGCACTTCTTGTTCACCATTGATACTCCCCTTCCCTCTATGATGAGCCAGAAAAGCAGTAACAAGAAAATGAGAAAGGGTTTCATGTGCCACTCTCAGGCATCCATAGCAGTGTGCATGAGTACCCGTGATCCTCGATCTGTAGTTGTGCCTAGGAGGCTTGACAAAAGTGTTTTTCTTGATGATACCAGGTTGATCAACTATGCCAAGTACTCCAAACTTGTTCACTCTCCCATGCCTAATCGCATTCCAAAGATCAAGCTTCGTGGACAGGATCAAGATCAAGCCAATAAACCAAAGGAACTTCAAAAAACACCTACAGATAATGTCTTTCAGGTTAGTAAGTTCACATATTCTCCTCCACCAAGTGAGATATGCAAATGTCATTTTGTCATCAACTCATTTTCCTTTATATATTGTTTATCTTATGGAGTTTCATAAATTAAACTCCTTTCTCTTTGCTGTTTTCATAACACTAATTATCAAGGAAATGAGTAATTATTCTATGGTAGTAGTTCAAAATTTTAAATTAATGTTATTGAAACGAGTAATGCTGTATACACATTTGTTTCTCTCAACAATGCTTACGTCAAGAAAAGAGATAAGGAGATAAGAAATAGAAATGAGGGATGAGATTAATGGTGGAGCATGCAGAGATAAAGAGAAAACAGTATTGTAAAAATTGATGTGAAAAAAGTGTTGTAGGAATAATATTGTAGTAAATTACATTCACACTTCTTGATATTTAATTATATAATAAAGAAAAATATAATATTATATTATTACATAAACTAAAAAAATTATATAGAATAAAAAATGAAAGATATTAACTTTATTAAGCTTCACAGATGTGTTTATCTAATGATCAAGAAAGCAATCAAAATAAAATGTCATAAAAACAGGTCTATAAAGAATATATGAAATGGAAGTAGAGAATGGATTTTAGACTGATCATCATTCATAAATGTAGGTATATTGCTGCCTTTTCTACTACAGTAGGTATGGGGTCAACACAACTCACTAGACACTATTCCATTTTAACCTTTAATTTGATTATTTGTTAGATGAAGAGAATGGCTAGGACTATACAACCGGTAGTGTCAGGTGGATTCTGCAAAGAAACAAATTATCTCCATTATTTGTCCTCCTCATATTTGTCATTTGCAGAGGTTTCAAGATGTCTCACGTGCTTATTACTTGACCCTGTCCCATGCATATTCCGTAGAGAAAGAAGAATGATTATGTCCTTTTTATGCAAATGGGTTTTTAATTATTAGGTAATACACATGGATTTGGATGGTAATATTAGAGGCCACGCCGTTTGCCTTTGTCCCTTCTGCGTAAAATAACCCCTCTGAATAATTTGTTTTCCTTTCTAATTTATGGGTATGTGTCTTAGAGGCATATGGGTCACATATTATATATATTTTGAATGGAATAATGGAATCTCATATTCAAATCTCTTCATGATGTTTATGTGATATAAAAATAGCAATAAATTTCAATGGGGATAAGAAAATTTTATACACTTCATTTGTACTCTATCATATTTGAAATTTTATTACGACAAATATTGAAAGGTGTTAAATGCAGGTTGTTGTGATGCGGGTTGCTATTCATTGTCAAGGATGCGCTGGAAAGGTGAAAAAACATCTGTCCAAGATGGAAGGTATTCATCAGTACTAGTTCTACTTGCTATATTCTCCTAATAATCTTAATAATTCTCTAAATAACCTTCTTAATATTTTATAAAATTAATATCACATAAAAGTTAATTTATTTATTATTTTAAAATATATAATGTATTTAATAGTTTATCTATTAGTAATTAAAAGAATATATAGATATAAAAAGTAACTTTTAAAATTATTCATGCTAATTATATAACTTTCAGATTCACATGGTAAAATAGAAAATAAAACATTAAATAGGTCACTTATACGACAACATTAACATTTTGGTAATCTGAAATAAAATTTATATATAGGAATACATGCTCTAAAAACACTAAGAGGAGTCAAGGTATACATATAATAATGAAGAATGACCTACTAAACTTTTTTAAGTAGGAGTTTCTGTTCTGCATTCAAGTTAATTTGGGTCCAAATGACTTAAAATTATATTTGATGTTACAGCATTTGATTTTATTTTTGTAGTTTAAAAGGTACTAACGTAATTTTAAACCTACAATATCAGGAGTTACATCATTCAGTATAGATGTAGAGTCAAAGAGGGTGACAGTGATGGGGCACATTTCTCCAGTGGCAGTTCTTGAGAGTATTTCAAAGGTGAAAAGGGCAGAGTTCTGGACTGCTTGTTAAAGCACTTCAGAGTACCTTAAAGGGAAGCACAGGAGATGCAGATGCAGAGTCAAAATGTTTGAAATAGGCCTCTTCCTTTGCATTTGTTAACATCTTCATATGGTGGTGGACCTTGTGGTCCTCAACACAATAAAATTAGGGAATTGGGTGGGCAGTAAGCTGCTCTAGTCACTTGGTACTGGTGGTGATGTTCAATGACAATTTAATGTTATCTACCCCTCATTCCACTTTGCAATTTCTTTCTTTTATGCCCCTGTAGTTCTAGTTGCATTGCTTAAAACCGTTGTGAGAAAAAGCTCTTTCAGTTCTTGACTTTGAATTCTCTTTGCCATCAAAGTACACTGATATTGAAAATTTTCATAAAAATAATACAACAAATGAATGATAGATAGTATACAGTGCCTCCGGCGTTCAATTTGTCTTACGTCAAATACAATAATCACTAGTCATATTTATTCACCAAGGACAACTATGTCAAATACAAATACTTTCTGTTATTTAAGTTTTGGATATAGTGAAGTAGTTTCTCTCGAGGTACTAAGAATATTATCATTGATTTTGGTAGGGATGGTCCTTCAAGGATGAAGAGATATAAAAAAGGATAAATAGTATCAATAAAAACACGTTAAAAAAACGTAAATTCAAAGTAAAAATTATAATTAATAGTGTTTAAATAAATGTAGCTTTAAATAATCATTCAAGCGTTAGTTCAAACATGCAAAAAAGTTAATCATTGTGATGTTTGTGTACATCCTGCGTTTATTTTTTTGGGATATTACACTTCAACCAACTGAACTGTAAGAATCTTTACCATATTACTGAACCTTAGGAATAGAACAAATTGAACTTGTATCTGATATCTAAACCATGAAATAAAAATGATTGGTTTTGTAGAGCATAAGAATTTCAATTATGTTAATAATTACATGAAGAATGTTTTAATTATGTTAATAGTATTTAAACTAAATCATTGAATGTAAACACTTGCAAAGAGTATAAAAACAAATACCGAATTATTCCGTTCATTGCTAAAAGAATGCTTATATTTGGGAAACTGCAGACCCTTCTTCCCCCAAAACCAAATCATTATAGTTAAATGTACACGAAAGAATTAACACCCAAAACTAGACCAATTGAAGAATATCACATGAAAATAGCAACAAGCTCCAGAAAATGAGTCCCTATCTTTCATGTTTTGTCCTCATTCTGCTGCCCCATGAACCCCCTTTTTGTCCCATTCGTCTACGAGACCTTTTCTTCAACTCAATCACTTGCTCTTGCAACCCATTTCCCCATTTCTCATGATGATCACCAACACTCATTTTGCTTCTCAAACCCAATTCAGTATCATACTGTGCACGGAGCATAGGATTGGACAAAGTCTTGTAAGCTGCGTTTAGCTGCACAAACATCCTTGTTGACTCCTCTTTCCTTGAAGGATCATGGCACACATCAGGATGGTACTGAAGAGCCATTGATCTATAAGCTCTCTTAATCTCATCCATTGTTGCACTTCCTGGACTCAGTGACAACATTTTATACAAGTTTCCATGTGTTGTTGTGGCTCTGCATGAAACACCAAACTTCACATTACAAGTTCTTTGCTGCTTACTTGAGAGTGGGAGGCAATGAAATTGAGAGGGCTTGCAAATGCTTAGGCTTGAGCTTAAGGATAATGCATCCATTGCTGTATTCAATTGTGTGCCTTTCTTTGATCTGAGAAAATGGGTTCATCAAATTCACTTACATTTATAAATGTGTTAAGAAGGAGCCTAGATGTTGCTACGAAGAAGCCTCGCTGTTTCTTTCAACACGTAATGATAACGATACCTATTATTTTATGTTGATTTATAATTTTCTATACACTAGTGGAAAACAACGTTGAAATTTCAAAGAAAATTTTAAGTGTTAACTTTATAATAACACCATTTTGAACCGGTCAATTATCATACATTCGATATTAATTACTTTGAAGTATAGAAAGCATTAAAATAATTTTTAACTTTCCTAACAAAGTCTTTTGTATGTACACAGTTAAGAACTAAACCCTTTATTAATATGTTTAAGGGATAAAGGCATTTACTAACTAAACTTTGTTAACAAAAGGATAACTAGTATATAATTAATTATAGCTATTACTTGAATAATTAAAGATTTGTATTGTATATAATAACTATTCCTTTATTTTTATTTATTTTATTTTTTGAAATGTTACTCATATATTTTTATTTGTTTATAGGAAAAAATTTTATTTACAATAATGTTCATGTATATATCAGTACACTTTTAGATTTATTTATTTTATTATATCGTAGCAACTTACACATTATTTATTTATTTATTTTTGTTCTTTCTTACTTCATGCAATACAGCTAGCTAACGAGTGGATGATAATCATTTTCCATATGATTAATGTATAGAATATGAACAAGCTGTGAGAAATGTAAAGTTACTAGCTAGCAACCATGTTTGACTGATTTAGTCAATGTGTTTATTTCTTAATTTTGCATAGGTGGCCGGCAGGGTCAAAGTGGATTTCAGTTGGATAAGTCCAACTGGTATTTTCCTAGGAAACAGCCCTATTAAGACAAAACTGGTTCGTGATTGGCTATTATAGAAACACCATTACACTAGTTTAGTTCAGTTTTCTTAAATTTTTTAAAATAAATTCGAATCAAACTATCTCCATTAAAATTAATTTGTTTAATTGGGTTTATATATTTTTTAAAAATTAAGTTAAAATTGCTATTAATTAAAAATAAATTTTTATTTTTAATAAAATATTTACGTTTGTTATCATATATTATAAAAAAAAAACTCCAATTTTGATTAATAAATTACACTCTTGAAATATCTGTTCTCGACCATGTTTTGCTATTTAATTTCTTCTTTTTCTAATGCTTAGAGATGTCTTTCATTTTTGCAGCATGAATTGATTACCCAGGAACACCATGCCAGAATTTTCACACTGAAGTAGAAAGAAAGGGCAACCTCAATCAGCATTTTTATTTTTATTTTTATTTTCTGTTGATTGTGGCAACTACAGTTTTGCCACCCAACACTATTGTTGGGGTATTTTATTGTTGATGCCTTAGGCCCACAGTACCACATTATTTATGTCTTGCAATACTTCATTCTTAAGTGATGTTTTTGGTTTTCACAGGCCCAAATACTTGCAAGATTTCTGCAATACTATTTTATATCATTCTATTTTTACAAATTTTTCTACCATGTTATCTTTTTCTCTCTTGGTATATAACATCATTAATCTTATCACACACTTTTCTCTATTTTCTTCCTACGTATGGTTGTTATAAAAAAATGTTGTATAATTAATCTTGTACAAAAGTAATTTCTTTTTTTTAGGGATGAGATTCTGATACTACTATTTTATATCATACTAATGTTAATGTCTTCTCATTCTTTGTGATCAATTAATATATCCCTTGATTCGGTAGGTGACTGAGACTGGTCCAATGCTAAGATATGTAGAATGTATGAAGTTTTCTCATATGGATGTATTCAGCATAATGAATGCATAGTGTGTTTAGTTTTACATTCAAATGCATATGAAATTGCGTTTACTTTAATATTATTAATTATAAGTTATACATTGAATCTAAAATTATAATTTTTTTAACACACGCATGGGTATATCTAAACATATTTTGTTGGAAGAGAAATGCTTGTGTAGCCAGGGTACTTCTTTATCTTTACCACTATTGTGTGATGAACTGTTTTTGTTGGGACTTCTTTTTGGTGATCTGCAGTGACTTCTTTAAGGTTGTCTTCCTATTCTTATCATATTTTGCAATCATGGTAGGGACACTTTTGTACACAAAATTTCAGCATAGTTGTTGATTGAGTTTAAGCCCAATAAATATATAGATAAAATAAAAAGAAAGAAATAAAAAAATAAGAGGTTAAAAAATAGAGTAAAAATAAAATTATAAAGATTTAATATTTAGATGAGTTGAAATAAAAAAAATTTGCTTATTTAAATGAATAAAAAAGAGAATAAAAAATAATTAGATTATATTAAAATAATTATAAAATTACACTAATTTCAATAAACATTTTTTATTATATTTTCTTAATAGAATTTTTTTTTTTTTGGTATTATACAAATGTTTTAACACCACTCCCCCTCCCACTTCTTTTTTCCTCTCATCTAAACACCAAATTTTCTCACTCTTTCATTTTCTTCTCTTCCCTTGTTCACTCCTTCAATCCAAACCTTGTGTAAACAATCTTATCTTACATGGCTTGACTCCTTGACCATAGTAAAAACATGGCTTGACTCAAAGTTATGATTTAAAGTATCTTATCTTTTCAATGCCAAAAGTCTAAAAAGAAAAAAAAGAAAAAAAAAAGTTAACTACATTTTTAACATTATCTTCTTAACACACTTTTTACTATTAATTAAAATTTATTAAAAGTCACAAATTTATAAATCGTACTCTTAATTCAACAATAAATTTTAACGAATTAAAAAATTGTATCGCTAACACTCTAAAAAAAGGAATTGATCATATCCTCATGCTTTTCATGATTGAAGATAACTTAAATTATTATTATTATTATTATTGACCAATTTTACATAAATTTAAACTCAAGTAAGAATTATGTTGAAAAAAATGTTGAGGATGCTCGGTCTTTCCATATTTTGTTTTCTTGAAAATTAGTGTATGCCATACTTGTGGAACCATGGCATTGCACCAACACGATTTTGCGCAATAACTATTATTAATGAGCAACTTCTTCTGTTTAAGCTTTGCAAAATAAAAGAAAAAGTTCTTGCATTGCATTGCACATTCGCTCTCTTTTTATCACGCACGCGCCGAAAAGTGGAAAGCACAGATCAATGCAGCAATGCCTTTCTGCCTAGAAAAAGGGCCACCGCATGGCAACTACACAGCTTCATTGACAATAAAGGTCAGGTCTACACCACAAATAGCACATCCACTTGGTGTGTTTGATGGCAGGTTCAAACTAGCATTAGCTAAATCATTCAAACTGGCATTAGTTAAATTAATTAAAAAATTTCAAAACACACACTACGGCACCAATGATACCTAATTTAAATCAGCCAAGCTAGCTAATGATTTTGCAAAAAGATTAGTTGTGGTGGCTATGGAAACTATGATTAAATAGGAACTCCTAGCACCATCTGGTAGTGTTCATTTGAGCCATCTTGCTACAACATATGTCCTTCCTTGTGACTGTGGCACATGTACTTGTCATAAAAAACCAACCACCACAACAACACTTGTGTTTGTTATATAATAAATAAATAGACTTATATATATGAAAAAAGGTACAACCTCAAAATAGGTTCAAGTCACTCACAGAATGAATTTTATCTACTTTTAAGTCAAACATAGAATAGCAAGATCTCCAATGGCAAAACCCAAAAAACATAAAAGTAGTCTCTTCTGTCATCTCTCTACTCTCAAAATAGCACGAAACTCATCTCAAAAGCCTGAGATTGTAGCTACCAATAGGCAAACAAGCAAGGATCCAACTGAAATTGGGAATAGTGCTGAAGCTGAGTTCCCTTGAGTTGGTGCTGGTGCTGGAGATACCTCATTTACAGGACCATTCAAACCAGCAGGAGCAGCTGCAGGAGATGTTGGAGAAGATGAAGATTGGGGAGGGAGGCCTCCAGCTAGAAATAAATAAAATAATATTTCAATTAGAAACACTAATAATGTCTGAGTCTAACACCAGAATCAAAATGATCAAGATTTTTCATACAACAAAAGTAAATTACTAATGCATACACACTATATGTGATAAAAATGAATATATAGATGGAAATCCGGCATATTTATTTGGCATGCAGAAGATATTGATGACAACTTTTGGCTTTCAAATTTTACATTTTTGTGCATCTTGAGAATACAATACATACATTACAGTACTAACAATGAAAAAAAAAGTTGCAGATTAGACCTAAATGGCTAACAGATAACAGCAAGACAATAACAATAATAGACACGCCCATATCTCTGTTTAAATTATTGACAATTCTTTAACATAATTGGCAGAATTCTTTGTAATGGCAGCAATTGGTAGACCCCATGATGTTTGGTAGACAGACAGTGCAAATAAACAGCAAGTGCAGCAGAGGCCACACAACCATACAAAAATATAATACAGTATAATGATGTTTAATTTTAAATTATCCAGAGTCTACGAAATGAATATCTAGAAGAAAACCACAAAATCGAACATAAAACATGTGATCCCCTTTGCCTTTGTAATTTTGTTCCAAAATTGAACATAAAACCACATATCAAGATTTGTAAATCATACGAAGTTAAAAAAAGAGGATGTTAAGTGATAAACATACCAGGGGCAGCAGCAGGAGTTTCAGACACTGCAAAACAACAAAGCCATGGTAACTGACATGAATACAGAAAAAAAAAAAAAAAAAAAAAAACTCCAAAAGGAAAAGGGTGAAGGGTAGGAATAAAAGATCACTCCTCAAAATCAAATGTACACAAACAAAAAAATAGGACCAGAATCTTCTCATGCACTTAATTAATAGAGCGGTGTAACAAAAAATAAGGACAAAGGCAAAATTAATAGATTTTTTAAATAAAAACTGTTGAAACCTATTGTTATTAGTCTTGAATATTTCTCACCCGTGTTAGCGAATGGCATTATGTGACTGATTCATCTCACACACCCATAAAAATGAAAACTTTGATAAACAAAACTATCCAAAACACAAATCAGAGAAAAACCCAAATGGGGGGAACAACTAAAAGCAGAAAAAACTCACATCCACAGTTAGTAGCAGAAGGAGCAGAGACTTTGCAAGCAGCAGGAAGAGTGGTGGCCTTAGTGACATTCAAGACAACACCAAACTGAGCACTGCTTTTGAATGCCTCACAGAGACACCCAGGAGCGGTTTTGAGCACAGACTTCAAGCCAGAACAACATGCACCCTCTGGTTTTGTAGTGGTACTTCCGTTTGTAACAAAGGACAAGCAATCAGCCATGGTTAACACCAGGTTTGAACAATCCACAGATGGTGCTGGGGCATTATGGGATGAAGCACCTTGACCGAGATCAATGGCCCACATCGCCAGAACAAAGAGAATCAGAGAGAACTTTGATGCCATTTCTTCAGAGAGAGAGAGAGAGAGAATGAGAAGAGTAGAGAAGCAAGAGTGAAGAAGAGGAATGAATGTATCACGCAGGAGAAAGGTTGGGTTGTAGGGAGTTAAATAAGAATGTAAAACCGGAAATGGTGACATTTTATTTTGAAAATTAGCAAAATGCAACTGAAAAATCTTTTTTATTAAAACATTGGTTGAATAATGTCTTTTTTTGTGCAAATTCAAAAACAAAATAGTCTATAAAGTGCTAATTAGAAAATATTTAGTTTGATTAATTTGAGCATAACAAGTAATGATATTTAATGATATAATAATACTAAATTAATTGACTCGATTTTGAATTAAATTGAAAAATATTTCATGTTTATTTTTATATTAATTATATACAATACTGGTTAAATAATATTCCCAAAACATTGCTTAAAAATTTGAAAAGTTTGAAGCTTTGACGAGAGTTATTATTCCAGAGAGAGAGAGAGAGAGTGGGACTTTTTTTGAAAAGGAAGCGCCGAAGGGAGAGTTACTCTGGCATGTGGCCACAGCATAAAGTGGATGAAAACGCAGGTGTCCACGTGTCATGTATGTAGTTCACCTTCTTCAAAAGTTTTCAGGTGCATTAATCACAGTACTCTGATGCTTTCTGTCAACGTGGATTACCACTTTCATTTAGTTTATGAAACTGAGATTATTCATTAATTTAATTTTAAAATTAATATATTTATTATTTTAATCTTTTAAGTTTTTAATATTAATTATCGGTTGTGTTTAACATACTGCTCTCATTCAAAGTTGATTTTTAACGATAACACGTTATTTCACAATTGTAAATATATAAAAAAGAAAAAATAAAAACTATCTTAAGTTAAGTAAATAGAAAATGAATATTAATAAGATCATGTATATATTAAACCTGTGTCTTTATTTTTAGGAATTATATTAAATAAATAAACGGTAAAAATAGAACAGGGGACCTAGAAATTCCAATCAAATCCTGTCCCTACCAACGAATTTGAATAAAAGTTTAGAATGTAAAATTTCAAATCTACAGTGTTAGGTGTTTATTTCTGGGTCAACCAGTGTTAAGTGTTATTGAGGACAGAGTATGAAACCCATGATGGATCTATTCCTGATTCTTCAGAGTCTCCCAGCCGTCAAGAAAATGGACAGGGCACAGTAAACATGCCAATGAAATTAAAGAAAAAGGAATTATATATTTACATAACATTTTTTTATAATTTATTTGTTTTTTTTTAAGTCATACCCATCTTATTATTACTTCTTCTCTCTCTTTTTTTCTCTTTATCTAAAAAGAATGTTCATTTTTATTATTCAATTAACACATCTTAAATGAATATCATGCATTACGTGATAATTTCATAAATTGAGCCCCTCTCATCCACTGCTTTGAGCATGATTATTACTCAAGGGAGTTTCTCTTTGATTCGTTTTAATGGATGAGCTTATAGAAAAAGAAATCCAATATAAAATAATTGGAATTTCATTTCTAAGCTTGCTTTATCTTCTAGGCTATTTAAATGACAAATATAGTAAATTTGGATAAATATGAATAATGTATCTTTCTTTAAATTGAAAATAAAAAGGAGAAAAGTGGTGTGAAGTGAGCATGAATGGTTCACATGATGATCTTCAACTTCAATGATATTAGTCTGGTCCCCTAATCAAAATGTTTCCCATGTTAGTTTTCCAACCATGCTTTTATGGACTATGTACACACATTATTATTCATATTCTATTAAATGGTTTAGCATGGAAAGCAGAAGCCACAAACAGAAGCCACAAGAGGACATCAAATGAATAGTGATAGAGGTGGGGAAAGAGAGAGAAGGAGAGGTGTTCAAAGTTCAAATTTGTAGGAAAAGACTTGGAATTGTTTTGTAGACGGTAGAACATTGTTGTGCACTGGACATGATGAAAAGGAGAGGTAGTACTTGGCAATTTTCTTTATTTATTTGCTTGAAAACTTTTGACTAAAAAAACAAAATCTTTGAAAGTAGTAGAGATGCACATAATGATGAGATGGGTCCGGCGAGTGCAAATGATTATAATGATTTGGAATCACAAGCACCGGCAAAATTAGTGACAATAATGGAAGCAAATTCCACAATCCTCGCCAAAAGGATGCAACAACACTTATTAGAGCTTGTGTTGTTGTGTGCTTTAGAAAGCAAATTAAAGAGAAAATGAGAAAAGCTATGAATATAAATTTAGACGATGGAGCTGGACTCAGCGTTATTTGAAGTGATTGCATTGTCAACCAGCAATTTCCCACAATCATTTAGGGAAAAGCTGAGCTCATTTTGGACCTCCTTAATTAATTTTTGTGTATTTTATTGTTCAAATTATGTGCCTCACTTCTTGATTTTCAAACCCTCCCATGCATGCTTAGATGATGCTTATGATGTATTAGTTAGATGATAGGGCCCTTTCACACTTTAGATTATATTAAAACCAAAATGCTCTCTCTTATCTTTATTATTTTAATCACTTTTTCTTATAACGTTAACTAAAGAGGGCAAGGAAGGTATTCTCTAGTGGGAACTGAGATCTGCTCCATCTCATTCTGCAATCCTATTTTTGATCGGTGATTTCTGAAATTTAAGAATAATATTATTAGAGAGCCATAATACGATCTTTACATATTTTTTTATGAAAACAATAATAAACATAAAAAAAACTTGTAAAAAGTATTTTTAATTTTCTTTTTCAAAATACCATTAAAACTATTTAGTCTCGCGTGATTTATAATTATTTTTTTAATATTTGCATTTAGGTAGAAATTTATTTTTTTTAAAATTTTTTGGGAGAGACTAGTGCTAGGTTCTGAACAAACTTATAGTTACTACGTCAACCAAAAACTTGAGGGCATAGGTTGTAGTTCTTGTCATTTATACGTTATTTAACGTTTTCAGCGTGTCTGTCGAGTTCAGTGAAAGTTAAAATTTGACCTTGTTAAAAATTATAAAATTTATCGTTTATTCGTTTTATTCATTTTCAACTTTGTTTTTATTGATATTTTTAATTAAATTTAAAATTATTAATTTAGTATTTAGTAAATATTTTATGATAAAATTGAAGTAAAATGATATTAAAACATAACTTACATTTGCGAAAAAGAAAAACTAGATTGAAAATAAAATATCTACTATGAAAATGATAATTTTTAAATAATTTATTTAAAATATGACTTTTAAAAATTTAAATTAGAATAAAACATATAAAATATTAAGTGAACTATTGATATATATTATGCAAAACTTGAATTTCACTGATTTAAATAATTATGCTCAAATAATTTATAAATAACTGTGAGTTTATTTTAAAAAATGAGAATTAGATCTGCTTTAAACCGACGACACTGTAACTGGTGGCCCATAGTTTGAGCTGCATCAGCAAATGGCCTTGTGTGATGACTCCTATCACTGTTAAGGCGTAATTATACTATATTACTATTTGTAAGGTAAAAGGAAACTTCTGAGTGCTCAAAGGACCCTTGTGAACAGTGTTGTTGAGATTATGGTGCATGTAAAGGAGTAGAGACTAGGGTTGTGGTGATTGGAGTGGTGGACATGAGAATGACATTGAAGTTGATTTTTTTAACTTGAGAGAAAATAATAGAGTTTAGATAGGAGTACTACAATTACCAATATTCTTCCATGATTACTTTGGATGTGTTAGTGTGAAATGTGAGATATTATAGCCTTTAACTTGCTTCTTATTCTTTTCCTCCCTCTGCACCGAAATATGTGGCAATGGAAAGAAGGAAGGGAAAAAGGACAATGAATCAAGGAAGGAGGATCTTTCGTCAATATTTTTTAATAATTATAAATTCATTATAGCTTAGGTTTATACGTAGTATGGTTATTTTAATATAAATATAAGTATGTAAAATCTTAAATGATTAATTTTAATATATTTTATATAGATACGTATAAGTATAGATAAATTTTTTATTATTAAAAAAATTTAATTGTTAATATACATTTGAAATTTAATAATTAGTAAATATTTATATAAATCAATGTATAAATAAAAAAATTAAATTATTAGTCAATTTATTAATTTATATATAATATATAAATATGTATTTTAATTTATTGTATACATACTATTTTTTTATATTACATTAATGTTATGGCATAATTAATTTTATATATATTTATGAATTTAAAATAATAAATTAATAAAACAATTAAATTAAATATTATATATATATTACATTTAGTTTATAATTTTGTATTAAGTTCTATCATAATTTTTCTATTAAGATAAAAATTTAAAAATATAAGTTACTTTTCTGTATTTATAAATTTTATAATGTAAAATATTCTATATCTATAATTTCTACGATGAAAATATTTATTTATTTTTTTTAAATATATTAACTTTTATTTAATAGATTTGACAAATTTTATCAATATTATTTTCTATTATCAATTTTATATGTTTATTGTGACTTTATTTTTTGAATATAAGATGTTTTTACATAAATATAATATGATCCTTAATATATATATATATATATATATATATATAATTTTTAATAATTTTATAAAAATAAATTAAGAAAAATAATAATATAAAACTTTTATAATATAAAAAAATTTATAATTAACACTCAAATAATATTTTAAAATTTATTTATAAAATTATATAAAAAATTATTATAATTATTAATAATTATCAATATTACAAATAAAAATTATTAAAATTATATAATAATCATTATTTTTATTAATTTTATTTAATAACAGCAATGATTATAAATATTTATTTTTTTTTAAATTTTATTTTATTTTTTAAGTAATATTATTGGACTACAAGTTTATAATAAAAAGTTATATAAAATAAATATTTTTATTAAATATTCTAATAATTATCATAATTTATATCAAATTTTTTTAAATTTAATTTTTAAGAACATAAAAAAAAATTTATCCACAGAACTGTGATCTTAACCTTGGTCTCGTGGGCTTTTAGTCATATGAACCTATGAATTAATAAATTTTTTTTTGGCCTGCAGGACTTTTTGACCCTAACTCTCATAAATTAGGGACTAGAGTAAGGACTGGCCAAATTTTTTACAGCTCTAATTAAAATTAAATAAAATGAAAAAGAGGAAAACAAAACAGTGGGTTTCGACAATATGCAATGAATATATGGAAGCACTTCAAAGATGAACAAACCCGAAACGAAAAGAAAAGCAAAGAGAATATCAACGCGTTGTTTAAAACCAGCTTGTAGTGACTATAATTGAAGCTATCTCTTGCTGGTATAGATTGTCCAATTGAAGGCCATTATAAAATAATTACATCGTTTTTTTAGATTGAGCTTATTAACTTGAAACACATTTTACCTTGAGTTGATGTTATTAAAAATCACACGTATCCAACTTAATCTTTTTGGTTTAATACGCAAAGTATAACTTAAAAAAAATACACTTTCTATGTTTTCTTATGCACTTATTAGATTTTAATTTCAAAATACACGTTTAGTTAATGTAATTTATATAATTTGTTCTTTCAAGAAGCTAGCCGGAGACCCATGATGTCAGAAATATTTAGGTGAGGTTCATTGCGTTGTCGTATATTCAGGTAAGCTATGCCCTACAGGTAAGCTAGCCGGAGACCCATGATGTCAGAAATGTTATATAACAAAATTTTGAGTTTTTTTTATCAGGAATTATTGATCTTAGGCAAAGTGTGGACAGGAGCATCAGATATGAAGGACCAAAACTTTATATGTGGCGAGGTGGTGATCCACGTGGCTGTATGCAACATGGGATGGGGATGGAGACCAAGTTCCCATTGGTCCAAAATCTATCCACGAGAGCTTAAGATTTCTTCTAAAGATTTCATAGTCCTACTTGGCCTTGTTGTATGCTAGCTCCCTCGGATTTTCATTTTTAATCACAGCACAGAAAACTCCAAACCAACCTCAAGGCATTTAGCAAGGTGAAAGAGAGATGGCAGCTGCAACATCTGGTGGTGTGTTAAATGGGTTTGGATCTCATTTCTTATGTGGAGGAAAGAGGAGCAAAGCCCTTCTGGCTGCTGGCATTGGAGGCAAAGTTGGTGCTGCTGTTAGTCGCAGAAGAGTTATCGTTGCTGCTGCCCCAAAGAAATCATGGATCCCTGCTGTGAAGGGTGGTGGAAATTTCGTTGACCCAGAATGGCTTGATGGCTCGTGAGTCCACATACCTATCTACTCAGTTTCTCTCTTTAATTTCTTAGTGATTTAATTATTAATTTTGTCTCTACATTAGATATCTTTTCCATTTTAGTCATAACACAAACAAATCTTACAGTTTAGTTCTCATATGAAAAATTGTTTATAAGCCAGTCCCCGTACCCTTGAGTGAAGTTAGAATAGTGTTAAATTTTATCCTATATGCTTAATATTATGTTTCGTTTTAATATTTATACTTATACTTTGTTTTGGTCCTCCATAGAAAAACAAAATTCTACATTTTAAGCCATAAATATTACATATCATTTCTTTTGTTCTGGTTCTTGCATGAAAAACATATTGAAGTTGTAATAATTTCAATAAAGAATCAATCCGTAAATATTTTCGTAAAAATCCAGAATATAGAATTTTTTATTTATTTAGAGGCTGAAACAAAAATCAAGCAGTAATAGAAATTAAAAGTACAATTGATCCTTTCTTAGTCTTTGAGAGTTTGATGGATTCATTTCGTGTTCAATGTTGCAACTGAAGGCTACCAGGTGACTATGGTTTTGACCCACTGGGTCTAGGCAAGGACCCAGCATTCCTGAAATGGTATAGGGAAGCTGAACTCATTCATGGGAGGTGGGCAATGGCGGCAGTTGTAGGAATCTTTGTTGGGCAGGCCTGGAGTGGAGTTCCATGGTTTGAGGCTGGAGCTGATCCTAATGCACTTGCTCCTTTCTCCTTTGGTACTCTATTAGGTACCCAATTGCTTCTCATGGGATGGGTTGAGAGCAAGAGATGGGTGGACTTCTTCAACCCAGATTCACAATCAGTGGAATGGGCCACCCCATGGTCAAGAACTGCTGAGAACTTTGGCAATGCTACTGGTGATCAAGGCTACCCTGGGGGAAAATTCTTTGACCCTTTGGGATTTGCTGGCATCATCAAGGATGGTGTCTACATTCCAGATGCAGAGAAGCTAGAAAGACTGAAATTGGCTGAGATTAAGCATGCTAGGATTGCAATGTTGGCTATGCTGATTTTCTACTTTGAGGCTGGACAGGGGAAGACACCTCTTGGTGCTCTTGGCTTGTAAACAAAAATAATGTACGTGGTTGAATTGAGAGGCTAGGAAGACAACACGAAACTTTGTCTTGTAGAGCCATGAAAATTTTCAAATTTTATGCTCTAATCTCTGATGTATTCACCTTCTGTATGCATTATATACTTATAATATAGACGCCTCATATAAATACTAGCATGTATTTTTCATTTCCAAACCAGGTGGAGTGAAAGGGATAGTGATAGTTGAAAATTGCAAGTTGGGCCATGTTTGTATGTAGCCAATTTCTCACAAAGTATCTATTATCTATGTCATACTCATTTTCAACGTGGTAACAACACAAACGCAAAGATAGCTTGGACTGCCATAAATAAATACTATGCAAGAAATCTGAGTATGTTAAATACATGAGGTCAAATGATGCTCATGTCATAAAAAATAATCTAGGGTTAAGCAACCAGAAGAATGCTAGAAGCATTAAAGAAATGCAGTAGAATCAACTCTTTTCCTTTCTTTTTGTTGGAGGATTTGTCTTAATTATTCGCTCCCAGATCCAGTAGCCATCAGAAACTCACCCTCACACACAACTTCACCTCCAACATATGCCTTCCCTTCCATCTTTGCTATTCCAAATCGTTTTTGCAGTTTGATAAGCGTCATTCTCATAACTAACGTGTCTCCTGCAATCACGGGCTTCCTAAATCGCACTTTGTCTATTCCAGCAAAGAAGAAATTCTCTTGAGAACCTCCAACTTCAGGTTGCAACATAACCAAGCCACCAACTTGTGCCATTGCCTGCATCAAGACCCCTCAAATTCATCAACACTTACAAAGATGATTCAACAGAACCTATAAGATCTTTTCCTCCGGTTCTCTTTGCTTTCTTATGGGCCAGATCAGATATGAGATATAACGTTATAATATAAACAATTCAGGCCATTTTTTAAAAATGAAGTCCTGGTGACCGGGACCTTGGAAAAGCTATTTGTGTTTTACACACAGCAAATGTAGAAAATTACAGAAACCTGTTGTCTATCTCAACTTAAAAGCTCTATCAAAAACCAGGTCTCTAGAAGCAGGGCAGTGAACATAAATGAGCTACAAAGTCTAATGAGAAATGGAAGGTAACAAAACATTGTTCACTGATCCAATCAAGATGACGATGCAATATTAGCTCTAGAGACCAGAAAGATATTGGGCTCTTGCTGATGTTTTTCGGGCACTCAAATCCTCAAACCGGCACAAGTTGAACAAAACCCAAGCCAGACACTAAGGCGTATGATCGCACAGGCCTTCTGTGCCTCCAAAACACGAGCCATAAATGAAATATGAAGGAAACTTGACACAAGAAGCCAGAATGTCACAATATACATATCATATTCACAATAATTGAGATTAGACAAACATTTAAGTTAGTCAAAATTGTTCTCCATCTTCAAATTTTAGCCTTATGCCTAAGCCGGTGTTTATATTCATACATGATATCAAGGAGCAAAACAACAGCTTGCTAATGTCCCAGAACCTAGTACTGAAGACCATGGTTCTTGACAATTGAAGAGATATAGAAAGACTACTACCCTATAATTGTAGTGCGGCTACATTGACAAAAGCTTCAATCATCAAGCACATAAAATTTCAAATAGAATGTGTCAAATTGATGATGATCTCTTAGCAACAGGTTGGACCATCATAATTGACAAAATCACTAACCAGTGCTCCAAAATTTCATTATAAGAAATCACACCAGCATTAAAGACAACAGCATAACAGAAGGGGGAAATAAAATGGTAGCCTCAGCATAGTTTTTACCTCAACCATGAGAACACCAGGCATGATTGGTCTTTCTGGAAAATGTCCAGGAAAAAAGTTGTCGTTTATAGTTACATTCTTTATGGCCACTGCAGAAACTCCAGGATTGTATTCAATCACTCTATCCACTAGCAGAAATGGAAACCTAAATGACACCAACCAAAATAACAAAGAAAAAGAAAAGCTTAGTCTATTAAAAAAAGAAAGAAAAACAGAGAAAATTCAACGCTTACCTGTGGGGTAGAATATCACGAATCTTGTTGATGTCCAGTGATGTCGGAAATGCAGGATACCCTGCAACCATGCGCGTAAGCAAATGGAAAGCGAAGAGAATCCAAAATGATAAGAGGAAAACAAAAATGCGTACTTAATTCAATTGGGGTGTCTTCCTTTGGACCATTTAAAACATCTGAAGAACAAAACGTTGTAAACCGTCTAGTGGCCCTGGCGTTCCTGAACTGGGTAGGCGGAGGCGGAGATCTTGAGCTGGGAAAGCTGAGAGATGAAAATTTGGGTAGAGAAGAATGGGATGCAGGAAAAGTGGAAGAGACGATGGTGTTAGAGAAAGCAGGGGCTGCCATTGATGAGCTTCACTGTTAGAATGCAGTTTGGGTTTGTGGTATGGATGCATATTTATTACAATGTACGACGTTAGTTAGATGAGGCATTGGCGAAAGTAACGAAGCTCCAAATGCATCCCCTAATGGCTTTTTTCGTGTTTGGACGGAGTCTCCAACCTTTGTTTGTTCAACTACAAAATAGCCACTGCTCTCTCGCCATTTATTAATATTATTTTAGATAGACTCATTATTTTATTTTAAATCTAAAATTTTTAATTTTTGTTTAAAATAAAAATATAAATGAACATATGAATAACAATAAGCAATTGTAAATGAATGTTAGATGTGAAAGTAGATATAATGTAAATTTATGATTATTAAAATATAAATGTAAATGAAATGAATGTGAATAAAAGGGAGCGTTGATTCGATGTTTGTTCTTGAATATTGACTCGCTAGTAATTTAATTAAGGGGAGTGGTTGTTGGTGAGGCTGGCAGTTTTGAGAAAGCAAAACGACAGTGTAGTGTGTGGGTTCGTTGGGAGGATGGAGTTGCAACGCAACAACTCATTGTCGTCGCCATCGTCGTCCAACTCCTCCTCCATCGGAATCACGCAGAAAACCCCTTCTTCGTCGGTGGACCCAATGCACTCATGGTGGGAATCGGTCTCCAAGGCTCGCTCCCGCATCCACGCCCTCGCCGCCATCCTCCCCTCCTCCGACTCAATCACCGCCCTCGCTGACTCCGACCGCCCCGCCCTCTCCCTCCTCTCATCCCACGCCGCATACACCGCCATCTCCTCCTCCCTCTCTGGCACCCACTCCGACCCACTCTGCCACTGGCTCTACGACACCTTCCTCTCCTCCGACCCCCATCTCCGCCTCGTCGTTCTCTCCTTCGTCCCCCTCCTCTCCGCCCTCTACCTCTCTCGCATCCACTCCTCCAACCCTCCCTCCCTCGCCGGCTTCGAAGCCCTCCTCCTCGCTCTTTACGCCGCCGAAACCAAATCACGTAACGGCAAACCCTTACTCGTCACCGTCCCCGACCTCTCCCACCCTTCCATCTACCACTCCCCCCTTCGAAAACCCTCTTCTCCTTCCCCCTCCTCCATCGGTGTTATCTCCCCTCCATTAGAGCCTCAACTCGCCGTCAAATCCACCAAACGCGCTTGCATCGTCGGCGTCGCCCTCCACTCCTTCTTCTCCCAGATCTCCCACATGCCAAGCTGGTCCAAACTCGAATTCTCTCGCTTCGCCGCTGCCTGGGCCGGCCAGGACTGTCCCTGCAGAACCGAATTCGATCACAAGAACGACAGTAACAGTAACAGCGACAGCGAGCTCCGTGACAGTGACGGTAACGACGGCGAGATTGAGGAGGTTGTGGAAGGGATGAGGAATGTGCAGATTCAGGAAGGTTCTGTTAGTGAGGAAAAGGGGGAGAGGATCCCTTTGCCTTGGGAGATTCTGCAGCCGACTTTGAGAATCTTAGGGCACTGTTTGTTGGGTCCGTTGAACTCTGAGGAGGTGAAGGACGCAGCTTCTTATGCAGTGAGGTGTTTGTACGCGAGGGCGTCACACGATTTGGTGCCTCAGGCGATACTCGCGACGAGGAGTCTCATTCAGCTTGATATCAGGACTCGTGAGGCTGCCAAGGCTGCTGCTGCCAATGCCAATGCTAACACCCCCACCAAGGTTAAGAAGCCTGAAATTCTCTTGGTTTCCAAGTGAGGATGTGTAATTCACACTGTCTCTTGTGCTTTACTGTAAGCTGAATTCATTATTGTATCATAGTATCTTCATAGGTGTCATTTTTTTTCTTTTTTAATTCTTATAAGTTAATATTTTTTTGGCTGAGTGTTTAGGTAGATGTATTGACTTTGTTTCTTGATAGAATTATGAGGTCTGTCATTCTGTTGTGCCATGGTTTGATTTATAATGCGTGTGGTTGTGCAGTTTCTGTGTGGTGTGTGCCTTTTTTGTCTTTGGTTTATTGTTGTATTCTGTAAAGATTGAGGAAATCGAATGGGGTGTTCTCGATGAGTCATAATTTACTTAGGGGGTTTTGCTGGAGATTTTAGTTTCCCTAGATTATGGTGGTCTGATCAGGTGCTTTGCTTTTCTAATGTTAATATTTTATTCATGTTTATATGTTTGTTTTGAATATGCTAAGGAGTCAAGGTTTCTGTACTATTGCTTATGAGCTTATCCATATTCCAGACTGACAATGCCAACTGTATAGTTACTATTAGAAGATTAAATATGAATCATCATATATATAATATGACGTTGATCCTGCATTCCTGCTGCATTTGTTGGGTATAACATAAATGATATTCCGCCTCTAGAATATTGTATTCTTAGGATGAAAGGGAAGGCTATAAAGGGGATTAACCCCCTTAGTGGGGGTATGGAAAGTGTGCCTCACTTAACAACCTGGTGCCCACTCATCAGCAGCAGGGTATTTGTAATGCAAGGGGAAATTTGATTAGAACGGAGGGATTAGAAGTGATGAGAGCAGAAAAGGGATAAGGAAGTTTTTGGATTGTTCTGGTTTGGTAAAGAGTAGGCAATCTTGAATTTTCTTGTGCTATCTTTGCTTCTGGGTTGGGTACTACTTGTATAGACACATACCCCTCTGATTTCTGATATTTTGTAGATATCACTTGGATTGGGATTTTATACCAAAATATCAATACTACAGTTTTACCCATGATTTTCTGTTCTATTGGAGGATGTGCAAACAATTTTTATAGTTGGTTGATGCTTGCCATAAAGATACAGTGGAATTTTATGTTGTCAAAAATTTCACCTTAGTACCCATTACTCATTAGAAGAAATTATGGAAAAACACATCATGAAGAATAATACTCCCTACCCTAGGATAATTTGAACCCCCGTACAGTATGACAATTGTGGATCTAGAAATCTCAAGTTTATGTGAGTAATCAGTTTGACAACAGTTTTATGTGCTGAAAATAGAAACTTCAATTTGCTCAATCCTTCTCATCTATCAAGTGTTGAACTCTTGTTATCAGATTGCTATTTTGGTGTGGCTTCTAAGCCCTGATACAAAATAATTTTTTTTTTTATTTCATTTTGGTCAAGCAGTGAAGGGCACTGTAGAGTTTACTCCTTGTTAACAGATTCATTGTTGGTGCTTAGATATTAAAATGTAGTGTTATATTTACTTTTATATATTGTCTCTTGGGTCATTATGAACTAAGATATATGTACGAGTAGGGTATATTTTAAAATGAATTGGGCCTAACTCTATCCATTAAGCTAACTCAAGGGGGAAGGATTGTCCCAATCTATCTTATAGGGACTGTTTTGGTCTTATTCTTAGCTAATATGGGTTCCTAACACCTCCCTCAACCTAGGAATGAACATCTAGAACATGAAGTTTGTAGAATTGGATTTTTGTGGGTGACCCAACATCAATAAGACTTCAACCATTGATACGATGTTAAAAATGGACTGGGTCTAATTCAACCCAAAGGACTGCTTTGGCCATATTCATAGCTAGTTGATATATGTGATTTGAATGGTATTTTTAGTGTTAGTGGGTGGCCGAAGATTAAAGGCTGTACATGCTAATTACCCTGGTTTTCGTTACACGTTCTGGACCATTAAAAACAAAGATTGGAAGGGAATGTGAACATGAATGTTAAACATCCAAGGAGTTTGTGTGAAGCAATAAAAATTTGTGAACTTTGAAGGTAGCATCCTTAAGTATGGTATGCCTTTTTAGTTTGAATTGTTTTAGATCAAGGATAGGTTGGATAAAATACAACAACTATAACCAAAGTCTTTTCCCACTAAGTGGAGTTGGCTACATAGACCAAAAGATGCTATTGTGTTATCAAAAACCAAGTGTCCAGAGAGGCCATTTAGATCTAAATTACTTTTTAATGGTTTCTTCAAAAAAAAAAAAAGTTTCCAATTTTCTTCCTCTGCCTCAAACTTAGGCAATCATCCATCTTCTCAGATAAGCACCACTCTCACTTTCTCTGTAATACATGTGATCCTTTTTTTTCCTGATCTAACCGCTCCTCCTAAGCAACATTTTTGTATGAACACCAGATGGGTTGAATAAAATTCGGAATCCATTTTCTATTTTGCTTGGATTTCACTGGATGTGTTGGAGTGTAGAATGAATTCATGATAAGGGTTTAATCATTTGAAGCTGGATTCTTTGGGGGATTGAGGCCTTGTGGCATTCAAGGATTTGTAGACAAAGTGCCATTAAGGACACTGTCAAGGATGACTGCAGTCTTGTTATGCAAATTTTATAAATAACAAAGTGCAGCAAATAATGTCATCATTAAGGTATGTGGAGACTCCTAGTCTAATTCTGCCTACCTCTTGAATGCTTGTGGTAATAGGGATCTCAGTAAGCAAGTAGTGTAATGATCCTGTTACCGCTACTTTGTTGTTTTACAGGAATCTTTAAATTTTAGGGAGCTTAAGATCTTGTAGGTCACTTGGTTCCTAAGGTCTACATTAATAGAATAGCTTTGTTTTGGTTGGGTTTTAGGTATTCTTTTCTTTATTAGCATTTTTCTTGGCTGTTAATATTCCGATTGTTTCTAGTCTAACATACGCCCGTCCCGTCGCCATTCTTAACTGTGCTTTCAATGGTTCTCTTCGGGCGATGCTTCGAGTTCTTGCAATTGCACCCTTTTTTGGCTTCATGAGAAATGAAAAATCTATGTATTTTGCTTACCGATTTTAATTTTTCCATTATTTTGTATGCATGCAAACGTTTATTTAGCAGCATTGTTTTAAACATAAAATTTGCTGCTTCATTATTTATTGGATCAGCACTTACAAAGTCCCAACCAAATAAGTTGTGTATATTCCACCAGTTTACTTTTCTTGTAAGAAACGATTATATTTTCTACTGAGAATATGTAAGAAATTAATCTATTTCAGTTTTCTGATGGATAACGGCTCCCAACCTATATAGGAATTAATTTTGACTGTTCATTTTTGTGGTAATATGTAAGATTAGTTTCTCCCGAGCACTAAACAAATACGCATATACATGACCAAATATTAAATGAATCTTTGTAAAAAAACTTACTACAGTACAAACGAGTGAAACAAATTAATATTAAAATAATGACCAAAACGCTTGTGGGACAAGCAAGCATTTATTAAAAGTAAAAATTTATAATGCTTTTCTAGTATTTTGTTTTTTATTTAACAGATAGACAGGCAAGGAAGTTCTTGCTTTTTTTAGAGACTAAGCTAATGTTCTCACCAAAATCCGATAATTTGAGTAAATCCAATCTCCTGCTAAAAGATAGTTCTATTCAACATTATAGATATGATGTTGACCAAAAATTTAAATAAAAAACGTTATAGATATGACGATAACGGTGGAATGCCAATCCATTATATGTGCGCGTGTTTTAAGTGGCCTTATCTCTTTCGAATACAAGTAATAACCGAAGAAATGGCTTGAGGCTTGAGCAAGTTCCTCACATTCTCCATTATCTTACGGTTTAAGGTTTGGAGTTCTTAGAAGCTAACTTCTCCCACGATCACTCGAGAATACCTTATTTTGGGTCAGAGTGAGCATAGGGTTTGGTTTGGCCCATGTCAATCCCTGGAAGGACAACTGCTACGTTTTGTGATATATGTTGATCAGCCTTCTATCATGCTTGGAAATCTAGATAGACATATGCTTGCGTAATTGACCCAAAAAAAAAGACATTCTTATGTAAGGTCTCATACTCTTAAGTAATAGAGAAAGAAAGAAAATAACTTTATTTAGTATAATGCATTTTCTTCTGTTTATACCAACTTTTACACTTGAATGCATTCAGCTTATTAGGAAAATTTATGCAAAAGAAAAACCAAACTACATATCTATCACACACTTGATTGATGCTACGCCATATACTATCTACTAGCTAATTGAAAGCAGAACATTTCTTGCGAATTTCACCATCGGTCCCAGTCTTGACCTCAATGTTGCTCAACTTGACCATAGATTTTCCAAATTGGAGACTGAATGTTAATCCAGCTAAACCTTTTATGCCTAAGTACCTCTCCACAATGGTCTTTGTTGAATCATCAGTCCACAGTGCCTGATCAGACTGAAGGATTCCTCTGCCCTTCCTTAGATTATGGTAATAAGATGTATCAAATTTGTTTTGGCTACCATCATCTAGAGCCACTCTATTTGCTCCACTGCTTTGTGGGCACTGTGCTTGTAGTTTGGAAAGAAATGAAGGGTCGATGGAAGGGTCAGGACCATTTCCATTGAAGTTGTACAGTCGGTTGCTGAAAGCTTGACATGATGCTGTACCAATGCTATGTCCACCTACATTTTTCGCAAATACCGCTCAAAACTTATCTTTGTGAGTATAAAGCTAATTAATTGGATTTGTAATCTGCCAAAGCCAATACGTGTGGATGGATGAATAGGTCAGTATATTAGCCTTGCTTTGTTAGTTTGTATAATTCACACTTTGCATGGTTTATGCCATCAAAAGAGGTTGATGTTCTAAAATGTTTTGGAGTTTAATTTCGTGGTTTCATTAATTAGATCATTAATCATTTTGATTAGAGATTTTTGTATGTTGCATGAGAGAATTTACTGTCTTCCATTAGCTATAGCTTCTGTCCGACCATGATATTTGGCATTCAGTACACTCCCTCTAGTTTTTTTATAAAACATATTCTAAAAACTTTTAATGGTCAATTTTATAAGGCATTTCGTAGTTTTTATGAAATATTTATTATATATTTTTTCATTTGTCTTTAATAAATGGAGTTAATGAAAACCTAAAATAAAACCAATAAAAATAAATGTTGATAGTGGAAGTCAATAGTATTATACATGGGGTAATATTTTCTCGTTATAATATTTTTTATAAAAAAAAATAATTTTATTTATTTATTTTTATTAAACTGTATAATTTAATTACATGTGTCTTATAAAAATATCAATAGTTGTAAGCTCTTTAATTAGATTCACACTTGACCTTACTTCTTTATTCTTATATCAATTGCTACAAAAAAAATTGAAAACTTTAATTTATTATATATGATTATATTAAAAAATTACTAGAATAAAATATAAAATGATAAAAAAATATATTCGATTAAATAAAATATTTTCTGCACCTTTATTTATTCGATTTAGCTCTAGTTTTCTTCCATTTATTCATTTACTATAATAACCTTTTGATTGATTATGTTTGTTTTGACTTATCATGTTTATCGGTAAGTTATTACTCGATTGAAGTTTATTCATTATTAAATAATATTTTTAATGTTATGTAAAATAAAACAATCTATTATTTTTTGCGAGTTACAGGACTTATATTATGTTTGAATTGAATGAAAGACAAAGAAGAAAGCGAGAGAGAAGAAAAGAAAAGTGAAATGAACATTTTCATTGTTTGAATGATACAAAAGTAGGGAAAAAATAAAGAAGAAGTGGGTCTCACATAAAACAATTTCCCTCCATAATACATGTGAAATGTGAGAGGAGAAAACCATTGCTTTCTTTTTTCTTGTTTTAGTTGTTAATTCTTTCAATAATACAAAAATAAATAAATATTTTGATATTAAGAAAAATAATTTAATACAAATTTAAATTTTAAAACTAAAGTTTACTCTTTATAATTAGTATAAATAAATGTATATTACTATTATATTTATTTTTTTCACTTTTTATTTTAATTCATTTAAATAATATATATCTTGTTACTCTTTTTTCTATTTATTTTCATCCCTCTTAATTGTGTGTTTTTAAAAGAACACGAGTTTAACTTGTAAATTTTATGACCTCAAATGTGTTTAGTTTTAATTTTTTCATTCAAATAAATTTTATTACATGAGGCTTTATATCATAACAATGCATGGTTTTACTCTTAATTAAATAACAGCATAAGCAGTTTAAATTGATATGAAGAGTGAGAGTGCAGATTAACCTGCAAGGGTGACAAGGTCAAGAGTGTTGAGGCCTTTTGCTGCAAACTTGTGTTTGTGGGTATGAACAGGCTCAGTTGGGGGAGGCAAATCCACATCCGAAGCCTTTGAGATGCGACCATCTCTGCGTCCTGTTGGCACTTGCCAACTTTCTCCACCACTCTACATCGCATCAACCATTAACCCAACTTTCCATAAACTCAAAATATATTCAACTCATGATGTTGTCAACTTTTTTACATTATTTTTTTTCTCTTGGTATCAAAGGAAAGCAGAAAAAATACAAGAAAGAAAACTAAGATCTCACATTGTCACCTAAAAACCTTTAGGTAAAGAATTTAATTAAATATTTATCAAATAAAACTTATACAATTAAATTTGATGTTGATTGAAATAAATTAAAACGTTTATTTAATCAAACTTATGAAAATATTAACTAATAAATTAATAAATAAATTTTTATTAAAAAATTATGTTCAAGTTCATTCGCATGATAAATATATTTTTTTAACCATTTTTTATATTGCCATCCATAATTAATAAACTTGTAAAAATTTTGATAATGTATTCAAATAAGTATATTTAGTGAAATATTTTTTTTATATTAAATAAACAGTTAATTTTTTGAACTACTAATAAATAACTATGTATCATAAATTTATATTATATTTTAAAATATTTGTAGTTAGTTTTAAATGTCAAGACGTATATATTAAACAAATAAATATATTCATTTATATAAATAAAGAATGAATATTTTATTAACATAAATCTCACAATAAATAAAAATATAAAAAATAATTTTTTAGCCAGATACATAAAAATAAATTAAAATATTTAAAAATAGTAAATTTTTATTAAAAAATATATTTATTATATTAATTTATAAAACTGTGATAAATTCATGTTTCTTTTTTCAATAACAGCTCATTCTTCCCATTATTAGTTGCTTAAATTAATATTTTTTTAAAATTTAGTAATTAATGTATTTAAATTATTTTATATAAAAATGTTAAACCGACTTTTATCACACTTTTATAACTTTAACGTAATAAATATATATTTTAATAAAATTTTGCTACATTGAAGTGTTTAAATTTAGTAATAAAGGTTGAGATTAATAGAATTTTGTTATAATTATAAAAAATAATTTTTTTAACGTGCATTTAAAGACATAATATAATAAGAAATTAATAAATAATTTTTATTAAATATTATTATATGTGATATTATTAATATACTGAATTTTATAATATCTTATAATTTTTAATAAAATTTAATTTTTATAAATTATTATTGAATGTTACATCATAGAAAAAATACTGCTAAATTTTTTTATAAGATAAGTGAGGTTCTTTCTAACACTTTTTTAAAATATATTTAAAATTAATAAGTAAAATTATTAAAAGCTAAAAAAAGTCATTAAATTAAAAATATATATTTTTATTATCACTTTTACACTATTTTAATAAAAATTTATTAAAACACAAAATTTACATAAAAAAATATATTGTCAAGGGAGAGGTTCGAATAGGTTGTCGGCCATACTTTATACTAGTTGTTATTTAATTTGTTATAAGTTATATTCACTTCTATCTTATCTAATAATTTTTTTTAGATTAGTTACTTACATGAATATAGTTTACAACGTTGTAAATTGATCAGTCATCTACATTATTTATATTGTTCAAACATAAAAGTACAAATAATTTAATAGCATACTTAATACTCTTTCTGATTCTTTTTATAAAAAATAAAAGACTAAATCTTCAGATAAAAAAAAATAATTAAATTTATTATATTTTTTATAAATATAAATTTTATTCTAAAAATATCTGTGATATTAAATTGTGTAGTTAATAATTTATATATTTAATAATACTAATAAAAAAAATATAACAATTAATGCATCTTGTATCTATCGTTTATTTCTTATAATAAAAACTAAAAAAGTAATTCATTTTATTTTTTATAAAAAAGATCCGAAAGTATTATTTTTGGAAGTATGTGTAAGCATTATCATTAGGATTGTTATTGTTTTTTTCCTTGAATTTCAATGTTATACTTCTTAAAATATGCATGAAGTTTATATTGTATATTGAAATGCATGTTAAGCTTCTTTGTCTTTTTAAGCTTTTTCCGGTTCTTAACTTCCTATCATCCCAATGGCCAAAATACTTTTCAAAGAAGTGAAGTAACTTATTCGACATGCATAAAAATTTTCACATGAAACAAAGCTGATAAGTATGACCATATATACCAATCAGGCTCTCATAGAGAGACCCGTTTTCTTGCGGCAAGGATTGTGTAGATTCCGATGCCGTTTCAATCTCTCGGCAATCAGCAATTTGGTGGCTTTATCACTGTTGAAAACCCGAGTTGGGTAATTTTGTTTTCCCAATTTCAGATCTATCTTAGATTCCCTCACATAAGCAAACCTACATAGTTTGTTTTGTAGAATCCTATGTTGAGTACTTACGTAGAATCCAATGAAGTAGAGCAGCATTGCTTGGATTGGAAGCTCTGTATGGCTTTCTTTCATGTTTTGTTATTGGGCTTCGTTGTTCTATTGATTAAAAAAACCATCAGGTGCAGATTATTATCAAGACCATCCTTTTTCTTTTCTTTTCTTTTGTGAAGCTTCTTACTAAATATAGAGTGAGTTTTTGTCTCTTCTTATTGAGAGATTTTTTTATTTATCTTTCTTCCACTTGACCACTTCTTTTTGACATTTGGCTCATTTCTTCCTTATATCCAAATTCATTAGAGTTGCCTTTAGGTTTTTAGAGTTTCATCGATCATGCTATATGGTCAAATTCATTGTTGTCATTTCAAGTTGTTTTTGCAAGAATTTTTGTTAATGGACGATTGTTTATGCTAATTTAAAGGAGAAAAAATAAAGAAAAAGAGAATCATTTTATTTTATAATCGGGTTTTTTCTGCAAAAAAGTAAAAAATTTATTCTATTTATTGTGGTTAGTATTTAATATACATGCTTAATGCTTAATCTTTTATTATGTAGTGTTATAATACTCTAGATAATTAACACGATTTGATTGTAAGTGTCATTAAATTTTTTGTTGTATAAATATTTAATGGGAAAAAATAACTCCATCACAAACAATTGACTCTTGCAAAGTGCCAATATCTCAAAGGACAAATTAAAATTTAAGCACGGTTTTTAAAATATTTATGATAGTATTTTTAAATAAAAAGTTTCATTTCATTAAGTAGTGAGACAATCTCAAACACAAAATTTTTTTTTATTGAAAAATAACTTTATTTTTTATTGAAAAACAAGTTAAAATAACTTAAAAAATTACAAATTTGTATTCACGATAATACTGTTGTATTCACCATTAAGGCATTTCCTTTCATCTATAAACAGAAACAAGTGATAACTGGTCCTAGGGTATTAAAATGTTGCTTGCTCCCGTCACGAGTTTATAACCAGTGGCAGCATATATATGCTCTGACATAAGATGAAACAATAAAGCATTTGAGGCAATTAAGCGGTAAATTGGGGGCTTTGTTCTGTCTTGTCTTTGTGTGAGCGTGTTTTGCATGCAGTTTACGTTCCAGATGTGGTCCAAAGTGCCAAGTACTACTGCAATGTTTATTCAGTGTTGACACACTATAATTGAGATCTCGTGATTCAAGATTACAACATATATAGTACGTCACAGGTTCCAGCTTTATTACCATTATCTATACTGTAACATTGCTATCTTCTCGATCAGTCCCCTGCTGCTTTCTTCCAAAATTAGATGTCACGTGCAATGTGCAAGAGGACCTAGTTCCCATAAGTAGCATATAAATACACTTCTTCTTAGATTACTTAACACAAAACCCTTTATAGATTTGCTTTCTTTCAGAAAAACCAAGAATAGAAAACGGAGAAAGAGGCACTCCCAGCACCAACTTCCTCCTTTATAAATCCTCAAAGGTGCATTTATTTATTAACCATCTGTAATAGGATAATATCTTTTAACACAAATATGAAAAAACTAAGATATATATATATATATATAAAACAAGAGTAACGTTAGCAACACATTCTTTAATATACTCTCTCACACATATTTTATTATTAGCTAAAACTACATGATTCTTTTTTTTTTTTACTTTTAAATTAATTATTTTTATAGTTTTTAATAAATTTTAGTGTGTAAGAGAGTGCGTATTAAAGAATGTAATTACTAACATTATTCGTACATGTAAATATAAAAGTTCAAGTCTCATTAAATATAGTTATATTAAATATGCAGAAAACAAAACTTTAGTCCTAACAGCTTTATTTATTTTTATATAAAAAATATGTTTTAGAATTATATGTATATATATATAATATATATATATATATATATATATATTTTTGTATAAAAATCAATTATACATATAATGTCCAAACAATATAATATTGAGTAGTATATAAATGGGTTACATCTTATGCTTAAGGTGTATAAACCTACTTGCTCAGGCTCAATGACTCAATGTTGGTCAATTGTGTTAATTGCTAAAAAGGCGTCTTTTTACGTCTGTTTTCATCCCTTTCTCGGGGGAACTACTATTTTCATGCTCTTTATGATCTTAATTAAGCATATTGTTTGGTCATTTTCCTGGTGGAACGGTACTTCTCCCCAGTCACTTTTTTGTTGTGACTTTTGTTCCTCTTGCTGTGTACTGTTTTGTTATCTTTTCTCTTATTATTAACCGGAGTTTGGAGAAGGATTTGATACAATTGATTATGCAAAATTAATTTTAATTAAAAATAGGTTTGAAACGAAATAATTTATATCATTTACTAGAAAATATATCTAAAAAGTAAGATTTACAATAAAAAATAATATAAAATTATCAAACTCAAGCAAAAATATAACATTTTCCTTTACTTTTAATCAAATATGCTTTTAAAAACACACATGAATTTGGTATAACATAACCAAATATATATTTTTTTAATGAAATCACCTTAGTGGTGTTTATACTTTGAAGCATTCAATAAAGGCAAATCCAAACAATATATACATTAAAAAAAAAAAAAAAACATGTTGTGACTGTAATGTTCCGTGCCATCCTCAACTTTTTAATCAAGAAAGTTCATTTATTTATAAACGTTAAATTGAGAGTTAGGTATTCGGATCATTAGATGCTTTTGGTCCAGTATTTCGTTGAGGTTTTGTTCTGTTCAGTTTTTTGAACTGCCGAAAACTATTCAGTACTTTGACCTAATTGATAACAAAAACCAATTCCAGCTAGCAAACGAGCAACAGTGAAAGAAAAACAAATCTTTATCAAATATTGACTGATTTCTCGAAACTTCACTGGATTTTATTTAAAAATAAAAGAAAATTAACCAGTACCTTTAAAACATTGATTAAAAACTAAAAAAATATTTTATTAAAAAATGTAAAACTATATACATACTGTCGTGTATGTTAATATATTTTAACATTATTTTCCACGAGACCTAAAATAAAATGGTGGAGGAGGGGGTCATGGTTTTTCATATACAGTGCATCTATAATTTTAATTAGTAGTTATATTGGTTTCATAAATTCAACATTGTGCCAATGCAAATTAATATAAATGATCAGAGCTGTGATAATTCTTATGTAGTCTCAATTTTTCTTACTGCGATTGCATGTCAGGCCTTTTTTAGTAACTTATTGGTGCTAGCCTTGCCAAAAGCAAAAGCACCTATTTACTAGAGCAAAACTGTGAAATAGAAATTAAAACTCAGATGGTTTGAACTTTGAACTCAATGTATCTGATAACAGCTACCACATGCATACAAAATTTCACATGAAACAATGCTGATATATGACCCTATACAGAATCAGAATCAGGTGCAGCAGGCTGACTCCAAAAATCCTCACAAGCAACTAACTCCTGTCAAGTGCCTCCAAAGAGCTTGCATTACTATTCCATTTTCCTCCTTCTTTGAACAGATGCAGGTTTTAAACCAAAGGGTACTAAAATGTTCTCTGCCTCTGTTACCATTCTATAGCTAGTGCCTGCCCTGACATAAGATGCTACAATTGTGTTGCACCAATTAGTCAATTTCTGGCTCTGCTTAGTCTTCTCTTTGTGTGTGTTTTGCATGCACTTTGCAACCCTGAACGGGTCCAATATTTATGCCCTAATATTGTCTCTTCTACTGAGATACTAACTGAGTATTGACACAGGCTACTACATAGTGACACGCAAGGTTTCAGCTTTAACACTATTATTACGGAAAGAGATGTTATATTTGTACTTGTTTGTATGTAAACTTTTTTTTTTACAATAAAGTAAGAGATAAAAAAAAAAAAAAAAAGGAGAGGGAAGTATTGGCTTTTTTTTAATATATGATTTTTTTATTTAAAATTCAAAAATATAGAATTTTTGACAAAAATTACATAAATATGAATTTTTTAATAAATTATTATTGGTGACTTTTGACAAAAAAAAAACTGTTAATGATAATTTTTTATATACTTTTTAATTATTTTGTTTAAATTGTTATCGGTAACTTTTGATTTTTTTTAATTTTTTAATATTTTTTAAAAATTACCAATAACGACTTTTAAAACTTTATTACTTTTTTTATTTTTTATTTTTTACTATATCAAAAATTGTCATTAACAATTTTTTAATTTCATATTTCTATAATTTTATTAAAAAATTCATGTTTTTTAAATTTTGAAAAAAAACCATAAGAAAAAAAAAGGAGCCGAGAAGTATAACATAAAATGATTTATATAATAAAAAATATTAAAAAAATCTGCAAAAATTATTGTTAAAATAATAATAATAATATGTCTTAATACTTGCACAAGAGAGCTGTATAGATATATTTTTGTGAGCATGTGAGGACTTTTTTTTCTTAATAAATAACAAAGCTTTCATATCTTTATACTGTAACATCTCCATACTCAACTTTGGCAATGGTAACTATATATATGTGTGTAAAAGACCACTGGTGGATGTATTAAGTAGATTCAGTCCATAGCACAGCATGTCACAAGTTCATTAAACATGTTTTTCATAATACTGGGATTGTTGTACTTCTTGTTATTTCACTACTGGGATTTCTTGAGCTTGATAAAGAAATCATTGTTTCTCCCATCAGAAAAAAAACAAACAAACAAACAAACCATGACACTGGCATATTTGATTTTGTTCATTTAAAGTATGATTGATTGGTATTAAAATATTATTATTTTACACTTAAAATTTTAAATAATTTTTATAATCACATCTTTTTTAAGGAAATAGTATTTGTTCTCTTGATTTTATGAAAAATAATTTTTTATAGATAGATTTTTTAAAAAATAACATATTTATTATATTTTAAACTTTTCATAAAATAAATATTTAAAAAAAATTGTAAGATAATATTCTTGTTATGATTTTTAAATAAAATATATACATTTAAATAATATACATATTTTTCAAATTAAAATCTTAAAAACAATTAGTTAGATCAACTTAAATACATTTAAAAAATAGTATCATATTACTATCATCAATTTTTTTTTATGTTAGGATGTTAACTGGTACAAAAAATAACTTCTTGTAGTTTATAAATATTATTGTTTATTTTTATTATAATTTTAAATCTAAGTTCAATTCAAGATTAGAAGAGAGTGTACTTCGAATTTGTGTTATTTGTTTGTTCAAAATATTTTAGACAATTAGACTTATAACGTTTTTACTAGCAAATAATGTGAGACTTTATAATTTTAGAAATTTTTTCTTAAGTATAACTATATTTGGTTGAATTGCGACTTACACTTTTGTAACTTTTTTTTTTTTACTAGTGGTTACAGAACTTTAAGTTTAAACCTCTAACATAGGGTTTTTTTTTAATTATTTAGACATATACTCCTTTTTATTATTTTTAAAAATGTCATTGATGTTTTTATAATTTGAGTAGAATTTTTTTATTTTGGGTTTGGTATTTTTTATTATATTGAACTTTGATATCATATTAAGATTTTGAATGTAAACTGTCTTAGTCTATTTTATTTAACTTATATATTCTTTAACTTATGAATAATCTTTTAATATGAAACTTTATTACCTTGACATTTTTGCTCTTATAAAATGTTTTAATTCATTTTGTTTACTTGTTATTTACTATAGTCCTTTGTTAAAGTTATAATACAGTAAAGTCTAAAAATTAAATTAAAAATATACATTTTAATAATACTGATTATAACTTCTTTATTAAATCTGCATTTGAAGATATTTCTTTTAGTGTTTCTAAACACATCTAATTGTTTCACAGTAAAATCAGAGACAGCTCCAAATAAATAAAGAAAGAAATATTGGTTATAGGAAAAGACTAATATGTCCTGCATATATTGCACTTGAATGAGCAAGCATTGGCATTCATTTTGTACGAAATTTGGGTCCAAAGTGGAAACAAAAGAAGAGAGAAGCTTTGTTTGACATTAGAAAGAGAAAGAACAAATGGGTTCTTTTGAAGAGAACACAAGAAAGGGAAGGGGGGCTACAATGTAAGGAAGTGATCTCAGGAAAAAAACAAAGCAATGAAAAGTAAAAGAGAAGAATAACCAAACATTGACTCCCATGTATAGCTAAGCACTGAGAAATGGTTTGAAAACCATGGAAAAGGGTTGAGTGAAGAGCATGAGAAGTAGCATCAAGAAAAGATAAGTGAGGACCTGTGACTGTGAAAAACTCTGCCCATATAATTTTAAAGGTTGAGTTGTTGCGGTCAAAATCATTACATCTGTGTTGCCACTAACATGTATCAGTGTTCAAACCCAATTATCAAAGGCTGCAAAATTAAAAATCAGATCTTGAAATTTACTGTTCTATGGGAAAGTTCATAGCAACAAAAGTGGAGGTTTGATTTAAATTTTGATAGAATTAACTTTATGTTAAAATTCACTTATACCCGTTGATTTGTTTATAAAAAATTAATATTTATAAATCGAATTTATATTTACATAACAAATATCTTTTTTATACTTATCCTAAAATAAATCAATCTAATTATGCAATAAATATATTCTTTTCAGCTGGCAAAAGTGTTATCATGGAAGAGTGACCCTTTTATTTTTACTTTCATTCATTATTTATTTATTCCAACGTTTGGTCATTTTCGCCTTCGTAATTGTACTCCTTCTCTTTAGCCTCCTTTGTCATGTAACTCTTGTTCCTCTTCCTATGCATTATTACTAGTTTTTACCTTTTATTATTTAAATATTCAATAATTGACATTATTTATAATCATGTTTCTCTTTTATTCGTATGTTATATTTTTTATATGCACGTATGTCAATATTGTTTTTCAAAATTAACACGAGTTATAAAAAAAAATAAAAAAATCTTCTTGTCATGATGTTATTTTTATATATTTTCTTTTAATTTGATTTTTTAAACTTACTTAAGTTAATCATATACTTTCTTACAATTTATATTTCCTAATTTTACTCAAATTTAAAAGTACTCATAATAACCGATAATTATCCTTTATTTATCAAAAGAAAGAGAACAGTACAAGAATTTTTCTAACATAATTTATTAACTCTAGTATTCTAAAATTTAAATATGAGAATATCTTCTTTTGTATTTTCTATCTTTCATGTCACTTCTTAATATTTTCAAAATTTTCAAATTATTAATTCTTTATATATATATGAAAATTTTATTTTATATTAAAATTTTGATGCAAATAATTAATTGTGTGTATTTTAAAATTAGATATTTCAATTTTAGAACTTATTTTCTTGATTTAAATTTTAATTTTTTTATTTAGATTAAAAATAAATTTAAGTTACTCACATTTTTGTTTATGGTTACGAGGGAATCTGGCAACAAAATAATATGCATCGCGAATTCATGACTATGAACGAATCTACACAGCTTGGAATATTGACATCTTCAGGGAATATAAATTAGAAACGATGTGTCCCAACATCACTCTCGATGTGATGGATTCTAATTCTTGAGACTTTAGAAAAGACATCTATAGATTGTTTAGGATTTGCTTGAAATTAATTTTGTACCATATTAATTCTATTTTGGTAAAAAAGAATTATCTTTTTAGTTTCATAATAAGTTTATTTTGCTTATTTATTATATAATTTTGATTATAATTAATTGTTTGATAAGTACCATTAACAAAAGCGATTTTTTTTTATAAAAGGCAACATTAATTACTTGATGGGAAAATAGTGGCCAGAAACAGAAAGCGAAGGGATAAAAGGGTTAGCCGTATAAGGCAGAGAGGGCAGAGAGTACTGCGGTACACCTGTCTGAGCGTATGCACCAAAGGGTTAAGGATGAGGACACCTGTGACCCTGAACACTGCCCTTCACAACAAGGGTAAGTAACCTTTTTCAAATTTCTCCTTCTATTCTATCTAGGCCTATAGCTCCTCTCTGTTATGCCCATCTATCTACCCTAACAAAGAACCAAATTTTCCCTTCAAATTTTGATTTTTTCTGCACTGCGTTGGGCAAAAGGCTCAATCCAGTAATGGGAGATGGTTGTGTGCTTCAGGGCACCAGCAATTCCAACAAGGGTAAGGATAGTAATATTAATAATAATAAAAAGAATAAGAAGAAGAAGAAGAACAGGGGTGGCACCAAGAAGAAGATGACCCATGAGCAGGTTCTGGCCTTCAAGTTTGTGAGTGAATGGGTTTTCTTGGATCACCCTTCTTCTGCTTTGGCTTCTTCAACTTCCTCTTCCTGTGTTGTGGATGATTTTGGGGTGCATAAACCACTGGGGAGAGGTGGGGATAAGCTTCTCTTTGAATTGCATTCACACTCCAAATTCAGTGATGGGTTCTTGTCCCCTTCCAAGGTTGTTGAGAGAGCTCACATGAACGGCGTAAGTTTCGATGTCCTTTTTTTTTTTCTTCAACGATTAAAAGTTGTGTTTTGATGCTTAGCCTAAGCCTGATTGTGAAATGTATACTTCTTTTTAACATCTGTACACAGAACCTCAAAAGCTGTTAGTTACCTTTCTATTGGATATTTTTCAAGGTAGTTATTGTTATAGCCAGAAACAAAGCAAAACAACACAAATAAATATAAAATAAAATAAAAAAACTCAGCTGAGTATTATTAGGTTGTGCTAGTCTCTCATTGTCTTCTGCATTAACTTCCATTTTGGTAATATCCGCTAATCAAAAGATCAGACCATGGATTAGTATTTATAAATTAAAGGGATGTTTCCTTGAAATTTGTGCACCTTTTAACTAAGACGTTGTCTAATATTTCTATGACTATTTAATAAGGATAATGAGGCCACTTAAGAGATGGTATAGGTGATAGAAAGTTTGATACAGTGGAGAGTCCTCTAAAATAAGTGAGGATGAAATTTATGATCGATTTGATTTTGTTTATGGATTGCACTTTCTACTTATTTCAAAATCCTGTTTAACCATGATATTCAAAGATTATTGCCTGAGCCACCACACCAGCTTTGCATAGGATTTCCTTTTTTAGTGTTAGGCTCATTCTTAATTATACTATTTGCTCATAACAGGTGAAAGTTCTTGCTCTCACAGATCATGACACTTTGTCAGGCATACCTGAGGCTGTAGAATCAGCTCGTAAATATGGCATCAAGATAATCCCTGGTGTTGAAATTAGCACAATATTTTCTCCTAGGTAATTTTTATTGCTGATTCCTTGTGCCTTTTAATTGAATTATAACACTAACCTTTAAATTACTTGAGTTGTTTCTCTCTCTTTAGAGAGAGCGATTAAGAATTTTTACGAACTATAGTTTTCTAAATCAATTATACTTGGTATCTTTTCTTTTCTCCAATACTTTGATGGCTGGCAGGGGTGATTCTGAAGCAGAGGAGCCAGTTCATATTTTAGCATATTACAGCAGTATTGGACCAACAAGGTTTGAGGAGCTGGACAAGTTTTTATCAAATATAAGGGATGGACGTTTTCTTCGTGCAAAGAACATTGTCCTAAAATTGAACAAGCTCAAATTGCCTCTTCAGTGGGAGCATGTCTGCAGAATTGCAGGCAAGGGGGTTGCCCCAGGGCGGCTTCACGTAGCCCGTGCCATGGTTGAAGCAGGTTATGTAGAAAATCTCAGACAAGCCTTTGCTCGATATCTCTTTGACGGTGGACCTGCTTATTCCACGTAATATTGCATTGCTTCCTCTTGTTGATTGCAATTATTTGTGTAGTTAAGGAAAATGGTCAAAGATATGATGATAATTGTGTTGCAGGGGAAGTGAGCCTCTGGCAGAGGAAGCAATAAAAATGATTTGTCACACTGGGGGTGTTGCTGTTCTGGCTCATCCATGGGCATTGAAAAACCCAGTTCCCATTGTCAGGAGGTTGAAAGAAGCTGGCCTTCATGGAATGGAGGTCTACAAAAGTGATGGAAGGCTAGCAGGTACATGTTTAATAGCAAAACTTTTTTCATTTGTTTATTTGTTAAAATGATGTTATAGAATAGTTTAGGATTATCAATCTCCATATAAAACCAAACCTAGTGTTTATGTACTTTGTCAATTGTCGTAACAAGTTGAATCATAATTTATTCCAAACGGACATCATAAATTGTTCTAGTTGCACTACATGCCTTTTCTCCCCCTCCTTCCACTTGCCCTATTCAACTGTTTGATAATCTGAATTAGCTATTCTAAATTTTAGTCCAATTTATGAGAGAAAAACTCATCAGCTTTGTCAACTCGTGTATCAGAACATCCATTTGTTTCTGACTAAGACTATACATATATAGTCATAAATTACCTTATTGAATTTGTGTGATGGGAATTTATTTCATTAAGCAGAAATAAAAGTAAAATCTTATTGATTTGTTCTTGCATATTAATTTTTGCTTTTGGTGTCCAGCATATAGTGACCTGGCTGATGCCTATGGGCTTCTAAAAGTTGGAGGGTCAGACTATCATGGGAGAGGAGGGCACAACGAATCTGAACTGGGAAGTGTGAACCTTCCAGTACTAGTTTTGCATGACTTCCTTAATGTAGCTCGGCCAATCTGGTGCAATGCCATCAGGGAAATATTAGAGTGTTATGCTGAAGAGCCTTCTGATTCTAACCTAGCAACAATTACAAGGTTTGGGAGAACCCGGGTTTTTAAGGGAGGTTCACCCTTGAGTTGTGGACAGGACTTGATTGATCACTGTTTACCTCTCTGGTTGACTAGCCAAGAGATGGAAAATGCTGGGTTTGAAGCTATCAAGTTGAAGCTTTCCAATGTTTCTGTTAGTCATGGAGGAGGAATTCAGGTTCTCATTGAGACTTGATAGTTTTGTATGGCAGCAGATATGTTGATGATCATTCCCTGTATTCTTGTCAGCTAATCTTAATATTAATTTTCCCAAGTTCAATTGCCTATTGATTTTTTTGAATTTTTTCTATGATCATTAAGCAAACATTTCTCAAATTATTGTTTTATCTTCCATCACTGATGGGATTTCTTTTGTTATTCTGAATAGCTTGTGTATTCTTCTTAAGAACTTACTTTGTATTAATACGAAAGACAAACTAAATGCAGTTTCCGTTCAAATTTCGTTAAAATTTTCCATCCATTTTGAATTATTTTTGGAGTAGGTAACGTGCTATACAGTCTCTCTTGGTAGTGGTAGAGAGTAATTTAGTTTGCCGTAGCTAGAAGATTCGACAAATCGTGTACACTATCAATTAATAAATGGCTCAATCATCAATCATTTTTGTCAGTTTTCAAAATTATACAGTTCCAGTAGTATTCATACTCCCATCAATTTGGCGGTGCAGGAATCCGATTCTAATTGAACTTGCTGCACTAACCATTAAAACCACCTATGCATTAGATTAAAGGAGCTTCGTGAGGAAGATGAAAAAACGAAGTCTTTTGAGAAAACAACTATATGTAAATGATGGGGGGAAATTTTTTTGAAAGGTAAGGTTCTAGTTGGATTGTAGTCGTAAATCTGCTGTTTTCAATAACGACTTTGATTTTCTCAGATAAGGACACCGTTGTTCAAATGGATGTACTTACTATCATAATAAAATTATTATAGGCTAGCCCCACATCGATAGGAATTAACATTATCATACTACTTAGTCCCACATCGATGGGGAAGGACCTTATTAGACATGAAACTGTCTCATATATTCCGACCCGGGACACAGTAATTCTCATCTTTGCGCTTGGGGCAATGACGCAGCTAGTGAGGTTCTAACCGAGGCGCGTCTATTGCTGGTTGAAAACTATTTCCAAACCCCCTCTTAGGCCTGAGTTTGGCTCAGGCCTTCGAGAATTTCTGGAAGGGCTCCCTTTGGGGTAAAGCCCTGCAAATTTAGTTCGAGTTTTGCCTCAGATTTTGGGTGTTAGTGTCAATGGTTGTTGGAGATTATAATAATCTGTTTTAAGTTACATTAAGCGTAGAACTTCCAATTGTTGTTGCCTATCAGCAAATGGAATTCTTGCTTAGCCAACCCGGAGGCAAATTTTTATTCGTGTTTTTTGCTGTTAGCGACTTTGCTGTGCACATTTATTGTTGTTCTAATTAAAGTGTTTATTCTAAACCGCAGCATCCATGTTGGTCTTTGATCGGTATACATTTTTCCAATCCGACGCTAAATAATCGAATTCTAAACTACATTAAGCCGCAATACCCCTTTTGCACGGTTATTCTTTTAACTTAGCTTGAAAATAATATTCATTTCTTTAGCTAAGCTATTAGGTTTCGTATTCATTCTTTATATTATAATAATTATAATAACCTGCTTTGCACGGTTGTTTTTTTCTTGATTTAAATATTTTAAAATAAAAAAAGAAAATGACCAAATAAGGAAATATGTATGATGATGAGAGGGCCAAAAATTTTCTCCACTTTTGGACATAACTGACGCAGCCATGGCAGATTGGTAGTGGTAGACCATCTAAGTGTACCTCACTACCTAGAAAATATTTATTTGTATGTTTTAATGAGTAATGATCAAGTAGCAAAGTGTAATATGAAAGTAAGGTAATGGAGATAAATTTATATTAAACAAAGTACATGACGATTTGAGGAACCATATATTTGGTGAATGGTTGGGGTGCGAGAAATTTGGTGCCTGACAATCATGCATGGAACAAGGAACTAAATTTACGGCTCAGACTCAAATGCCAACTCAAAAGGTTTTATCTTATTTGGTGCGAATCTACATAAAAATGGTGCTTGAATCTAAATGATCGAAAAGGAATATCTTAATTCACAAATATTTATAGTTTTGACTTACGATTTTCATCATTTAGTTATAATTGTATTTTCCATGTAACCCGGAATTACTGCTCTAATTAGTTAAAAACTCATTCGTAACTCTACCTAAAATTGTTGATTGCTGTAGCTAAATTACAAACATTAACTAAATAGATAGGAAATGGGACAACAGGTTTAAATCCTAACTTAACCGGTTCAATTTCTTCAATTTCCATGAAAATCTTCGCAAGATTACAGCATAGAGCAATAAAAGAACCGTATGTTATCCATGATCATGTCACATATTATGCAGCAAAAATAGCAAAAAATTCCAACTCTTTGCATTCCTCATATTCATCCGTACATGGAAAAAAAGGCACCAAAGTAGCAACTGAATTGAAATTGCTACACATGAAGGGGTAAATCATGATCCAAAAAATACACCTCGTTCATCAGCTCTGCTTAATCTTGGCATTACGTGCATATGAGATCGCATTATAAACGATACTCAATGCACCAGCCAACCATGAACGTCAAGAAAGCAGACTCAGTTAGATGACCCACGTAGGATGTGATCACATCATGTATATTTGCCAAGCTCCATCTTCCTTTTTATTGTTCTCTGACCATAATATATCGATGAATCTACTATTCCCGCAACAGTGAATATACCTGCGTAGAAAGGTTGAAATCCATTTTTAATCAGTTGCATAAGGCACAAGACAAGTGAATTATGAATAGCAAAAGTATGTTTTAAACAGATATGTTTGGATAAATACATATGTAGAGAAAGAGAGAGAGAGACAAAAAGGGGGAAGAGAGAAGTTCATATATTCATGAATCATTGATTCTCAGACAGAAGTATAATTATCTTGAGAAAGGATTAATTCAGTTAACAGAAAATGGCGAAGCAATCAGTTTTTTTCACTGTTAAAATATGTCACAAGTCATAACTATCAGGCTGGTTATCAACTGTAACATATCCCAACTTTTTTGTCTACATATTTACAACGAAGCACTTGTTTGATAAGAAATTAGTCTATCGCCCTTATCTTGTTCATTTTCCAGGCTGGAGTGGATAGAAAAGAACAAGGAATTACCTCCAATAATTGCACAAACATTGGTCAGGAAATGTAAAAAAGGAATATGTTCCTCTTTAAAGTTGACCTGCAACATAAAACATATCAATTACCAAATAGCCAATAACAAAGTCCTCTTTTTCTATGAATTGCACAATTATATGCATCATGTAAATTATGTGCAAAAAATTTGGCACTGAACCCCAAATTTCACAAATGTGCACCATTCACTACACGACAAAATGGTCAGAAGATTATCTTATAGGGTGTACCAAGACTACTAGGCAATTTTACCTTGATTGGAGATATGTCATAAAAGAAGAAAACTCCAGGAATTGCAGCACCCAGCTCTGAACTCTTGAAATGCTCGGTCACAGAATACTGTGCAAATGACATTTATGATGTTACTTAGGCACTGTCCAATGAAACATGAAAAAACAGTATGTTCATGATATCAAAAATACCTGATTCGAATGGATAACATGACCTCTAATGTCTGTGTATATTGTTGGGACCACCTGTAATGCATGCACAAAGAGGTCCAAACATGCGTCAACCCAGTGCATAATTGCATGCACAATATTCATACGGTTAGAAGAAAGCGTAAAAACAACATTGGATGCAATATTTTGAAACAAATATTCAAGAACATTTTTGCTGGTTCTCTTATATAGAGTATACAAGACAAATACAAGAATCGACTAGAGTTTGTTACAAATGAATGCAGTATACATCACCATAAAAAATGAACATAATAGAAATTCATAATGATTAATAAAATTTAACATATATTGCAAGCATCACGATGAACTCAGTATCGGTTAACAGTTTCCATAAAAATGACAGTATAGTCAATATCTCACTAAATCATTAGTCACATATTTAATGAGGAAAATATTCCCTGATAGTACCAACTACCAACCTTTATGAAATACTGGTACATGCCATGAGTTGGTCCTTGCACCCATTTTGCCCTGCAAGGGATTGGAAGGAGAAAAAAAGTGTTTAAATGGTTGAGGGTGGGTGAAAGAATTCAGTCACAGAATAGGTTATCATTTGCTTAGGACTATACATGAGAAACTAACTTTGTACTCATGGTCAAATTACATGTAACTGAAGAGAGTAAAGAAAAAAGTGAATAATATAACAATTTTCTGCTTCAGCAAAGCTTCACTGCCAAGCTTTATTGCAGCAAAGCATGAATAGTATGTGCACTAGTATCTAAAACCAATCTCATACCTGTACCTAACAGCTTAAATCTCATACCTACTTCAAGTTTTAGGTACATTATGATTACAAGTTATTCTCCCTTCCACTGCACTTTTCAGCTTTTACTACTCAAACCCTCTATTATGAAAATCAATACAAAAACTAGGAGGTTAAAACTTCAAAATGCTACAAAGCCTAATAGATTTGTAAGTGAAACTATAAGCTAATGGGTGTTTTTGCACTTAAAAGTTCTTCTCACCCTTATTCAGCCCTATATGTTGAGAGAATGGGGGAGAGGGAGAACATGTTCATTTGCAGTAGCTGAGTTAAAGGTTCATCTTGGTGGCCAACCATTTGAATTGAAATTTCGGCTACACCAAAGTTTGCATGTTGCCTTGTTATCAACAAATAGGGCTGAATTGTAATAAATGGCATTTGGCCATGCTCTATCCATGAAGTAGACTTACTTAGTTACCAAAACTATTGTGATCTGTTTATTTCTTTTTAAAGCTCTCAAATGGACATTTGGCAGAATGAAAACATATTTGCATCTCATTTTAGTGCCTTGCAATGCAAGACAACATGGTCTGTGTTGAAAGCAATTTAAACCATATGAATTAAGTGTTTAGTTATATATACACATTAATAATTAATAACGGGAAAGTAACTTTCGTTAGAATTTCATTTTTTATTTTAGATCCATATTTAAGAATCTACTAGTGTGAAAACACCTATAACATCCTTGTTACCAGAAAACAAAGGCTTCTGCTGGAGAAGAAAGAAAATTACCTGTCGAGAGGGTTTACCAATCCAGGGAAATGATCACCAAAACTTAATTTGTTGATCTGATGACTTATCTGCATCGTACGCCATATTTTGAAAATCAATCATGAGATTGCAAGCAGCGGGAAAACATCATATATTTGTCAATGTTTTTGCAATATAATACATACTTCAGGCAAGGGATATTAAAAACTCAGTTCGGTCTTACATTATAATGATTATCTTGTAAAGCAAGCAGATCAGTCAAAAAGATAGCAGAATGAAGAAAGCTCTTCCCAGTTGCAAAATGAAAATTTCCTGCCACTTTATTAATGACAAGTGATCCATGAATATTGCATCCTTCACCTTCTTCATCCTTTACCCTCTGTACATAACCCTCTCTTTGACACTAAAAGCAAAAGCAAAGTGTCAGAAAGAAATAGTTAAATTGCCCAATGCTCAAAAACTGAATAATGATTTCCAGAGCTTTTAAGCCATAAACAAACAAATAAACAACGGATACATACAGTTAAGACTTTTTAATTTTTGGATAAAAGAAGAAATGCATTAAGAAGAGGAGCAGAGGTTACAAGGAGAATAGAGGATAAGGAATCCTCCTTAACAAAAGAACAAAACAGAAAAAAAAAAAAAAACAGAGAAAAGAGAAAATCAGTGCAGCACATATTCCAAATCCCTCAACATATCGATTAAGGGAACTCCATTACAAAGGGCATGTGCTTTACGCCAAAATTTGAAGCCAAATACTTAATTTTGTTCCAAACTATCCTTGTGTGCCATAGAATCCTCCTTAACAATTACGATACTTAGTCTCCAACCAAATGTAAGGTTTCACATTGCCACAAAAAAATATCCTTTTTACTTCTACTGAAACCATAAAAGCTAATCAATGAGCATTGGTCCTAGGACCTCAAGAGACTCAGACGCACCCAACATTCACCAAAAGTTCTGAAAAAGGAATTTCATAAAGAAACTTCAAGTGTGAACCATTAAAAATCCTATTTGTTAAGTAAAATCTGGTAGCTAAAATCAGTGATGATTAATTGGTGTAAAGTAGGAGGCTGATTATAAGGTGATTCAGAATATAATTGTATAATCTTCCTCTCTAGTAAACATGTCAATCTCTAAATCCTTGACACGTCATTTCTCTTCATACAGAACTCTTCCTTACAAACAATCCCCTAGTTGCTGCTTTGAGTCAGAATCTGATTTTTCTGGGCACCTAATCCAATATGGTAGATTGAAATTATTCACTACTTTTCTTGTATGAGCATGAATGGTGTAATTAATGTGTGGATAGGCAGTCATAGTTCCAGCACTAGTTGAGTTTATATCTAAAAGCATAAAAAAATAAGAAAGAGAATTGATTTGAACAAAAAATGGGTTGAAAGAGAATTTTGAGATTGAATATGATCCTTATGATTAGTACTTAATTTATTCTCTTTGCCTTTTGTTTTTTTGTTGCTTTTTAATCTGTTAATTTTCCTTAAACCATTATTCATTTTTCTTTCCCCTAGCTGTAATAGTTCCCTTAGCCTCATTATAACCAATAAAAACCCTTCTAACCTCTATTTTGCATATTTGCATGTTAACAATTAGCAGTGAAGAACATGTTGACAAACAAACTTATGACAGTGCAATTTCCTGTAAAGAATTGAAGTAAATTTCTTTAACTTAAACACCTTTGAGAAATGGAAAGAGGACTGACTGCATTTTTGCTAGTACAGGGAATGTTCAAGTTAAGCTTCTACTTGCCTGCTATCCTAAGTTGGATATGATTGCCAAACATGGCTCATTTTAAGTTTTGAAATTTCTTTTGATTTGGAGCTGATTCAGAATTTTTGTTTCAGTGCATGTTCTTTACTTGAAGACAAGCAAAACGTTCAAGTGTGTGTTAATAAGCTTGATTTGAAGAATCCAACATGGAAATTTAGGATTCGTTGATCATTTCTGCTAGATTCTTATAAAGTTTCCACATCTATTTTAGAATTAAGGAATTATACGAAATCAGGAGAAAAAGAGCATGAAAATGCAAAGTTTGAAAGGACATTATCATGTGTCCATGAGCTCCAAACTGAGGAGAACTGCAGCCAGGACATGGTGAAAATCATATCTGACTTCAAGACATGGATGTTTGTCTTAGAGACATGGCCATGTCAATAGTTGATTGTTTAGAGGGAATTTACATTTCTGACATGCTGAAGCATGAAAAGCTTCGTCCTATTCCAAACCTCCATAGTTCTCTATTTTCCATTTAATTTCTGTTTTGGAGGATATATTGTCCTCCCCTTTCTCTTTTATATCCATAAAATATTATTTTTCCTATTAAATAAATCACATCATGGCAATCATTAAAAATTTGGTGACCATACCCAACAAAATACTTTGGATGTTAAAAGTCAGCCAACTACTAATTACACCACCCACACCTCAACCCTGTCAAAGAAGAGGATTAATGGTCCATGATGATTCCCACTAAAAATTCAAGCATCAGCAAAAAATACATTAGTCCAAAACAATCAACACAGGTGTTAGAATTCATTCAACAACAAGCTCAGAAAGGCATTATATCTGAGCTGAGGGTTTATAGAATAAGCTACAGTTGGAAACTTCTCATTGCTGTTGTTAGCCTCCTCATTACATTCTTAAGCTTTTATAAAGTATAGTAAATATGCTTCAGCAACAACACAAGTAAAATGTTTACAGCCTCATAACTGTGGCATTTGCGTCTAAAGTAAACAACAGGATTCATGTGTTATACAAAGTGGGTTGCCAACCTGGTCAATCAAATCCATATTTGACAGTGCCCAGCCCTTTTTCCTATATGCTTCACGCACTTCTTCACAAGAATTACAACATTGGTCATCTGACTGCATGAGAGAGAGAGAGAGCATGGAGACATATAAGAAATTAGGAAAAAAATTTGTAAGTTACACTAAAATGATGGTGAAAAGAATGCACAGAAAAATATACAGTTTAGCCAGCATATTGAACAACTAAAATGAAAGCATTAATGATCATTATTTAATTTAACTCTCAAACTTAGTCAACCATATATTCTAGGATCACACAAGAACAAATGCTACTGTGTTAATCAAGACAAAATTTCTTGTCCAGCATGCTACTCCGCAAACATTTGCACCAGCTTAACTTTGTCAACGACATAAATACATTTAACAAAATGATTTGGGATTTATCATTGTTATTGTCATTGTTACTAAAAAATAATAGTGAACACGATTCTCCTGCTTAAGAATAAGCACACGGAAATACTATAGAGTATATACCTTCCTATTTTTCCAACTTACCAAACATGAGAACATGATGTAACTAAACATAAAAGGGATAGAACAGAAATTGATTATATCAAAGGCAAAACAGTCAGTGATATGAAAACTAAAGGTAGAAAAAACAAAGTTAAATCTAAAATTATCTAATCTAATACTACAACAACCAAGCCTTTTCTGAGTTAATTATCTAATCTAGAAAAGTAATAAACTGTATTCCAATGTTATATTAGATCAAGGCTTCAAAACAGTAACACAGAAGAAATGTTGAGACTTGAGAGTAGCTTACAAAGAAATTAGGCCAGGGCATAAAAAATGTATCATGTAAGGAAGGTAGTAGTTAGAAACTTCACCAGATATCAACATCAGATGGACCGTTCCCATCTCATTCAAACAGATAAAATCACCTGGAAGATGTTTTATTCAGCTTTCGATGTTTCCATTTTATTTTTTTAATGTACAGAGTGCAGTGACAAGCAATTTTTTTTTAATTACATGTACAGAGCATACACACATTCGGATTTCTGTTCAATGTCAATAAATAATAGAGTAAAACACGTTTTTTCAGTGTAACAGCTAAATATTTTTTATTTTTAACATTTTTCTTCAATGAGGCACTAGTTTTTTGGCACCCTTGATTTCCCTGTTTAGATAGATCCCTAAATTTTTTATTGTAGTTAAATCTCACGAAATTCTGCCACCATGACCCTTGAAACCTATTTCCTCCCCCATTTTTCTGATAAAAGCCCAAATCCTTCACCTAAATTTTTTTTAAATCAATATCTATCAAAGCCTTGCACGTATTGACAGTTCAAATTGATTCCCCAGTACATATTACAGTAGTTACACATATAAGAAAACTAGAGCGAATTTAAGGATAGTAAATAGTCAAACTACCTCTTCCGCACCAAAACATGACCCACAATACTTTTCATCATGTCCAAGTCTGCCACCATGTTTCTGTAAGGGCCTCTCAATCTGCATTAGGAAAGATATACAGGAAACCAAAAGGTAAATTAATTATACATGAATATCAACCTTTGTCTTTTCATTTTCAACGAAAAAAAAAATAGTAGAAACATGATGAAAAATAGAAAAATGGATTTCAACTCCTCTAAGATGCACAAGGTCCAAGACAAATAGCCACATTATAAGTTTGCCCATCAGATTCATAGGTATTAACAGCAGTTGTCTTTTTAATTTATGCCAACAATTATTGGTGATGAAGAGGGACAAACCAAGATCTAAGAACAAACTCTATAAAGGCAAAAACATTACATTATCAAATGCATCATGCAGTCTTTGCAAATGTAGACAACTCATTACTATGTATAATCTTTTGTATACCAGTGATCAAATAAAGAATTCAGAGAGAACCCTCTATTTCTTATAACATTCAGAAGAAAGAGCAACATTATTGACATGGGAGAACAAATATGATGCAGGGAAACCAATCTACAAGAGAAATAATCAGAGATTCAGCAATAGAATGCCAAACCCAGTCCAACGCTAACCTTTGGTGCACCAATTCCATCCTTCTTTGCTTCTATCACATTACCATTTGCATCGATTCTTTTCTTCACTATATTATGTCGCTGCAAATAGCAAGAGTATAGCATAAATAATAATTAACAATAATATGAACAAGAGACTTGGAGAATGATAGATAATATGAAAAAATGCAGTGAATCAAAAAGTATAAATATGCGGTATTGCAGTTAGAGTTACTAGAACTGAAAATTAAATGATAAAAGCTAATTTAAGCAGTACATACTATATCAATATGCTGCTCGCCACTAATATCCATTGCGTCCAAACTGAGTATTGAACATCGAACAGAAGGAAAAGTGACATCAAACTGCATTTCAAACAGGGAAAAAAGAATCAAATTTTTACTCTGAAAAGGAAGAGTCAATACAAAGACTAGTCTGGGCAAAGTTACAGGACATAAGAAGTCAAAGACAATCAAACCCAAACAAAATCATTTGAAATAATAGCATTTATACAAATTGTATATTATCTATCAACAATAAATGACCAATTGACCAAAGCAATAAATTTATCAAAAAAATAAAAAAATGCAATCCATGAATACATAGCCCACAGGTTGGACATGGAATACGAAGAACTGAATAAAACTATAAAAGTTACATGACAAATATAACAACAATACTTACATTGATATGCAAGTTTTCCCCTCTTGAAGTATCCACCAAAAGCTTACTCTCTGTGACTGTGTATAGGTATAATCCTGTAATCAAAGTAACAGATAACATTATTAATGTTTAATGGGAAAGACAGTAGTCACATATGTATGCAGCATGGTAATGATTCAGACAAAAGATAGCATCGGTTATCTATGTTTATTTTAAGATCACTTCAGCGTTTTAAAGATTGGATCTATACCTTTTATCCCTAAAACTCAGTAAAAAAACAGCCACAGCCAGAGCAATGACTCCATCATATGATACTTGCAGAAAAATAAGCTTCAGGGGATAAAAGGGTAAGCACTAGAAATAGAGCATCACTAATTGAACCTGATACCACCCTTGCGCCAATAGTTGATACATTACTCTCAAGTCATAAATCAGGGTCCATATTGTCAGAAAATCTTCTCTGAGATGAATCTATGCACCCAAATGAAAGGCCAAATGGAAACCCCTAACTTGCCATGAATTACATGATTAACACATTGGATCAAACACTCATTGCCTTAGCACTCTCAACCGTTAATTTATTATAAACATGGTAATGGCTGGAAGAGAAAGCAGAATTGGGATAAAAAAGGTGAAAAAAGAAAACTCCAATTCCACCCAATAAGAAATATTTTTCTTTACGAAACTTCCCTTTCCACCGAATAAAGAGACATTTAAAATTCATCTCAATGCAAAACCAGAGAAAAAAAAACTGCGAAGCAGACTACATAAATTGACACGATTTTCTCAACTACCCGGAAACAGAAATCAACGGAATTCAAATTCACCATTCTAAATTTCCCAGCTTTACCAACCAGGTAACAAAAAATCATTCAAAGTTCTAACATTTAAGAAAAAATATAAACAAGAAAAAGCGAGAGATAGGGGCATACTTAGCTCCGAAAAGAAGAGGAAGAACATGACGGCAGCGGAGACGACAGTGACGACGCCGCCGGCGAGCGTGCGACTGTAAAAATCTTCATTGACTTTGGGGTATGCGTCCAAATTGCGGAGCTTGTGGAAGACTTTATCCATGGATGGTCACAAGCACCCACCTTTCAGAGGATATTATCGGAAAAACGGCGCTCCGTCGGCGACGGTGGCCGGAGAATGGCGCGAGCTGAATAAATGGGTTTGTTGAAGAATGAAGAAAGACCCAAACATTGAATCGTATGACACCCCTTATTCAAGGTCAATTCAGTCCAACTTGTCGTCTCACACCTTTTTTCTTTTTCTTTTTTTTAATTTCCTTCTTTTTCTAAATTTTTTCTTGATTGATTGGCAAAATTCAGCTTTTTTAATTTTGGAAATAAATTCTCAAATTAAATTAAATCAGATGGATTACGCCTCTCTGTCTCCAAGTGGATAAACTTTTGAATGATTGCATTCAATACCCATAAATATAATATTAACTGATTTTTATTTCTTAAAATATATTTACTTAATGGATGAAAAAAATAAATCTTTAGATTTGTTCATTTTAAAGTTGCGAATTTCTCCAAACGTTTCTTTTATTTAAAAATAAATTTTGAAATGAAATCTAAAACTTTATGACCGAATTTCTACTATTTATAGTTTATTAACTAAAGATGAGACAAGTAATTTTGTATAAGATATAGTATGTTTAATTAATTTTAATCAATGTAATTGTATTTTAACAGTACTTTTAATTAAGATAAAATTATTGATGCCTCTTGTGTGATAAGTATAAATGTCTTTGTAACTGTACATGTAATTTTGTTATTTGAAAAAATCTTGTATAACTTCGAATTTTGTAATAATATTGGTAACTTATATATATATATATATTGAAGAAGAGAAATGGGGTAACCAGCCTCTCATGCCACAAAAATAATAAGGATTTTACCTTTATTTGGGACATGTCGAAGTCAACCATAAGCATGTAATCCCATAATAAGGCTAATTTTAAGTCCGTCATCATCGTGATAGAGAGAACCATAACAGAGACAGTCGATCCAAGATTTCTAATAGACAAGTTTTTTTCTTAGCATTTTTTTATATAATATATTGAAAAATAGCTTTCGAGAGAAATAAGAGTTTAAAAAGCACGTATAATAGAAGCTAAAAAATGAAATTTGTTTGTCAAATTCTCTTACTCTCAAAAGACTCAGCTCCTCCATTTATAGAGGAGGAGGGAATACAAGCAGAGAACAAACTAGTAATCTACATTATGATAAGCATGTTACTGTTGTTAGAACTTAATCTTTTTTCATTATTTTACATTAGACAACACAATTATTGTGCTACAACCAAAAAATTGACACAAAAACTTAATTATTCAAATATAACAAATAGTCATCGAATGAGCAAGATTTCACTGAGTTGGTCATTGGACAAGCAAGAATTTGCTAAGCTAGTTATTTAAAGATTGGCTCATGTGTGAAAGAAATTTGATTCATTAGGTTTTGTTTCAATTTTTTAAATATTAATAATTTTTAAAAACATTAAGACTTTTTATATTTCAATGCATTTTTCCTTCATAAAATTATGTTTAATCAATAAAATAAAATTTAAAATCATTTTATGGAAATTTTTTACTAATATTCATCCTTAAAATATTGATTAGGCAATCATAAATAGCAAATTTTGTTGAAAAATAAGTTGAGATGCATTAAAAATTATACAATTATTGCATTTTAAGTTTTCAATAAAAAACATTACTTTTAATTCTTTAAAAAAATTGCTTAGGATAATATAAAACATTTAACACAAAGCAAGTTTACATTCATGGTTAGTATTTTCATTTTTATACACTTATTCCAATTTTATTTACCAGTCTAAAGAGATAAAAAAAAATTATTCTTGTTTACCTGATAAGAAAAAAACATAAAAACATATTAATTATATTTTTATATTAATATATTCTGTCTATATACAATATTTTAATTTTTTAACATATACAAAATTACATGTAATAAAATAATAATAATTTTTTTAAAAAATACGACAATACCAATATATTAAATTACATTAAATTGTGTAATTTTTAATAAAAATAATCTATAACCTTTTATTTAATTTTTTATAAATTAAAAATATTTATACTATTTCAATAGGTGTAAGAGTAATTCAATTAATGAAAAAAAAAAAAACAGTTTAGCAACTAATTTTATGAAGATAATCGAATCTCGTGTTTAATTTATTCTTTTATTCTATTGGCTTGCAATCTTGCTAGCTAGTGTGCAATTATGCAAGTAAACGAGGAGTGTTAAATCCAACACCTGACACAAAGGAGGATGAAGATGAAACATATCAATGGATGATATGTTAGAGTTAAGTGTTATATCCACTGAGAAACACCAAAACCAATAGTAGTAGTCATAGTAGGTTCAGGGTAGGGTTGAATCAAACACACTAACACAATGAGCTTGTCTCTTATTCAAGGCTATTCTTCCGCCGAAGAAGACGACCAAGACCAAATCCAACCCCACAATTCCGATGTCGAAGATTCTGACGATGATGGCGCTGCCGGCGAACCCTCCGCCGCAGACCACCCTTCTCTGGGGGACAGATCCATCTTCGACCACCGTCCCAATCCTCCTTCTGCCTCCGGTCTTCCTTCTGCATTCGACGTATTCTCCGAAGTAACTCCCATTCCGCAATTCAAGTTTTCAAATTTCGGAATTCCGATAATCGAAATTTTTAATTTTGCCCCAGTTATTGAATTTGTTCTGTTACCCTAACGGAGATTTCAGGACCGCCCCAATTTCTGAACAACAGCGTGGAAGAGTACAACAACAACCCTGCAAGAGATTCTGATCTGCAACAACAAGGGAGGCATGCCACTAGGAGGCAGCGCAGGGAGAAGAAAGATATACCCACAGGTTTCATATCATTCTTTTTTCTTTTGGGGATTTTTCATCTCAAATATGGTTTTGTATGCAAGATATGCAACTTGTGGTCTCATGGTGTAGAAGGGTCTGTTTGGTTTGGAGTGTGGATGTTATGTGGTTATTAAGCTCTAATTCACTTTGGATAGAACTAAGTCTCAATATTTCTTTTGTCTATGGTACAAGCTATTCACGAGGTGTTGGTATTGATTTTGGGTAGTTTTTCCTTGCCCCTTTAGACCTGCGGATCTGTTGTTGTGTGTACAACTACATAGAGTATTCAGTGTGGCTGTTTACTATTGATTGCAAACATTTTTCGGGTTTGTAATGTTGTTAGCTCCTCTAAAGTAAGAAAGTGAGACTTTACTCATCATTGATGTGGGTTAAAGTATTTTGTAAACATAATTAACTTTAAATCAACAATAGATAAAGCTTCACTTTTTCCCTTTGTGCATCTCTTTACTTTAGGGAAGCCAAATCCATTAATTTGTTACTTGTGCAAGTTAAGCAGCTAGGCCTTAATTTGGGGTGGATTAAAAATAATGAGGGGTGACTAAGCTATAACTCCAGATTAATATGTTCATGTGTGTGGATATAGTTTCCTGGTGCTTAATTGCTTCTGAAGAAAAAAATTGTATATCATATGGATATGGATTTAACTTTTGTTGACTGGTCCAGTGATCGATCACTTCGTTAGTCACACAACACCAGTCCGTAGTGTAAATGATAAAGATTTTTAACATGCCATATTCTTTTCTTTTATTGGCAACTCGTCTTGTGAAATTTTGGTCACGGCTGGTACTGGCAATCTGAGATTAAAATTATTGAAATCCTTTCTGATACTAAAATCTCCTGTATGTTAATCTTTTATTTATTTAAGACAGATTAATGATTATCAGAACACCAAACTTAAAAGCCTTGAACAATATAAAATGTGCTTTTTATTGTGTTGTGTACTTATGGACACATAGTATGCAGGCATTAAGGGGTGTTTAGAAGAGCTTATGACTTTTGAGAAGCTTATGTGTCTTACAAACTTTTTTTATTTTATTTCAATAAATTTCTTAGTATAGCTTGTCAAAATAAACTCTTCTAACTTATTTAAATAAAATTCATGATTAAATTATGTCATGGCCTTCATATAATAAGAGATTATTGAATAACTACTTGAGTTATGTATCAAAACACATTCTAAATACTAGTGTAACCACTTAGAAAGCAAACATTGAATGATTATTTCCTTTTCAATGTAATAAATTTTTTTTTACTAGTATAATATTCTATTCTTGACTTCTTATCATGTGTCCATGGATACTCAATAGAAAACACGTAAAAGAATTGAGATTGAACATTCTACCATTAATTGAGTTGAGAGTTGAGAGTTGAGAGTTGAGAGTTGAGACTTCCAACTACATGAAAAAAATTAAAGCAGATTCACTGAAGCTTTAAATAGCTCTTTCAAGCTTTTTACAATGTGTATGTGTTTTTTTGGAAGATATCTTCTACAGACCTTTTCCTGAACAAATTGCTGAGACAATGAAAAGAAAAGATAGAAATGCTTCTGATCTGGCTTTTTTAAAGAAAGATAAATAAATAAATTGCATGGTTTCCTATCAAGTTTAAAGAGAATGCTTCTAGGTGATTGTTGTTTAAGTCGCTGTATCTGAAATGCACTTTTACCAGGAAAACAACTAGTAGGTAGTTAAAATCAATTTTTCTTAGGCATTGTCACATTGCTTCATGTGTTGACTCAGCTGGTAGTTGTTAAAATGAAGAATCCTCTCTTAATTTTTTTCTTGTTGTGGGTTAATCTTGTTCATTGGGTATAGATGTGTTTTCCATTCAGGTGTAAAGTAAATATTTATGATACATTCCTTATAGGTGCGGTGGTAGAGGCAAAAGCTCAACTAGTTGGGATTCATGAGCGAGTAAGAAGTGACATCAATGGTGGTCAACCGCCAATATCAACTGCCTCGGGCGCATCAGAAGGAGGCAAGCGGATGCCAACTGCAACAAATCCTAATGCTGAAGATGCTGCAGAGCTTTTGAGGTATTCATTATTCCTTACTAAGTAGTAACTAAGGACCTAAAAATATTGTTTTTTACTCTCTTTATATCAAGAATGCTGCATGTTGTCTGTACATAAAACTCCTTTGTGAGTTCACAATAGGTGTAACATGGAGAAAGTGTTTATGATATGAGATAACTAGGAAGTTCCTCTTTATTCTTGGAGCAGAATTGCATTAACTCAAGGAATAAGTTAAAAACATCATATTATCTTATCAGTTTTTCTAACGTGTGTCCAAAGATACACAATAATAAATACTAAGTTTTTATTAAAAATTGTTGCATTTAATGTTATCAATACATTGAATTCTATTATTTTCAATCAAAATTTACTATATATAAATATAAATAGCTTCTGAGCACACATCAGAAGAATCGTTATCTGATATATATACATGAATAGATATTTTCTTGGTTGCTGGTATTCTTAAGTACTTCACTCTCTGTGTAGAATGTGCTTGCAATGTGGGATTCCCAAGACCTTCTCAAGTGAACGTGGAATGGTCTGCCCTGTATGTGGTGATCGCCCTCCAAAGGATACCAGCACCGAGTCCAAGAAGAAAGGATCAACTATCAAGGATAAGGAAAAATCTAAAAGGATGAAGGGCCAATCATCCCATGCATCCTGGAAAAGTGAAACTGAGATGCAATTAAGGCAACAATTTGATTAGCATTATCTTTGTCTCTTTGTAGTTTCAGATACCTGGTATAATGTGACGTGTTCAGGACTATGCTGTTAATTAGACAAACTTTGTTGTTAACAATGATTACGGTATTATATTAGTAATTTTTGAGTTTTGTTCTTTTAGGGAGAGAAATCTCTTTTGGCTGTCGTATCTAAACAACGCTACCAAAACTGTCCCTTGGTTGAGTATCATAGACATTATTATTATTATTATTATTTTGACGTTTCTGAAACAAATTTTTGTCTTAGAGCATGTTTAGAATCTCTACAAAATCACTATTTGAATAAATTTGGCATGAAACCAAACATGCTATTGCGAAAAGAATAATAAAACTAGGGCCTAGTTGATCCTCTTCCCTACTTGTTTTAAGAACAAGTTTTGGAAATGAAAAGCTCAAAACTAGCATGAATAATTTTTTCAATAACACATTTAAAAACAAAAAATGCCATTTTAGAAAATTTCGTGTTCGATCTCCGTAAGTAGCACCATGATCAGAAACTTTTCTCTCTGCACAGCACAACTACTATCCTCATGTCATTTGCCTCCATGCAGACATTGTTCACGACTTATCTGTCTCTATAATCTTTGACTAGATGTTCTCTTAGACCTAGTTGTGAGACTAATTTCTTGAGCCAATGATGTTAATTGGGTAATGTTATCTTTAGGGTATGTTTAAAAGTTGGGAGGAAAAGAAAAAAAATAAAATAAAGGAGAATAGTATGTTTGAGAGTTGAAAATTGTAAAGTTTGTTTAGCTTGTAATTCACTTTCATTTAAGTTTTTGAATAAGCTCAATAACGTCGTTAATCTATGAAGTCGACTTTACTTAGTGAAATAAAGTTTAGTGTTGTTCGTAATTTATTTTTATTTAGCTAACCACTAATTGATATTTATTGTTTTGACATATAACTATCAAATGGTCAATTAAAAGAAAACAAATTAGAGGTCTACTAGTGATTTCACGGTGAGATACATTTACATGTCAATCTAGGAATGTGTTTCAAGTGAAGATTTTTATGAAGTTCTAGGGACTTTAGGAGTGTAAAACTAACCAGCAATGATGATTGAAAGTGAAAATATAAAAGAAAAGACACTTCAACATAAAAGAGAATGTGAAATAATTCATACTCCAATAAACAATAACATTAATTTAGGAGGCTCACCACAATCATTGAAAGGATAGAAGAGCAATTAAAAAATAAAGAAAAGAGCAATAATGTTGCTTTATGGTCTATAAGAGAAAGTAGTTTTTGCATCAGTATAATGTTTGTTGACATAAAATATTTGAAGTGATATTAACATAAACTTTATTTAGTATACTTTATTTAAGTAGTATAATTTTCGTACATTATATGTATATTATTAAATTGAAATAATTTTTGTAAATAAAAGTAAACAAATGTTATATGATTATTTTTAATTTTCATAAATTTTATAAATCAAAAAAGATTAAATACGTTAATTATCAATAAAAAATATATCATATCAAATAAAAGTAAATTATGAAAATTTTAAGATATTAAATTAAGATTAAATTTAAAAAATGACATAATAAGAAAAGAACTACTCCTAAAAAGACACTTGTTTAAAATAAGGTACGTAAATTTAGCTACATTAGTTTTCTTTATTCTTATTCAATACTCTAATCCTATAAACTAATTATTATTTCATAATAGAGAAAGTAAAGTGAAAAATTATAATTATTAAATTAAAAAATAACAATTTTGATTGTGATTATATATATATATATATATATATATATATATAGTGTATTTTTTAAGTTTTAATTTTTATTTTTTTTAATGACTATAATTATGATTTTTCTCTTTTATATAATTTTTTATTTTAAAATAGTTGAATTATGATGTGTGCGTGTGTTAGATTAACGTAATTTATTTTATTGATAACTAAAAAAATATTTTAGTTTTATCTTATCTTTTGATTTTAAAATTTACAAAATGAGATGGTCAACATCACAGTCAATTATTTCCTTCACAAACTTTAAAAATAGAAACTAATAAAACACATTGTCTATAATTATAACTAAAATATAATCAATATTTCAAAAAAAAAAATACAAACCCTTCTTTGAAATGGTGGAGTTTTTTTCTTCATTTAAACCTAATAAACCAGACATTTTAAAACCCTTTATCGATCAAAATAAATAAGATTGCAAGAGGGAAACCCTGACAAATTAAACACTTAAGAATAATAACTTTTTGCTTAAAAATAACACATTTATTAAAATTAAATTTATAAAGATATAAACAATTTTTTAGTAAAACTTTATTACGTTTAAATTTAATTTTAAAGATTGAAGTTAATAATTTTTTTAACACCATAATAAAAGTTAATGTTGCATTATTTTTCAAAGTAAAATTCCAATCTTAAATAAAGTTCTACATTTAAGTTTTGTTCAAAAACTAAACTGGTAAACTCAAGTACCCCTGCCCTGTAAAAATGTCTCAATTATGGAGACCATTGGATTCGAATAGCTAAATGCCTATCAAATTAAAAGATCTGCGCCAGAAAATTGTATATTTAACGTAAAAAAACTAACATACACTACCTTAGATTTATGATCGGCTAATTATACATAAATATAATGATATCAAATGCAAAAAAAAAAAATGAATCCCTAACAAAGGTATATGAATAAGTCTCGAATAATTATATATCATGTATGATAGGATGACTGACATGAAAGGAAGACTACCCCCAAAAACCGCCCACGCTAGTTTCACTTCTACCACCTGTTAACCCTTAAGACTTATCTACCCCAGCAGAAGATTCTGCCTCACAAACCAATTTCTCTGTCACTACTGGTGGATTGATCACCGATCCATGTACCTGTTAGTCAAACTGAAAAATAAGACTACCAGCGAAAAACAATTATCTACTTCATTGAAGCATGTTAATAATTTATTATAGCATACCATGGAACTGGGTTTGAAAGGTAAAGGATCATTAAGAGGCAACATTGATGGATCTGAAGGCCTGTGAAACAGCAAGTGTGCTACAGACCGATCAATGGGATTTGTATTAGTCTCAATATTCATGAAGTCCGTACACCTGAATAGAGCAAGCTGTTATACTAATTAAAAATAATAATAAATAAACACTTTTCTGTAGATATTTAAAATGGATGGGAGCTAAGAACAAAGAATGGAGCGAAAACATGAAACTACCCGTGTTCTTCCTCTCCTATCTGTTGAGAAACATTCTTTGTAATTGTATCAACAAAATATTTTTGAAATGTTTTTATTGTAAATATATTTAAATGATATTTAGATTAAAGTAATAAAATTTTCAGAAAATAGTTGCCAACAAATACATGTGGTACATATGATATGATGACTCAGATCCAAAGACAAATTTCCAAATAGTGATAGCACCTGCATGGGATGGGCGGGAGTACTCTGTAACTCTACCATTCCTTGATCCCATGACTCAACTTTTTCTACCCACATCCCCATTGCCTATAGGTCCCAACGAATTCATTACAATTTGAGAACGTGACTAAATAAATGAAGAGAGTGATACCTGTTGCCATCCTGTGTCATTACTGCTTTGCACACTCCAACATCATCACCAATTTGACCAATTGCATTGACATCATTATGTCTTTGTTCAGCACTTTTAGCCAACCGGTATAGACTGTCCCTTATGCACAGTTTGGTTCTAGCATCCAACTGCGATCAAAACGTGTGATTTAGTTCATCTACAATGAGGGGTGCACTTCAAAATAAATAGTGCAAAGTTATAGCTGTTGGTTGGAAAATCAAGAGAATGAATTATATCTTTATAGTTAGTTATGCATGTGTATGTGTGTGTGTTTTCTCAAAATCACAGCCATTGATTTTCTAAAACTTGTTATAAGTCAGTACTTTTTCCCTTTAAAGTGCCTTCCTCACTTTTGAGTAACCAAATCATACAACATGGATTTATTTATTTATTTATTTATATATTTTTTTTAGTGGGGGAGGGGGAGGGGATATTTTGGTTGATACTAGCTGCAAGCTTCCTAACGTGTTTCAGGAGCACCAAATTTACAACATTTATATGGCCAAGCAGAATTAGCAATGTAATCTTAACACAGCCCAGAAAAAAAAAATATATATCATGATGAAGAAATGGAAATTAGGTAGACGCTGCCATGTTAATTTTGACTTTGTAGTCCAAGAGACAGTAATAAGCAACACAGAATCAAACTCGAACATTGCAAGAGATTCCAATACCTGATCCATGACCTGTTGAAGCTGGTGAAAGCTCATTGCTTCAAGTGAGGTTTCACCCAGTGCAGAGCTCATAGATGAGCTTTCCTGCACATTTGATGAGTCTATTTCTTGTGAAAATCCTATGTTAACTCCCCCAACTTCACTGTGACCTTCATTTTCATTTTCAACCTGATGACCTACCTTCTGAGCTGAACCTTGACTTTCAAGTGGCACAGGATTTGCCATATTTTCACTTTTAAAACCCATACTTAATAGCTGTGCATCATGACAAAGATATAATTGTTCTCTCTCATCATTTGCTTTCAAGACAGCAGCCTCCAAAGGATTACCACGACAACTCTCCATGTTTGATGTGTATGATGATTCTTTAAAAGAAGGAGATGGATGTTGTCCATCATGTTCAGACCTAGATCCAGACAAAGTTGGAAGGAGAGAAGTATAATTTGAAGAACGACTATAGTCTGAGTGCATTTGTATATGTCCTACAGAATCCATGTTTGGTCTGTGTTCATGGATGCTATCCTGTGAAGTGATCCCACTGGAAGAGGCTCCAAAAGATTGCTTCAGATTTTGCTCCACATGAGCATGAGGATGATCGGAATCACCATTTTCTAGGTAGCCATTTTTTCTCTTTCCAGTTGATGGCTTTGATAGCTTCCCTTGCATCTGTCATGCAAAGAGACAGTTTTGTGATATACAAATTAAGGGACAATTTTAGTTTATACGTTCACCTGAATTAAATACGGCAGGCAATCAGATTAGTTCACTGTTAATACTGTTAATACAAACATAAGCCAGATGTATGCAATAGATCACCAAAAAAATGAAGCAACTGAAATTGAGTATTACTTAAAGGTCCACATATTGGACCTGTGATAGGCTCTAATACTATCTTGAATTCAAGCTTAGGCTTAACTCAACCCCCAAATGTAGTTTAAAAGGTGAGAATTGTCTTAACATTTATAACTATAAGTTCTACTCTAGTTATATCCATAGTCGATATGAGATTTCAACACTAAAGAATATCAATTCCTAAAATTTTAGGAGTCAATGATGATAGAAATATATTCAATTTCATAAACTATAAACCTATTTTAAATGGGTAACTATATGAAGATATTTAAATATCAATTGAATCGAATTCTAGAGTATATAAATTCTGACATTAAATCATTGAAATGCCAAATATAATCAGGTCTAGTGCCTACATCATAGCTTTCTCATAAGTCATTTCACCAGACTTCAATAACCAAATTCAATGGCATTAACAACTTTCAAAAGGCCAGAGGCAAATATCAAACAAATAGTGTCATATGCCTTTGAGAAGTCAAATTTGTTTGAGTATATATGTATGTCTACAAGTGTGGTTTATTAAGAGAATCCATGCAGATCATAACTACAAAATTTGAAATCCAGAAATTCAATTGTAAAGTGAAAATTAAAATATATATATTCAGAAATTCACAACCTTTGGTTTAGGCATCAAGTCATCTGTATTACAAGATTTCATGTCTGATTCATGGAACATTGATAATGAAGAAGGAACAGCATCATGATCAGCATCCATTTGAGATGTCAGTATTTTATCAATAGGAGATATTTTATCATTAATCGGCAGATCTTCAATATTTTCATCCGTGTCTATATTATAATTTGATGTTCTCTTTGATGGACTCCCTTCAGCAGATGAAAACTTGAACTCAGACTTCAATGCATCATCAGATCCTTCAGTTCCATGTGAAGATGAGAGCCAGCAGAACTCTTCTTCGTTATTTAGGCTCCCCATTCCAAATGTTAAGTCACAATTCCTGCATTTTCAAAAGTAATAATCAGATACTTATGGTGATTGTGACGAATTGATTAGCATTTCATTCAAAGTGAAAGGTGAAAAAACTTCTGTCACATAAGAAAATTTCTTACAACATCATCCTATCAATATCTTCAAAGTTTCCTATATTGAGCCACCCATCATTATCAAGAAAGCTGAGTTCATTATCAGTTTGAGATATGTGATTGATTGGATATTGAGACACACTATCATCCTCCACCACAGACTTGTCTCCTAAGATGGTATCATCTGCACAAAGCTCGCTACTACTAGAATCTACATTGCTGCTTTTGAAACAATGATCAGACATCCTTGTATTATCTGATGTTGGCCTTTTCTGTTCTTTGCATGAGTCACTATTGCATGGAGAAAACAGATCTTGAGGCTTGTGAGACCAAGTACCCTTTTCCAGCATTCTCTCTTTCTTTTTCAGATTAGTAATTTCTCCTTACCCTGAGTTGTAACACCAAGACAGAAATTTAATAAAAATTATTTATGATAACCTGGCATCATAGAACATAATAAATACTCCACAAACATATTATAATCATTTCAGAATTTCAATATAACTTACAGAGAGAAAAAATAAATGATGCAAATGAAATGGTGGAAAAACATATTGTTTCCTGGAAATAATTTCATATTATACCAGAAAACATAGGTTCAACCTCTCTTAAATTTTGAAGTTACAAACCTTCAAAATTTTTTAACATCTTAGTTAGTGAATGCACAGCTGCTACTGGTTGAATACGACAAATTGAGCACATTCAGGACGATTATCAGTTCTGTAGAAATTAGTAAGGAAACAAAGTGGTAATGTGTATGCAATTCTTGAGATCAGCTAAATGTACAGAAATGACATTTAAAGCTTTAGATTAGAACATTTAGCAAAATTTTTCACATAAAGTTAACAGATCTGACGTTAAACTTTTAGCTCCGCAAGAAGTGTGGATATAAGTATTTACATATGTTATGTGCACCTCATTCAATCTGTAAATTAGGAAAACATAATATGTTAGTAAGTTTATGGAAGAAGAGAAGGATACTCAACTGGCTACTCTAATGCCACAGGTCTTTCTGTAATTATGATGTGTGTTTAATATAAGGGTTGTTTGTTGGGGTTTTCTAAAGAAAAAAGAAAAAAAACTGCTTGAAATGAAAACATGAGTTTTTGAAAGAGCTATATCTTAGAAGCACTTTTTGCCAAAGCTTATCCAAACACACCCAAAATTGAAAATTTTAGCAATGAAATTTTTAGTGAAGAAAAGGTTCAGCATCAAATTCAAATTTTTTTAAGAAAAAAAAAAAAGCTGGTCCAATGCACTAGCTCCTACCATTTGGGATTTTTTTTTTTTGTTGGGGGGGGGGGGGGGGGGAGTGTTTCAAATATATGCAGCCACAATCCGGTGAATGGAGAGCCTATTTCTGCAACTACAACCCTGACCCCAAGGTAATATTCTAGTTGCAATCACTATCCATAAAAATTTCCCATGATGAACATCTTCAAATTTTCTGCACAATGGTGCTTCTTAAGACAGAGCAGTTCAACAAGATAAATCATAGCCTAAAATAATTGAACGTTCTCAAGGAAAAATCAGATTTTGTCATACACTATAGAGAAATGACCATGCAAAATGAATACTGAGAAGTCTTGTCCAACATTATGTAACTTTCCAGAAAGGAACTTCATTGAGGTAATAGATTTTCTGGGTTTAGGATAGTCACCCACATAGTTAGTGAAATAATTAGTTAGTTAGGGAGTTATTTAGTCAGTTGGGGAATTGAAGCTCTAGATCCTCGAATTTGATAGTGGTCTATCTTTGTTACTGGGATTTATCCCTATTTCTTCTAAATAAGATGACAGGTTTCTATCTATTTACCACATCAGTCTTGTACCATGAAAGGAACAAAATCAACACATGCACAAACAATAAACACCTTAGCACCAAGAAATGTATCATAATTTTAAGGCCAAACTCCACAACCCTCTTACATGACAAGCAGAGATATCTGCATTCAGAAATGCATCAACATAATTGTGTCTTTCAAAGTTACAGGGTGGAGACCACAAAAGTCATACATAATGTTAAATAGACCACTCTGCTAAAATGGCTTTAGAAGAATCTTAAAGCAATAGAACCAAAATGTCGTGCCAATATACCCTGCTATAAAGGTTTTAGAAGAGTCTTATAGATAGAATTCCATCTTAGAAAACCTGAAGCATGGAATTCTAAGATTAAAACTGAAAGTCTCAAGGAAGCTTAACTCAGGCTTGACCAATAATCAAGAATTTTTACAAGAATTAGACCTTTGATATAAATAAAGACAAATGTGGAACCATACCAAGGGAAGAGAAGAAGGAAAGGTACACACATTTAAGTTTTTTATTTACTAGTTAACAAGTAGTGTAGCATTTAACAGCAACATCAGCTGCACCCACCATCAATCAAAAATTATTGTCTTAAAAAAACCCAAGCTTTAACTCAAGGAGAAGGATCACTTTAGTATTTTAGATTATGAGTAGAGTCTATTTATTTTAAACATTATAACCAAACTGAACCATCCAAAATGTTCGTGTACAGATGTGTTTGACAAAACAACACATCAGCGGGGAAATTTATACAACCATATCTCATGCTCTATCATTTGATATAAACGAAAATAGGTGACCGTGACATTTGTCCATACTAAAAAGCGCTAAAATCAGATTTCCTTTCTCAGGAAAGAAACCACTCATAACAAACATAACAATCCTCTCTTCTTTAAAATTGAAGCCTGACCCAAAGCGCAAAACTGAATTTCCACTCATTTATGAACTAATAATACAATATCTTCAATAAGATACACCACAACAAATTCACCAAAAAAAAAAAAAAAAAAAAAAAACTAAACTAATTAGACAAACACTGAAAGTCGAGATCTAGAACCCAAAAGTTAATCCCAACCCCAAGTTCACAAGAGATTGCAAATTTAAATCGCAGAAAATAACTCCAATTCAATTTCTAGCATTTCCTTGCCAGTAAATTAAAATATGACACCAACTCTATTGTTTCGCTACATTTAAAAAAAAATTAAGATAAAATTACAGTAATTAAACTATGCAACCATAACTAGCCTATTGCAAAAATTAAAAAAATTAAAAAGAATATCCCAAAGTATATATATAAAAGAATAGTCAATTAGGAGCTCCCTTGCAAATTTATCTTGAATGAATTAAAGCATTAAATAAAAAAAAATTAAAAAAAAGCAAGAACAAGAAAATAACCCGAAATTAGAAGTATATTAGCATCCTGCTAAGCTAAACTAACCAGAGAACAGAATCCTGGGGGCGAAACAAGAGAGAGAAGGGCTTGTTATGAGCTTTGTTCACCTCTGCAGTTATGGAGCTTCCAGAGTCTTCTTTTCCGTCGAACTCAACTCTGCGGCACAAGTTTTCTTTTTCTTTTTCCTTTTTCCTTTTTCTTTAAAACATTTTAATGAATATTTTATTTAATGTTTTTTGAAATTGAAGCGAAAGGTATCACGCAGAAAGCGACACGTGGACACGAAAATTGGAGTTCGTGGACGGGAGGTGGGCACTGAGATCCGATCAGTTACTGCGTTTCTATTCGTCCACGTACCTTTTTAATTTTCTGATCCCTACACGTGTCCTGGGACAACTACTTCCAAATGCAACGCTGTGCTACCCCGTACTAGATTCCACCTCCGCCAAAACTATTATTTTTTATTTAATCTGTATATGTTAATATTATTCTTATTCTTATGTTAGTATTTTTTATTTATATGAATTTTCTAATATGTTTAAGAAAGTATGTAAAAGTTTTTTATACTATACTATTTTTATTTTAATAAATTTTCATTGTTTTTAAATGTTTAAAATCAATTATAAAGGCTAAAGTTAAATAAACTATTTATTCAATTTTTTAACATACGTATAAGAAGACAGCAACAAGAATTTATACATAATAAATTTTTATTAAAAATATAATTTATTGGTAATAATAAATATTATATTTTTTAATAAATTTTATTTATTATTTATTTTTATTTTATATTTAAGGATGCACATTTAAAAGTTTGATATTTATATTATTTGAATAGAAAAGAAATAAAAAAATATTACTAATGATGAGTAAATTAAGTATGTTTAGCAATTGATTTTAAAAAATAATTACTTTTTTTGTCTGTGTAAGTTTCTTCCTCTCTAATTAGATAAATAAGAATAAAATTAATATTTTATTATTTAATTTTTAAAATATTAAGAAATCATATTAAAAATAATAAATTATATTTGTATAACAAATATAATATTTAAATTTATTATTATATTAAATATATATTTTAATAAAAATTGACAATATATAAATTCTTAATATATACTTAGAAATACATTTTTAAGAAAATCGTATTTTACTTTACGAGTGCATGTATATTAACAAAATTGCCACGGGTGTTGGAACTTTAATTATTATAAATTGTCTGACACTCAATTCAATATTCAGTGTATAAGGAACTGTTAACATATTTTCACATTGTTTTAAGAAAAATATGCGAGTAGTTTTTTAAAATTATTTCCATAAATCCAAACTGTGATTTGTTAAAATATTTGATATTAATATAATTTTATTTTTTAAAAAAATTAATAAATTACACAAGAAATTTTTAATTAACTGGAAATTGCTACTTATTGACATGTTTTCCAAAGTTAATAACAAACCCTATACATATCATTTTTACCACGTAGAAAATACATGACTTGTTCAGGTTACAATGCATGCATTATGCATTTGATGCAGTGAAAAGGACAAGTAAGAATCTTGCAATTATTAGAATCAAGTCAGGAAAATGAGGGGAAACTATTTGTGTGAAGAATATTATAATTTAAAATTAATTTTCTTTATATTATTTTATATATTTATTTTGATTTTAAGTTTTTTTCATAAAGAGTAATTAGATTTTTGGTGTCACACTAAAGAAATATCATGGTGCATGGTAGTGTCCAACAGTGATTTGGTTTATTGGTCTGGAAAGGCCTTGTTCGTTGTTGCATTAGGTTCTCATTGGGCCTCAATATGTGGACTATTAATTATTGCATAGTAGGGAAGAAGGCCTTTTATGGGAGCTTTAGATATGTGTGTATTAATTACTTTTAGCATTTAAAAATAATACATTTATGAATTATTAAATTTAAATTGTACAAAAATATTTAATGATTCAACTAACAAAAAATATTTTTATTAAAAATTATTAATAAAAATATCATATTTGATATCTTATGTCGTCTCATCATGAAGCATGTGTATGTGCACATCTTGAATTACAATGGCTCTAAGCGCGTATATACTGTTAAACTGCACAACTTTTTTCAAATTTTCTTCTTTTGTTATTTTTTTATAAAAAAATAACTAATTTATTACGATTAATAAAAAATACGCAATTAATATTATAAAAATATTCACAGTAATAAAGAGTTAATTGGTAGTTTTTATATTAAATGAATTTATATAATTAATAAATAAATCAGTCATCTCACAGTAAACAATGATATAAAAATAATTTAATAATTAATATATATGAAAATAAATTTTTATTATTTATAATTTAGACAAATTATTAATAGTTATTTCCTATAAATAAGACGGTGTATAAGTATTTTACTTACAATTTGAATAAAAAGATATTATTAACGTTAAAATTAATGAATAAATATTAAAAGAATCGAGTTTAATTAACTGCTTTCAATTCCTAAAACAAACAAATGATTTTTGTTTCTTTATCGTAAAATAACTTAATGCTACACTGAATTTGCATTGTAATTATATTAAATTATGTTTTCAAAATTTAAAACTAAAGCCAGTAAAATGGGCGAATTGACCAATTCGGGTTGAACTATTGAAGGTAATGAAACTTCAGCAAGCTACAAAAAAAATATATAATTTTGTTTATATAAAAATTGTAAAACAATGTTACAGTTTTATCTATATAAAAACTATAAAAATAAATATTAGGAATTTATGTAATCAGAAAAAGGACAATGTTAAATAAGTGTAATTTTCTTCTTTATTTTAAAGGTTTTAAGAAAAGATAATAAAAAAATTTTCTTGCACCAAAATATTTAAAGACAAAATTTAGTTGGAAAAATATAGCTGGCTATGTACTTTAATTAAAATTATATGTTAATAATTTGCATAATAAATATCAATACTAATAATAAACACATTAAAAATTGATACACATTATCCAAATAAAATTTAAATTTAAAAAATAGCAATACCTGTGATTTTATATCAAAATTTTGTGATATATTTAAATTTCATGGTATTTTTTCTTTCTTTCTTTCTTTTCATTATATCACATAGTGGATCCTACTATCTATATCTGTAACTTCTGTATTTCTATTCGTCTCTCACTCTAGACACTCTTACCAACTATTTTTCAGAAAAGAAACAGTGTTCATATGCACAGTGACACATAAAAGGTGACACCTCTGGAGACTGCAATTTGATGCTTCTAGCCTTTATAGGTTCTGTGAGATGCGTTTCAATGGAAGTAGCTGTATAGGAGCGGTCTTTTCTTTTCTACTACTGCCTCCTTTACCATAAGAACTGCAAATTACTTATCGTTGCTGGCATGGACCTTCTTTATGGTGATGTTTCAAAACCTTGTTATTAATGGGGTATTATCAGTTGCTACACATTCACTGTTTCTTTTATTTGATAGTGCAATCACTTTTGTTCAAGCTGTTATGATGTTGCCATGTATCCTAACCTTGATTAAAATCTATCACCACCAAGGTAACCTATCAGCTCATAGAGGAAGCATATTTTCATGCCAATAATAAGTTTAAAAAAAAAAAAATGAAGCAAGCTAATTAGGTAGGTTCAGAAACTTCCATACATTTGACCAAAAAAGAAAAAAAGAAACTTCCATACATTTGAATTTCATTATTTTATCTATGGTGTTTTATTAATCACTGTCCTAAGGAAAATGGTAAGGACAAGACATAAAAGTGAAAAAATATATTAAAAAAAATGTAATATTTAATATTCTAATTACATCCTTATTTTTAATTTTAAATAATAATTTTTTAACTAATAAATTTTAGAGCAATGAATAATAAAATTATTTAATTATATATATATATATATAAAAACTAATGCTTTATTCAATTATTTTTATAAAAAATAATTTACTGAGATTCATTAAAATTATTAAAAAATAATTATGTCATAAATTTATACTGTATTTAAAAAATATTTATAATATTAAATGATTAAATTAATGATTTATATATATTAAATAAATTAAATTATTTATTTATATTGATAATGGGTGTATGTCTAGTTAACATATATCTCAAAATAAATAAGGATATGAAAAAAATTTAGCAACTAATACATTTAAAGTTAATTTTTTCTTATAATTAGAAAAAAAATACTAATAAATATTTTTTTATAAAAGATCTGAACAAGTATTATCTCTGATTCGTTTAGTGAGATATCACACAAATTAATAAATCTAAATAACATATTTACTTATATTAAATATTTTGAATTTTTAATATAACTTTAACGACTAGCTCTCTCCTTTATAATAAATATGTAAAACATTTAAGAGTTGTACAGAGAGAAGGTTATAATTAAAAATTATAATAAAATTAATATTGTCTTAAACTTCTAAATAAATAAATTTCCTCCAAAAGTGCACAAATAAAAATAAGGGTTGGATGTAAGTATGAGTATATGTTATATTGCATAAATATATTTGAATTAGGTAAAATTTTATAGTATAAATTAAAAGAAATGTATTTAAAGGAAAAATTAAGAATTATATGATATAAAAATGTATTTAATTCAAGTGAATAAAATTAAAAATAGTTCAATTTTAGAATAAGAAATAAATTTTAAGAATATTGAAAGGAATTAATTTGAAAGTAAAAATAACTAAATTTTGAGACAATAAGGAAAATTAAAGTAAAATAAAAAAATTTAATGGTAATTTTTAAAAAATTTAAAAATAAACCTTAAAAATAATGAAACCATCTGTCAAAAACACAATAATGACAAAAATATGTTTTCATTTTAAAAAATGAGGACTCTATAGTACACACGCATACTGATATTTTAGTGCGTCTATTATTTTAGAGTTTGTTTGGTGGAAATTGGATTTTTAAAGGGGAAGGTAAGGGAAGATAAATTTTTTTTTTCCAATAGATATTCTATAATTTGATAAATTTTTAAAATGCAATATTATCATAACTTCTCAATTTTATTTTATTTTTAAAAATAGTACATAACTCTTAGTTTAAAATTTCTATTGTGTCCACGGTGTAAAAATAATAAATACATTATATTAAACATTTTTAAGGTTTAAAATGTTTTTTATTCTTATATTTTTATGATATTTTTATCTTAGTTTATAATTTTTTAATTTTAATCTTTAGTTTTTTTAAAAAAAAGTTAGTATCTCTGGTCTCTAATGACTTTTTACTGTATTATATCCAAGAGAGGGATAAAAGTGCTTTTTTTTTTTCCAATTGAGAACTAAAATTAAAATTTTGTTAAATATAAGGACTAAAATAATTAGACCGACTTTAAATCACATAAAAAGTAGATATTGAACTTTTTTATTATAATAAATAGTTAAATACTTTATATTTTTTATGCTGTTGTATTTTTTTATCATGCATCTAAGTATTCATGAATATGTAATAAACACTTCCTTTTTTTCAGAGTTTTTTATTGTTCGAAATCGGTTTTATTTTATTTTTATGTGTATGTGGGATTGAAAGTACCTGAGTCTGAGCCTTAATTTTCTTTTGGTGTACATCTATGGCTTCCATTAACCGCATGTGTTAAAAAATAATAATGATAATAATTGTAATAACCAACGTAAATCTTCAATAGTTGCATGCTTCACCAACCCTCCATAATCAATAATCGTACCCAAATAATATGATCTTCTAAACTGCAGATGCAATTGAAATTTCCATCATAAAGGAACCAAATTCCTGTGTTTTTCAACCATTGGGGTCTAATGCAGTGGTGGAGCTTAATTGTAATGGAGGTAGCAACTATTATGAAATAATATGGTAGGACTACTACTCCACTAATTTTAATATACTTTAAAATAAATGATTGTGAAAATTAATAACTTCATAAAAACATATGACAATTTTGACCACTAATTTTATAATTAACTGTTGTCCTTTTACAGGCATCCATTCTGTAGAAGACAATGAAGTTTTAAAATTATGAAGAAAATGAGAAACTATAATAGAATGAAAGAACTAGTAGGATTCGTTTACAATTGATCGATGCGTCTAAGATAACGGTTAATCAGAAAGTTTTGTCGTAGTATTATACAATAATAACAAAAATTCTAAAAGTTCTGTACACTGTACATTCTCACTACGTGAGAATAGCATAATTAACAGGATGATAATCCAATAAGTTGAGATACAAGAAATAGTACACATTCAAATATCTAAAAAGAGAGTAAAATTTGTGCTTTCTTTCATTTTACTTTCCTTCCTCTTTTCCAAAATTAGCTGAGCAGAAAAGCACTTCTAAACGCTTTTGTATTGTTATCAGCCTTCCAACTCACCGTTAAATAAACATGAGAAACATATAAGTATTGTGGCATACCTCAATGAACATTTTTTGACATATAAAAAGAACAGTTCTAGCACATGAGGGAATATACATCATTTCTTCAAAAGCTTTTGTGAGAAAATCTTCTTAGAATATGGGCTGTTTCGAGAAATGACTTTGTGGGACTCAATTGCTTCAACTAGTAAATTATGCACACGGCCCTAGTTCAAAAGAAAAAGGTTCAGGAAGTGATAAAGTAACAAAAATCTCAAGCAAGTCAGGATCAAAATTTATATTAATGAACCTCAAACTATGAGTATATATAAGTCAGTGAGTTGCAGTATAAGAATAATAATATACTACCAGCATTTCTAAGCTGAGAAAATAGCATGAGAACATTGAAAGATTTTAAACTGATCAAGTTATCACAGGTTAGTCAAAAGTGAAAAGGAAAATTAAATAATCACAAACCTCAGAATGCCGAAGAGCTGATTGAACAACATAGTTTGCATGTGGATCTTGAATCAAGTGTTCAAAATGAGCTGCGGAAAGCAGTTCATGAATGACTCTGGATCGATTCTCTTCGTTGAAAACGGAAAGACATTTTTCAACCACATGACTACCAAACTTCTGTCTTGACAAGTGCACGTAGTTACCTTCAAATTGCAAACTTATACTTGTGGTGGCAGATGGAATCCTCAAGTCCAAGATAAATTGAACAACATAATTCCTGCAGCAATAGAAAGGGGAAAAAATGAAGGAGGTGGAGGCATCATTTATATCACAGTTCCAAGTACATATAATTTCAGATATGACAAGAAAAGGTTAATGAATATTTAGTGTATCGTTAAAATTTATCAGATGTGTTAAATGTGAATCACATGTAGAGACAAAAGCAAAAAGGTATAGAGAAAGAAATGTACTCAGACTTTAGAATCAATAGAGTTAAAGGCTCACACTTGTTTGTAGTGTCAATATATAGATGCATTAAAACGGTTGATAATAACATATTAATTTCAGTTCGAATTTATCAAAAGAATAATAATAATAATAATGAATTTTAAATATGGTAATTCTTAACAATTTTGTTTCCTAGTTTTACTTTTCACTCTTCCATAATTGCACCAAGCTAGGGCAGGTGTCATGCAAGACCTTTCAGTTCTCACGAGACTTGGTCTCCAGGGTTAAAATATTTTATACAAATTATCAAAGACATTTCACTATAGTTAAGATCATAGCTTCTAGAATAAAACAGAAAGTACATGTTTATAGACAGAAAAGTAGATATTTTTACAAAAAATATATACATCTGTGAAAGAACTTCTGTGCATTCTCAACTAAGTTATACTTTTTCAGTAGTTACCCATATTGATCTTGAGCTAGCAGAAGTGCATTGGCAGATATTTCTGCAATCAGTTTTTCTCTATGCTCCCCACTTGAATGGCCAATACATCTTTGCAGAACACAGCATCCATGTTGGTGAATTGCAATGTCAACGCAATACTTTGCAGCAGCAACAAATATAAACTGGTCAATGCAAATAACAGGGAAAATGTAACTTTTCTGCAAGAAGATATCAAAGCTTTCTGGTTTTTTCTACAGTTCAATAGTTCATCACACTCCAATCATGAGTCAAGCCAAGCTCAAAAAATAAATTTACCATAAATTGACCTGTATAAACCAACTAGCACTAAGCAATTGAAATAAAAGACAGGGAAAAAATTGTCATATGCTTCAACCATAAGTTCATTTAGGAATTTTAAACATACAATAGGGATGCATGTTTAGGGTCACATTTACATTGTGCAGTAATATTGGGATCTGTGTATAATGTGGCCATTAATACATCATTTATAAAGTCAAATGTTTTATCCAGATCAAAATGGTAATCTTAATGCAAAACATAACATGTACAAAAACTTGGTACATTATTAGTCTAGGAAATTAAAAAAAAAAACTGATGAACATTTAACAAATTTAACCCCCGAACAAAAATAAAATCAAACTTTGGCAGCTTAGAAATTGCAAGTATTAGCATCTTCAATTTATGAAGGCAAGGACCACATCATAGATGTTGAAGCCTGTCTTTCACAGAATGACATTAAAACTTTATACATCCTTGTTAAAGCACCATGATTATTATCGCAGCAAAAATGCCAGCCAATTTGCATGGTGATATGAAATGCACTGTATGACATTAGATTGTCAGTCATTTCTGTGCACAAAGGAATGAGAGGGACTAAATGAGTAGAAATAAACCATTCCAAATCCATAGGCATCATCACATCTGATTTGGTGCACCTGGCAGGTTGGCACTACTGTCAATAAATAATGTTCTTACTCTAAGGGCAGGAGCACGGCTAAAAGGTAGGAAGAGCGAGTATACATATTTGTCTTAATAATAATGAACAAATGAAACTTAACTACGGAGGTGCAATAAATTTGAAATTTCAGTGGTTAGAAGTTAGAACGTCAAATTGAAGTGTTGCATGTGAAGGAAAAAGAGTGACAAACTTTCAGAATGGAATGAATGTATAAGAAAACAATGAAGTGCTATTGCACATGAGATGATCAGCTATCATTAATTAAATAGTTTTATAAAGCAGAAACAAGTGAAAGTAGGATACAATTTTCTATTTAATCTATAACATTTACTTTGAGAAAGAAAGGAGCCTTGCCTTGTTATCTTCATTGCTTAAGCATAACAAACATCGCTGAACCACATGGTTTCCATTTAGATCTTTGATAAGAGCCAAGAATCCTGGTTCAAGAGCTGATACAGCTAATGAAATTTGCTGCCTAGTTTTGAGGGTCTCAATTAGCTTCTGTACCACACGAGTGCTGATAAGAGAAAAAAAGTAAAGCAGTAATGTCAAATTTGAGATAAGACAACAATACAATATTGCAGTAGTTGCAAAAGTTGTGCTGTTACCCATGAGTGTTTAAAGAAATTCTGACAAGCTGCCCTGGTTCTTCAGTAATTATTAGTAAGATTTGCATCCTCTGCTCTTCATTGCATACATTCAATAGCTTCTGCATAAGGTAATTTCCAAAAGGATTCATCATAAGTTCCACTACATGATCAATGATCTCGTTAAATATCACTTGAACATCTTCTGGTGTACCCTCATCAAACATTCTTTGCAAGAACCTACAGCCATGTTGATCTTTGGCCATTAAATAAATATATCCTTGAGCTTCAGCTAGGGAATTGTACTTGGATAGCAAAGGAAAGGAGCAACCTATCCTGGCACTCCTAGGACTTTCATAAGTTCCTCCAACCTGGTAGGATGTGTCTACCTCTGATCTCTTTGCATGCTTAGCAAAGCCTATCTCTTGCACTGCAACCTTACTCTGATACATAGAACGGCCCGAACCTCTGGTAGCAACATAATTTACACCTTCACCTTGTATGATGAAGCTCCCTTCACTTGCAATAGCATCTATATTTCCTTGTGGGATTCTAGCATTTGAAATTGGCACAACCCTTGCATTGTTAGACAGAGAATGGCTATATTGCTGTAAATTTTGAACACCCAAATAAGGCCTTAAATTAGTACAACGGGAAGAGCTAGGCAATCTTGATATGCCTGTTTCTTCATTTAAATTCATTCCATTTTTTGGCGCATAAAGTAAAGCATCAACCATTGGATTTCTGCTCAAAGAAGCAGTAGGCTCTGGTGGCTGACTTCCTCTATAATAGTAGTTATTTATCTGCTGCCTTCTGTGCCAATCAGAATCCATTAAACCACTAAAATCATCGAGTTGAGAAAGTATTGTCTCAGACCTTCTACCACACTGCCTCGATCCAAATAAATTAGACATTCTATAGTCATGGGTTAATCCAGACAATGCTGAATTCATTTCAGCATCATGATTTACATGGCTCCAAGGTAGAGGGGATTGAATCCCAACACGGTCTAAAAAGCACCTCTCAAAATTGCAATGATCCCCATGTTTGTGGACGGTGATTGGACCATTTCCACTCAAGGAACAATCCCGAAAAGGAAGCCTATTCATGCCCATTGGAGCATCTTTGAAATTATAAGGGTTGTCTTGTGGATTGCTGATGTACATTTGACTCAAATTGGCACAGAGGCCCAGTTCATCAACAAAGCTTTCATTGGCATTCTTGATAACAGTTGAATCAGGTGTCATGGAATCCAACCAGAAACGGTTTGGGTGACAAGAACTTCCAGAAGGCATGGTGGATTTAAGATCCTCTAATGGAGGAGGGGTTGGTGATCCAGTGTCAGACACAGCATGCCCAGCAGAGAACAAGCTTGAGGAAGAGCCATCAGATTGCAGAAAAAAGCCACTACCAGGAGATGAGGCACATGGATACTGAATCTGAGTTAATGGGTCATCATCATACATACCACACATTCCATGGATTGCCTGAGTCACAAAAGGACCATGATCATCATCACCACCATGAACATGTGAATTCCTATAGCAAAGATTGTGTGACGTTGCCTGAGGGATCTCATTTAGCAACATCTCAAGCTCCTCAAGCTCCCCATCATCCTTCACTTTTCCAATCATCTCTTTTCTCATCTCAACTCTTTCACACACCAAGAAACCAACAAAGAAGTGAAAGAAGAACAATAATAACAAAATGAAGAAGAAGAAAAAAATGGAAACTCACGCGCAGCAATCAGAGCAGTCCAAGAGTCATAAAACCCATTTCAGATATTGATTCAAAAGGGAATGAAAAACGCAACCCATGAGAGATTACTAGTTTTTGAGCATTTGGGTCTGGCTCAGTGGTTGAAAAAACTCAGAAAGTTGGTTCCTTTATGACGAGAATTCCAATTCCAATTCCATTTGCATTTGCATTTGCATTTTGAGAAAATCATATTATTTAGGCTATGGGTATTGTTTGTGGGGAGTTGGTGAAGCATGCAAATATTGAAGATTTACATGCGGTTACTGGGAACCGTAGGCGTACACACTCAGCGTAGTCTCACAGACCATTAAAGCTGGAACAAGAACAGACGCTACGGGGTTTCTATATATATGTGTGAAATTAAAAGGTTCCTAAGGATACTGTATAAAGAATTTAAAATATATATTAATATGTTCTTATAATTAATTTTAATATACTATAAAATTTTAATTTCTTAATTAATCGTTCTGGACAACTGATTAGCAATCTTTACTATATGTCATACACACTCCTTACTTTCTTAAGATAAAAATTATTCAACCGTTAAATATATCAAATTCGTACGTGTGTGTTCAAATTTTTATTATCTTATGTATTGTAATGAGTTTTTCACCTCATGCTAATAATTTCCAAATCATAAAGCATAATTTGCCCAAAAATATAACAGTTTAAACTTGTTATTAATATAATTTTCTACGTAAAATTTAACAGCATATTCTAATATCTTTATTGTCACACGCCCACAAAATTAAAAATTGAAAATATATTATATCTTTAAAAATATACACTCTTATTTTAAAGGAATTAAATGTAACACACGTTTAAACATTTATTTCACACGAAATACAATATTGATCTTTTACCTTATTATAAAACATTATGTATAATTTGTAAATACTAATTATTAATGATAATATTTTTAAGAGTTTTCTCAAATAAGTTTATTTTTAGGGGTTAGTTTTTTCATCATTCTAAATTTTTGTATTACAAATTTATATTTTAAATTAATATTTATTTTATTTTATTATTTTTTATTTAAATATTTAAAAATTCATCTTATTATTTACTTTTTTTAATATGATAGAATATTTATCATTACTAATTATAATACTAGTTTTTTAAAAACTTTATAAATTTTATTAAATTTAAAACGAGTTCTACAATTTGTTTTAAACCTATTTTATAAAAACCATTTTAATTTAATAATATTTATATATTACACAGAATTTATTAATGCTATGTAAAGATATCATTTGATATCGGGACAATGAAACGGTTGCTAAGTTACAAAAAAGTTTACTTTCAAACTAGTTTTTAGTTTTGAAATGAGTGGTCACATGAAACACGCTTGAGTAGACGAAGTTGAAATTTCCACGCATTTTATTTTCATCAAATATATTTTCATCATTTTTAAAGTGAAACAATTATAATTCAATACAGCTGGCATATCTATTTTAAAATATTATTTTATTAACATATGTTCATAAAAAAAAATTAGTTAAAAATAATATGCTTTATTGCTCAATCGTTAACTCATATATCTGAAAATCCTGTTACTTGAGAGACCTAGAAAATATTTAAATAAAATAGTTGATTTGAAGTTATATGAAAAAGACTTATATTTTTTTCATATTTCAAAATTTTAAATATTTGTTGTCATAAATATTATTATAATAAAAATTTTGGTTTGTTTCTGTAAGTTTAATAATTAATTTTATAAAATAAATAAATAAATTATAGTGTTGGTCCAGGTCTAAATACGCTCTTAATTTTCTTAAATACATAAAAGTTAATAAGCTATGTCGTGATAATATTTTGAAATCATTCATGAAGAACCTCAAGTAACATTGAATTTGTTTGAAATAACTTTTCTGCAATAAAACAAGATGCTTCGGTTAATATTTCATCCAACTATAGATAAAAAAATATTAATGTGACATAATAGTTGAGCACGTGGCATATAACTACCGCACAGGTGCATATGAATTCCGAAGATGTTAGAATATTAATCCTCCCCATTATCATGTATAATATTACTCAATTAAAAAAAATCAATATCTTTTAGTTTAAATGTAAAAAATAAAGACATGTCTTTACATGTATTAATTATTTAATATTTTTATTTGCAATAAAATTTATGTTTCTCGCTTATATATTGATATATAATAATTTTTTTATCTCAATATAAATTTAATAATTATTTTATACATAACATGAAAAGGAATAATATCGAATCTCACGTGCATGCATGTCATTTACGAAGATTGCATGATTACTGTTAAAACATGGTTTTAACTTTAATTTAGTGGGTTGGGAGTCACACCTACGCAAATTAAACCAAGGGCCTATTTTAGCAATACTCATTATTGACTTATTTAAAGGGAGGCTTTTCTTCTGGATCTTCTGCCAAACTTAACTGTTTCTTTTACAGGAGAGTAAAAATGTAAATTTGAATTCTACATACACGTTTTAAGTTTGATTACTCACAATAAAAGTTAACGATTAATATTATTTTAAAATATCATCATTTTTATACTTTATAATTTTTAATTGTTTCACTTTTTAAATATCTGTGTTTGTATATTTTTGAGTTTTCATATTTTTGTAATTTTTCAAAAGTCTCATTTTGACATATATTTTTTTAAATATCATATAAAAATAAAAAATTATGTATATATATATAAAAATAAATCATATTTTATTATCATATTAAAATTTAATTTTTGATTAGTTTTTATTATTAATATAAATATTGTTATTTATTTCTTGTTTTTAAATTAATTGAGAAAAAATATATTGTTTTATTGTTTTTTTTAATCTAAATAGAGTATGTACTTCTTGTATTAAAAAAATATTTTTGTTATAAATTTTGAAAAAAATTATAAATTTAATTATTACTTTGATAATTTTTTATAAGAAAGAGATTAAAATGACATTTTATCAAATTTAATAATTAAGATGATTTAATGTTGTCCGTCGTCAACAAGAAGGACATGTTTGACATGCCATTACCACAGGGTCTCACAGGGAAATTATGGACAAACAGAAGCTCAAAATTTTATTTGATATTTTTTAAAGAAAATATTACCTTCGATCTTTAAAATTTAAATAAAAATAAAAAATATTTTTTATTAAAAATACAATAAATATTTTCTTTTTATAAATTTTATTCTTTTATTTCATTAAAATGAAATTTTTAAATACTTAAGATTAATTGAAAGACAAAAGGTTAATAAATTTGTTGTTTTAATAAGCAAAAAAGTTGAAAAAGTCGTTTTATTTGTTTCCTTAGAAGGAACGCGATAAATTGCACTGGCCCACATGTGCCGGCTTATTTAGAATAAATTTGATATAAGCGAAAATATTATGTTCTCTGTTTTGATACACAGATATTATATTAAAAAAATTTAATTTGAAATAAAGAATAATTATAAGTGATGGGCTAATGTTTTCATATCAATGTCATGCTTGTTACATGATGTGAGCTTAGAGGACTTGTCCAACAAAATACACTTTAAAAAATAAAATATAAAATGATAATCATTAACTAAAAATTAGTAGTTAAATGTTTTAGTAATTTTATAATAAAAAGAGGTTTAAATTACTTTAGAATAAGATTTTGTTACCTTATTTTGTTTAACAACTTTTTATAATTATCAAATTGTATTAATCAAACAATTGGATGATGTAATGTTATTTTAAATATTTATAGTAATACAATCTTATAGTCAACATAAACTGATAATTGAATTAATCAAATTTAATGTGTCGATAAAGTTATTGAAAAAAAAATTAATAAAGACTTATTCAGGTGAATCATTATCCTTTTATAATTTATTGTATAGATATAAATTATTATTACAATTTTACTTGTTAATATTTTAATTAACAATTATTATTTTATGTTTTTTTTAAGAAACAAATCTGAGTAAAAGTGCTTTACCTTAATAAAAAAAATTCAATAGGGGGTTTTTCATAAAAATTATAATGATCTATGAATTCATTTCATTCAGCATTAAAAAACAAGCCAGTATTTTCTACCAATTTTCGTGTATCCAGATCTTCTCTTTGATCGTATAACTTATAAATAATAATACAAAAATTAAAATTGGTCATTTAAGAAAAATGTGTTATCTTAGTAGAAGATTTAACTAATTTTCATATGTATATTACGAGACTAAATAATATATTTATTTAAAATAATAAATTATTGTCCTATGTCTAATCTTTTGAGAATTATTTTAACTTATGGATAAAGAACGCTGATAACATATTTTATGCTATTTATTATATTACAAACTATAAATAAATATCATTAGATGAAACATAAAACTTATATAGTTTTCTTGAATTTTACTAAACAGTATCTTAACTTATTTAAAAAAAGTTAGTTTACTTAAAGTCTATTTAGATTTATAGTCTATTTAAGTATTTATTTAATAAATTATTTTTAAAATAATATTTTATATTGTAAATTTAATAATGATTTTATTTAAACAAATCAAAATATATTATTAAAATAATTTTAAAATAGCTTTATGAAAATCATTAATTATATTCTATAAAATATTCATAAGTTTATTGAAATAAATTATAAAAATACAATTTTTATGAAATTAAGTCATAACTTAAAAAGGTGAGTATTACTATAATTTTTTTTTACAAAGTTCAAAGATAAAAGAGTTAGAATTAAAGATGTTTGACAATATATAAAAAAATTAAGACAAATTCTATTTATACTATTTTAAATTAAAAAAATTAATAATATATTTTTTAAAATAATTGTGTCTTATAATTATTTATGTAAAACATATTTTTTTAAAAAAATTTATGAGTTAAGAGAAATTAGAATAATGTAAAAAATATAAGATATTTTTTTTGTTAAACTTTAAGAAAAATATAATTTGTTTAGGATGTTTCTGAAATAATTTTTTTAATTTATACAATATTTCACATGATAAAAATTATATATAATAAAATTTTATTAAAAATCATAATATTTAATAATAATGTATTTAAATATATTCAATAATATATTTTTTACTAAAATTTAGTATGTAAAAATTCTTATTTGTGCAATATTGTATATGTTAAAAAATGATTTTTAAAAATATAAATTAATAAATATTTTTTAATAAAAATATATTTAAACTATATATAAGTTATAATACAAAATATATGAATAGCTCTTAAAATTTCTTAATCGAGAGACTAGGTAGCCTTTGTTAAATAAAATGTCGAATATGGGGTTTGTATACTTACCCTATAATCTTCTTCCTCTCTGTCGTGTTAGGGTTTGAAGCGTTGCAGAAAGCTTCGCTTGCAGGAGTTATGAACAGCACCCCAAGCTAATGCAGTTTCACGATTCTCGCTCTATTCTTTCGATCAATATTTAACTTCGCTTTACCCAATTAGTAACATCAAGCGTCTAAATTTCTCCACAGTTTCATTTCGGTAACTCTCAACTTCATTTATCACTTTTGCCAGAGATTCAATTGTTCAAATTTGGCGTTCGATTTAGTGTGTCTGAAAATCTCCATCAAATTTTGTTCTCCTTGATTCTATCTTCAATTGCTACTTGATGTTGTTTAACCACAGCAATGGCTGCGAGGCTCGCAATTCTGAGGGGCAACAGAGGAAGATTGGGCAGTGTTTTAGGGTTCAATAGGTGGATTCATTCTGTGCCCCAATCTCCTCCTTTAGCTGGGAGCATTGATCTCGGCGTTCCGTCATCGCAATTCGTTTTGCCTGAGTTTAATTCCTCAAGTTTCTCTTTGGGTGGCTCTATGGAACTCATGGCTGTTCCAAAAAGAAAGGTAAGTCACTCAATTAATGTCTCTGTTGTTTAGGATTTTCTGTTCTTGCTTGACACTCTAGAGATGGTGAATTTTAGTGCTGGGAATGTCAACCAATAGAGTATAGGGATGTATTGTGGTGCTTTAAGAGCATTGGTGTGAGTGAAGTAATTTGCTGAGTTTTTTTTTTTTTTTTATTGTTTGAATTTTGCATTTTACCTTTTTTTTTATTTTTATGGATTTGTCTATCGTGTAGGTTTCTCCCCATAAAAGAGGCATAAGGAATGGACCAAAAGCTTTGAAACCTGTTCCTGTGATTGTTCTATGCAAGTAAGCCTTAGTCTGTTTCCCAATAATGGTTGCAGTTATTTGTTATGTTCTGCATATATCTGGGGATTTCTTTATATTAACTATAATAGAAATAGAGCCTTTGAATGTTTACGATAGGAAAGACATTTATTAGAGGCTTGGTTCATTAGCATATTCACTGTAGCTTATGCTTGATTCAGTTTAGGTGTTTTTCAGAACATATGCCTTTTTTCTGTCATTGCCTTCCCTTTTTCTTTGACTTTGGTTATGTTATTTGTCTCTTTCTTCTGAAGTGGATCGTTATCTTAAATTTTGATAGCTTAATTGTCCTTAGCATGCAATAATTATAATTCTTAAAAATCTACCAATGAGTGAAGTTATCAAATTCTGTACATACTATGATTTATCTATCACAATTACGGAAGGCCTACTTAATCTGAAGCTATGACTGTCAAGTATGTGCTCTATTCTAGGATGACAAAAGGGTATGAGATAGAAGTTCAATTATATGTTATTTTCTCTTCTAACCTTGCTCATGAATAGCCGGATACATGATTTCTTAGGCCTCCTTTTAGCAGACTAAGTGATGTTTAAGAAGTTCACTTAGAACCTGTTCGTGTAATACTCTAAATGGAGTTAAACTGGAATTGCAAAAAGTTTTGCTGTGAGAAAACTTAGTTCTCAACGCAACTTGTGTCTAGATATATGTGCAACCTCCGTTTACATGGATAAACAAACAGGCTATTGGTATTTCTCAGAACTAGAGGGAAAAGAGAGAAGGCAGGAGGAGGGAGGACTAGAACTTTATTTCCTGTATATCTGCTATATGGTATTCCACCATGTACTGCCTGTGAAGGCTTGCAATTGCAGTTGCACTGATAAAATTCAAAATGCATGTCTATTGCCTACACATGACTTGAATAAGTAGGTTTACTAAGTATATGTCTATTATATACTGTTGCCAAAAGACTAAAATATTAAATTTATGTATTTTTCCGCTCAGATTTGAGTAATTAGCTTCGCTTTTCCTGCAGGAGCTGTGGTCGTGTCAGGCTTCCACACTTCTTCTGTTGCGGTGGGAAACCTGATAAGGGTAATACTGGTGAACAGAATGGTAGTACAAGCTAAGCAAGCTGTTTGGGATGAGGCACCGGCCGTCGGTTCATGGGAATAGCTACCCACATGTCTTTCCGTTTGGTAGTAATCCTTTATTTCCTTGTTTCTTAAGCAATGCCATCGTTGGATCCGAAGTTTATTGCTTTACCAGATAAATGGAATGGTTGGTTGGAAAATTTACGAATTTTGGTGGTATTTTAATTTCATTTAAGAGTAACAGTTCATGTATAAAACCATTGTCCTCTAGAAGCTAAATAGAGGTTACGCGTATCTAAACTAGCTAAATAGCGGTGTAACTCAGATTTACAGTACCATTTCGTACTCAATAATCGTAAAGGTAAAAAGGGCGTAAATGTAAATTCACCGGACCTGCGGGCAAGCTTGCAAATTTTAGGCCGAAGGGCCTGTTAGAAATCTGCTGTTGGTGAACAACTTGTGATTGAATCAAGCTTCGAATACTGAAGGCCTAGTCTTATTCTTATCATTAATTTTATATGTAAGTATAAAACTTCGAGAAACAGATGGATAACTGACAAAATATAGCAAGTTTATTTTTCTGCATTCATGGATCGTTTGATGGAAATATATTTGATACATTAAACGTTTTTCTTTCCTCGTTAGCCCGTTTCCCTGAAGGATAACAAAGAATTCCTAAGCGATCCATGATCTCATTCTTTTGCCGAGTAAAAGCTTAACATGAAAACAAAATCGTTGGAAAGAAAAGAAAGAGTAGATATTGGAGAATTATTCATTGTCATTTTCATCTATTTCAATTGATTTTTAGCAGCTGCCACGTCAATGCATAGGCTGTTTTTCATCAGATCACGAATGGACTTGGACAAAATTTTGGTTGTATGGCAGTTTTTTTTGCCTAATTAAGGTAAATAGAGAAACATATTATCAAAATCGAGTGTTTATGGAACATACTCTTTGCCTAAATTGAAAATAGTCACGTACCATAAGTGTCTTTTCCACTTGAACCATTACTTCTTTTTTTTGTGTTAGTGTCAGTTTTATTAATAGCGAAACAATATTTTTAATTTAAAAATATCAGTATTATCAGATAAAAGACTAACATAGAACTTTCTATTGACACGTGTTATTAGAGTTGTCTAAAGAAATTTTGATTCTGATGTGTTGGCTACTGCCAATTTGACACCTGTGTATCGGTTATTGAACTTCCAACAATTTTGTGTCTGTCATTGAAAATTCAACATTTGTGTCTTGTGCACCATGCGACGAATTATCTTTTTACCCAGTATTTTTATTATAGCATTATAATTTTTATTAAAGCATTATAATCTTTATCCAATATAAAGTGTATTTAGCAACATTTTCACTATCCAAAAAAGATTGGGAGAAGGTTATAAAGCTAGTAAAAATTCTTCAGAGAAGGTGGATTCAGGTTAGAAGTTTTGTCTTTGATATTTTGAAATTAAAATTAAAATTTCATTACTAATATGAATTAATAATATTTCAAAGAAAAAATTTAGCTATAATTATAATATTATTATAATATAAATAAAATAAAATATAAAAAATGGATGTATTTAGAGTAAAAATAATTGTTATTTTATGTGATTACTTGTTGAAATAAATAAAATTTCTTCTTTTATGAATAAAATTTATTAACTATAGGTATAATATTTAATATGTGAATATAGATGTGTTTTAAATTAATTTATTAAATATTAATATCTATTAGTGTTTGTTGATATAATTAATTATTTTATAATTAAATTTTTTATATGCAGGATGAATGAAATTGTGATTATTTTATATTAGAATGGTAAAATATACAAAATAAATGAAGATATAATTTTTGAAGTGAACAAAAAGATGAGTAAGATAGAACTTAAGATTACTTTCGAGATGTTGAAAAGAAAAATACATATAAAATTGAAATTTTTTAGTATTAATGTTTTTCTAAATTGATTTCACGAAATTTAGTTGATGCAATGAGTGAAAATCACACGATTTTAGATATATATGATGATAAAGAAATTAATTGCATGATAAATGTATGTCAATAAAAAATGTTGTTAAATTATATGTAGATGTTGTGGTTGGTCAAACTCTCATGTTGTTGCATAATAATCAGCATTAATTTCTCACGTATTAATATTAGTGACAATGAAGAAGAGTATACAACAAGAAGATGTAATATATATTATATTATTAAATGATAATATATTTATATATATAAAAAATTTATTAATAAACCATGTCAATGTAGAATTTGCAAATGAAAATGATGACTATAAATATGAAGCACAAATTCTATTAGACAGTTCTTATGATACTTATTTGAAGGATTATTTTAATTCAATAATCAATATTTTAAATATTAGAAGAAATAGTAATGTGTAACAACAATCAATTGGTATTGTTTTAAATAGTGAATTATTTGTAAAATTTTAATAACTTACATCATGAAAGTTTAATACATATGTTGTAACAGGTTTTTGTATATATAAATTTATACTACACTAATATTAATTTGAAACACCCTGATCAAGAAATAAATTTTCCTAAGTTGCACGAGTCATAATCATGAATACAAGAAAATGCATTATATGTTAGGAAACTCTTTAACTTTAAAGATGATGTTAAAATGACTATAAAATATTATGCAACAAGTAAATATCAATTTATTATATATTTTTTTGTTGTAATTGAGTAAAAAGCAACAACTCGTGTTATGAAGTATGTGAATCATAATATTAAATGTCTTTAGAGAGTAAGAATATCGTTGTCCAAAAATTTTTAAAAAATAAAAAATATGTTTAATATTTGATCAATATCAAAATATTAAAGATGTAGCGTCAAACTCACATATCGAGTGACAATTTTTAAATATTTATTATATTTATTACATTCGTTACTATTTGTTACTATTTTTCAATAATAATTATTAATTCAATTACATTTATTTTTAACAATTTCATTTTTTTAATCATAATTATTTTTAATCTAATAACAATAAACTTCTAATTCTAAACAATATATTTATGTAATCTTATTATTATTAATTTATATATTAATTAGCATTTAACAACTTATATGACTTATTATAATTAAATTTTCTTCATTATTATTAAGTTATGTATTAATTAACATTTAACAACTTATATAGCTTATTATAATTAAAATTTCTTTATTATAATAAACAAATAAATTAATAAGTAATATTTTAACTACTCTATTTAACAAGTAAACTTTGTTACACTTATGTTCTTATTATTTAACTAATAATTTATTCTTATTAATCTAATTTATAAAACTATGAAATAATTTGTTTTCAAAATTCAGAACTCTAAATTACGGACTATTTATTTTAATTTCTCTTTTTTTTTTCAAATTAACATATTCAAATAAACTTAATAATGTAATTAATATATTATATCTTTATTATAATATTAATTTTAATTTTATCAATTTGTAAGTACTATTCTCCCTTACAAATTTATTAATTTTTAATTATATAATCTCCCCCTTTTTCTACTAATTTTATAAAATTAACCAATTTGCTGTCTTTCAATATAAATAGCTTATTTCTACCTCATTTCATTTTTATCATTTTCATTTTATCATTCTCACAAATAAGATTTTATTTTCTTAATCTATTAACAATCAACTTCTAATTCTAAATTATATATTTATATATTTTTATTATTAGTAATTTCAATATTAATTAGCATTTAACAACTTATATAACATATCGAATTACAATTTTATAATTTTAAAATTAAATAAATGCATAAATAACATTTGAATTGCTCTAATTTATAAAAAAAATTATTACACTTAATTTATTTTTATATTTATAATTTATTATTCTAATTAATCAAATTTATAAATACTATGATGACTAATTTTGTTTTCAAATCTCAACACTCGAAATTACTTACTATTTTTTTCAAATTCTTTGTGTTTTAATTTTTTCCTAATCAACCTATTAAAAAAACTTATGACAATTTTCTGAAATTAATAATATATCTTTATTATAGGATTTAATATTTATTCATTAAATTATAGTTATTTTACCTTAAAAATTTCCCAATTGTTAATTATATAACAAATTATGTTTTCTTTAATAATTTTACAAAATTACCATTTTACTATTTTCAGTTACAATTATTATTTCTACAACATTTCATTTTTATCATTTCAATTTTAATTTCTCACAAATATTATTTTATTTTATTTTATTAATCTAGTAACAATCAAATTCTAATCCACATATTTATATAATTTTATTATTTTACATTTCTTTATTTATTCACATTTAAATATGTTTATAATTTTATTATATGTACAATATTATAATTACAATAATAACTATTATTTCAATCAGTTTTAATTGTAAATAATACTTTTAAGCTACAAAATTTGAAATAATAAAACTAGTTTAATATAACTTTTAAATAAAGTTATAAATACCTATCTGAACTTTCTACTTTGTAAATACAAAATGTTAATATTTAAATTTATAAATACAATAAAATACAAAATATATATTTTGAATTTCATTTTTTACTGACCTCTCTGCTGCTGGATGTATCTAAAACCGTCACTCCTAGCAGCTCCAATGCGGTGGCTCTTTGATTTTTTTTTTTTAATTTTTTTTTTCTGAAACACTAACAAACTAAAAATATATTAAAATTTATATTTCATACAAAATAATTTCTTCCCACCGTTAAAAATGTCAAAATAGCGAAACCACCACAAACTATTAAAATCTCTAGTTTGAGAATTATTTTATCAATTTATCCTACTTAGGCGAAAAAGCCTCTAATGGGTGAGCTCTCCATTCCAAAGCGAGATCCATTTCTTGAGTGAATACGTGAATTTTCATTAATGCAAGTAAAGTTTCATAGTATGAATCAGCTGATGAGGAATTGAAGTGGATGAACATTCTCAGGTCATGAAACACCTATCTGTCAAGCTATCTCCCCATTTCACAAACCGACTCTTCTCCTCTTTCTTTAACAATCAATAGAAAGGGTTTGCAAATGCAATGCTGCAGACTAGTGCTAATCTCATCCGCACCCCCTCAAAACGGCTTCTCCTGCACCTCTATTCAACTCCCAAAACCCTAACGAGCGTCGCCACCGCCAGAGATGACTACTTCGCGGCCATCCACCACGTGTCGAACATCGTGCGGCGCGACTTCTACATGGAACGCACCCTCAACAAGCTCCGCATCACGGTGACGCCGGAGCTAGTCTTCCGCGTCCTCCGCGCCTGCTCAAACTCCCCCACTGAGTCCCTTCGCTTCTTCAACTGGGCCCGCACCCACCCTCCCTACGTCCCCACCTCCCTCGAGTTCGAAGAAATCGTTAAGATCCTCGCCCGCGCCAACAACTACCAAACCATGTGGTCCCTCATCCGCCACATGACCGTCCACCACCGCCTCTCCCTCTCTCCCTCCGCCGTCTCCTCCGTCATCGACGCCTACGGCCTCCACCGCCACGTTGACCAAGCCGTTCAGGTCTTTAACAAGGCTTCCCTCTTCAACTGCCCCCAGAACCTCCAGCTCTACAACGCCCTCCTCTCTGCCCTCTGCCACTCCAAACTCTTCCACGGCGCGTACGCCCTCATTCGAAGAATGGTTCGCAAGGGCGTAACCCCCGACAAGACCACCTACGCTGTCCTCGTCAATGCGTGGTGCTCCACCGGAAAAATGCGAGAAGCCAAATTGTTCTTGAAGGAGATGAGTGACAAAGGGTTTAACCCTCCCGTTCGAGGTCGCGATCTTCTCGTTGAAGGTTTGCTGAATGCTGGCTATGTTGAATCGGCCAAAGGAATGGTGAGGAAGATGATCAAGGAAGGATTCGTGCCGGACGTCGGAACATTCAATGCATTGGTGGAAACGGTTTGCAAGTCTGGGGAGGAGGTTCAGTTTTGTGTTGATCTTTATCATGAGGTTTGTGCATTGGGAATGGTTCCTGATGTTAACACTTACAAGATCCTCATACCCACAGTTTCCAAGGGTGGGTTGATGGATGAAGCGTTTAGGTTGTTGAATAATTTCGTTGAGGATGGTCATCGTCCTTTCCCCAGCTTGTATGCTCCTGTTATTAAGGCTCTGTGTAGGAGGGGCCAATTTGATGATGCTTTTTGCTTCTTTGGTGATATGAAAGCCAAGGGTCACCCCCCTAACCGTCCTCTCTATACCATGTTGATTACCATGTGTGGCCGCGCCGGCAAGTTTGTTGAGGCTGCTAACTACCTTTTTGAAATGACTGAAACGGGGTTGGTTCCCATAACTAGATGCTTTGACATGGTTACTGATGGATTGAAGAATTGTGGCAAACATGATTTGGCTAAGAGAGTACAACAACTGGAAGTTAATATCCGTGGTGTTTGATGCCTTATATCTCTGTCTCTCTTCCATTGCCCGTAGCCTGCGAGCCACATGCTCCAAAGTTCTTGACAGGAGTCTGAGAATGGAATATAGGTCTTCAGTCCTTCTTTAGCTGGGAGCATTGATCTCGGCGTTTGGTCATCGCAATTCGTTTTGCCTGAGTTTAATTCCTCAAGTTTCTCTTTGGGTGGCTCTATGGAGCTCATGGCTGTTCCGGAAAGAAAGGTAAGTTACTCAGTTTATTTGTCTATCTTTAAGGATTTTCTGCTCTTACTTGATACCCTAGAGATGTTGAATTTTAGTGCTGGGAATATCAATCAATAGAGTATAGGGATGTATCGCGGTGTTTTAAGCAGCATTGGTGTGAGTGAAGTAATTTGTTGATTTTTTTTATTGTTTGAATTTTGCATTTTTGCCTTTTTTTTTTATGGTTTTGTCCATCGTTTAGGTTTCTCCCCAAAAAAGAGGAATAAGGAATGGACCAAAAGCTTTGAAACCTGTTCCTGTGATTGTTCTATGCAAGTAAGCCTTAGTCTGTTTCCCAATAATGGTTGCAGTTATTTGTTATGTTCTGCATATATCTGGGGATTTCTTTAAATTAACTATAATAGAAATAGAGCCTTTGAATGTTTATGATCGGAAAGACATTTATTAGAGGCTTGGTTCATTAGCATATTCACTGTAGCTTATGCTTGATTCAGTTTAGGTGTTTTTCAGAACATATGCCTTTTTTCTGTCATTGCCTTCCCTTTTTCTTTGACTTTGGTTATGTTATTTGTCTCTTTCTTCTGAAGTGGATCGTTATCTTAAATTTTGATAGCTTAATTGTCCTTAGCATGCAATGATTATAATTCTTAAAAATCTACCAATGAGTGAAGTTATCAAATTCTGTACATACTATGATTTATCTATCACAATTACGGAAGGCCTACTTAATCTGAAGCTATGACTGTCAAGTATGTGCTCTATTCTAGGATGACAAAAGGGTATGAGATAGAAGTTCAATTATATGTTATTTTCTCTTCTAACCTTGCTCATGAATAGCCGGATACATGATTTCTTAGGCCTCCTTTTAGCAGACTAAGTGATGTTTAAGAAGTTCACTTAGAACCTGTTCGTGTAATACTCTAAATGGAGTTAAACTGGAATTGCAAAAGTTTTGCTGTGAGAAAACTTAGTTCTCAACGCAACTTGTGTCTAGATATATGTGCAACCTCCGTTTACATGGATAAACAAACAGGCTATTGGTATTTCTCAGAACCAGGGGGAAAAGAGAGAAGGCAGGAGGAGGGAGGATTAAAACTTTATTTCCTGTATATCTGCTATATGGTATTCCACCATGTACTGCCTGTGAAGGCTTGCAATTGCAGTTGCACTGATAAAATTCAAAATACATGTCTATTGCCTACACATGACTTGAATAAGTAGGTTTACTAAGTATATGTCTATTATATACTGTTGCCAAAAGACTAAAAGATTAAATTTATGTATTTTTCCGCTCAGATTTGAGTAATTAGCTCCGCTTTTCCTGCAGGAGCTGTGGTCGTGTCAGGCTTCCACACTTCTTCTGTTGCGGTGGGAAACCTGATAAGGGTAATACTGGTGAACAGAATGGTAGTACAAGCTAAGCAAGCTGTTTGGGATGAGGCACCGGACGTTGTTTCATGGGAATAGCTACCCATGTGTCTTTCCGTTTGGTAGTAATCCTTTATTTCCTTGTTTCTTAAGCAATGCCATTGTTGGATCCGAAGTGGAAAATTTACGAATTTTGGTGGTATTTTAATTTCATTTAAGAGTAACAGTTTTAGGGCTTCACTATTGATCTAAATGCTAATTTGTTTTTCATGTATAAAACCATTGTTCTCTAGAAGCTAAATAGAGGTTACGCGTATCTAAACTAGCTAAATAGCGGTGTAACTCAGATTTACAGTACCATATCATACTCAATAATGGTAAAGGTAAAAGGGAGTAAATGTAAATTCACTGGACCGGCGGGCAAGCTTGCAAATTTTAGGCCGAAGGGCCTGTAAAAAATCTGCTGTTGGTGAACAACTTGTGATTGAATCAAGCTTCGAATACTGAAAGCCTAGTCTTATTGTTATCATTAATTTTATATGTAAGTATAAAACTTCGAGAAACAGATGGATAACTGACTAAATATAGTAAGTTTATTTTTCTGCATTCATGGATCGTTTGATGGAAATATATTTGATACATTAAACGTTTTTCTTTCCTCGTTAGCCCGTTTCCCTGAAGAATAACAAAGAATTCCTAAGCGATCCATGATCTCATTCTTTTGCCGAGTAGAAGCTTAACATGAAAACAAAATCGTTGGAAAGAAAAGAAAGAGTATAGATATTGGAGAATCATCCATGGCCAATTTCATCGATTTCAATTGGTTTTTAGCAGCTGTCGCTTCAATGCATAGGCTAGTTTTTCATACAAAAGGGTTATCGTTGTCTCATGGCGTCTTTTTTTTTTTTTTTTTTTGCCTAATTAAGGTAAATTGAGAAACATTTTATTAAAATAGGGTGTTTACTGAACATATTACCTGCCTAAGGTGAAAAAAGCACATCAAATTATACGTACTCTCGTTTGAATATGATTGTATTTTGGGTTATGAACAAGATTGATTAATCATTTTTAATGTGTTCTTGAACATATTTAAATAAATAAATAAATATATATATATATATATATATAATTTTTTTAATTTATTTTTTTAAAAAATTGCATGAGAAGTTAATTAACGATTAAAGGTAGGCAATCGATGAAGGAGCAAAGAGGAGAGAGAGATGGAGGAGAAGGAGAAAGGAGAGCGATGGAGCGGAGCGATGACGAATCTGACGGAGATGGGTTCGAATCTGGAATCTCTCCAGAAGCTTCTCCTGACCAAAGCTGTCTTCGTGGACGATGAGACCTTCGCCAAAGCCTCCCTCACCGCCGACCAAGCCCGCACCATCAAGCTTCGCCAACAACGTGTCGATACCTTAGAGAAAGAAGTCGATGCTGCCATCACTGCCGCCGCTCGCGCTCGTTCCGAAAAACGCCAAGCCGAAGCTGCTCAGAAAGCCGCCGAATCTCGCGCTCAACAGCTCACTACTGAGCTCGAAAACACCACTAGTAATCTCTTCCTCTCCTTTCAATTTCATTTTTCAATTATTCCCAGCGCCAATTTAAGTTTCAAACAGTTCTGATCTGTGATCGCTCGCCAAAGCTAATCGTTTCTATTTTTATTTTTTTAATCATATAGAGGTGTTTGAACTTCACATGGAAGAACTGCGTGCAAAGCAAGAAGAAATCAAGAAGCGTGACGAGGACATCAAACTTCTCGAAGCTATTATTCAAACTCTTGGGGGAAAGGAATCGATCTCTACTTCTGTGTAAAAGTAATTGTTTTAAGTGTGCTCGATACCTTAACACTGTAATAGATGTTGTTTCCATATGGATATTATTTTTTACACGAATCGATTCTCTGCTGCCACTAATTGAAGATTATATAAAGAAAATTGTGGTTGTTTAACGTTGGGTTATGGCATGAAAAGAATTTCCTTGGCACTCATACGTTATGACTGATCATATTGCTTCAGATTTCAGAACATGGGTATATATTGCTTTCTCACAGTTGCAGTGAATAGTACCTTTCCGAGGTATATATGCTGTCTAAAACCTATGGAAAAATTCCTCATTCATTTGTCTCTGGCATTTCTTGCAAGTCAAAATGCCATCTTCCTAATATTTTCATCACATTTGTCCACTTCTCATACACCCTTTTTTATTTTCTTAGTTGAGACAGCACTGAAATGCTTTGTATATAAGGGCAGTTAAGATGAACACTTACTGAAATTCCCAAGGTGACAGTGGAGGTGTGCCCTGTGTGGCGTAAAACAATTAAGAAATCAGTGGTCTTTCTCACTCATCTTTCTATTTATTACTTATGCTGTCTGCTATTATATATATATATATATATATATTTCACTCCTCAACTTTCTTCTTTAGACTCTTACGTATTCAGGTTACCCGCCTTCCTCAGATCTCAACTTCTCCTAGCCTTCGTTCTTCAAAAAACTCTAGCTACTGTGTGCATTAGCTTCCCTGGTTCTTCCTTTTATAATCGTGGTATTAGATCCTCTATATTATTGGCCCTTCATGAAGCAAGTGGATTCCCTACAGGGACAAACTATTTAAAAACTAATTTTGATTCATTTCGAATTTAATTTTTAAACTATTATATGATTATATATATTATTATATTGTATTATGATTTTAGATTCTTGGATAATTGTCATTATAGTTAAACTCTTCTAATAATGTGAACTAATTATTAGATGAATTAGTAAAAATATAACTTTTGAATTAGAAGAATGTTCACAACAGACTTTTTAAAATTATTCTTTATCATTGAAATTTATTAGGACAAATTGCAATGAACTTTATTCATAATTTTTAAGTTTCAATAAATCTTAATAAAAAATTATTTAAAAAGAATGTGTTATAGATTGTATCGTTAGATTGACAAAAATAAAAAAGATCGTGTTGTTAATATTTTTTTAACAAGAGTTTGAAATCCAAAAAGAAAAGTAAAGACAGTTAAGTAAAATTAAATTTAAGTAGTCAGAAGCAGTATAGGATTAAGCAAAAGAGAATCTTAAAACAGACATTGAAAAAACAATGAAGTGAGGGACCAGGATCATAAAATACTAATCGGTTATGATAAATGTTACTATTTTGTTAGTTAAAATTTTCTCCTTTAACAGGGGAGGTAGGACCTGAATCCAAAGCTGTATGAGAGAAACCTCGTATACCGAGCATCCACACCTATATGGTATGGGTTAAGCAAAGGTATATGATCCAACTCAGTTATACCAAACTTGCTGCTTGGTCTTTTTCCTGTTGTCATTCTCGTTGTCTACATTGTAGACGTTTCTATTCTCTTTTTCTTTTTTGATCCAGTGGTCTTTACTTCCTTTTCCTTGCTAAACGTGCTCCACAATGAAGCAAATAAAATACCATATGTCAGATAACAAGAAAAGAATTCATGCACTTTATTCAAATGCCATATCTACGCATATTGCAGAGTGAGCATTTTATCTGTTCGACCTTTTTTATAAGTGGAAAATAATAAAATAAACCTTGTAAATTTCACGAAGGATAAATAATACGTGCCAAGAATCACAGCATGTTATATTTTACTCTGCCTAAAAATTGCAAATGGCTAAGTTTACTTTTAATAAAAGGTAACAACAAAACAAAACAGAGATATTTCATGTCTAAAAATTTGGTGAACAAATAATACATGCCCAAGAATCACAAATCATGTGGCCGTTATATTTTACTCTGCCATTGTGTTGCATGCATATAATATGTTGAGTACAACTTATACCATGTTAAATAAACAATTTATCTATCTATATCTATTAAATATGGCAATAGACAGATTCGAGATAGAAATTATGTGTCAGATGATTAGCATGCTGCATGCAACTGTCATCAAATCCTAGAGTTCCTTGTCTGTTTGAGTACAACTTCGGTCAAAAGGAAAAAAGCCATGTTGGACCTGTCAAAGCCAATCATTTCAAATTCTCATACACTCATTACTTTGCGTGGATCGAAAACCTCGGGGCTTGTGTCGCATATTCTAAAGCTTAATGTGCTTGTGTCCCTGAAAAAGCATATGGTTTTGCCTTATTCTACTAGTTTAAACACCCAGCAGACTCAAAACCCAAGACACTACCCCCTTAATGTTTCTTCAAACTTTAGTTGATCTTGTCTTTCGTTTAACATATAAATAGCCCTCCATGTCCCTGTCTCACAGATTAACTCTCGTTTCAATTGTTTTCTAATCATTCTGTCTCACTTTATCCTTCACTCCTACCCTGTTTTCCCTCTCCAAATCATCACTCTATAGCATCATTTCCTCTCAGCAGTTTTAATGGAGGTATTGTTCCTTGAATTTTAATCTCATAAACTATTACATGGTTTATTCAGAAATTATCTCTCATTCTTGCATATTAGGCCATTGACAATTATGCTGAAAAACTATACAAAATTCGGCGACTTTTTAGTTTGGTGGAAGTATTATAGAGGATGCTATTTTATTAAATTAATAAATGAAACCATGTATGCTCTATCAACAAACCGATTACTAGATGAATTAAAAGGGTATCACCATGGCCTGATTAGTTGGAAAATAATATTAACACCAATTAATCTAACCTTGGTTGAATGGTTCTTAAGAAATGCAGATAATTCTGTTCAATAATATTCAATAACTATTTTTCTTTGCAGGTTGTTGAGTTAAAAGTGGAGATGGTTTGTATACATGAGAAAAGACTAAGGAAATGCCTCTCAAAATTAAAAGGTTCGTTTAATTGATACAGATTTTGCTAATCAGTGCCACAATAATTCTTAGTTAGTTGTTGTATTGATGTGTGGTATTGTTTATGGATCCACAAGCAGGGATAGAGAAGGTAGAAGTGGATACTAACTGCCAGAAGGTAGTAGTCACTGGATACACACACAAGAACAAAATCCTAAAAGCAGTTAGGAGAGGGGGTCTCAAAGCTGACTTCTGGTCTGCTCAGAATGAGTTGCTAAATGCTTATGTCAGTGCCAATTATGCTAGCTTGAGATTCAACCCCTTCAACTTCTTCTAATTTTTCTCATCCCCTATTCCACCAAATTTGATATATTCTTTTGTTTTGGAGGGGATTTCTCTTTGGGCTTTTATATCTTCTGTCCGGCGTGGGATGATAGATATATACACTAGTTTGTATTTTTCTTTTCTCTTTTTTACATAGAAATCATGACCATTCACAATGTTCGACGAAGATATTTCAGTGTAATAGAGACATGTCCAGCTAAGTTTTGAGGCCTCTATTATTGCTACAAATTTCAAAATCAGGCTTTCTTGGTCTGCATGCAACTGCGATTATTTCCTGAATGATGCGGTTCCCTTGAAAGATATATTGAATTTCAAAAAGATAACTAAAATAAAATTTGCATTTTGAAATCTCATTTAAAGATAATTAAGTCCTACTAATTTACGCACCCACACTATCCATGGGTGTTATGTTCCACTTTTTCTTGCAGGTGTTAGTTGATATATAAGATTCTGTTTACAATATTATAAAACAAAATTGAAAATCATATTCTCCAAAGAATCTAAAATATAGGAGCACAACTGTCTTCTAAAATTGCATCGTTATTGATACCTTTAACCCTTCACCAACTCGTATATATTATTGACAACTCGATTGACTCTGTTTTGCACTTCTTTAAACCAGTGACTTCGATACTCCTCTGTTTAATCTGTTTTAACAATAAGTTGTTCCTTTTAAGCGCATAATAAACTTAAGGTTGAGAAGCACCGGGATAATAATAAATTATGCTATCTAACTTTTGTTGATGGTTGGACATGAGTCAATTGACAGGTGATTTGCAATATGTATTGATATCACTCCTGTTCATGGTTAAGAGATGAATTGGTCATTACTCAATCAAATTTAATAAAAATTCGGCTCATCATCTTTAATACCTACTGATTATGATTCTACGGTTTATTTGTCATGATTTGGCTGGATATCCATGTTTTTATTTAAGACTGAAAAACATTTACTGGTATGTTGTACTGTTTAAGCAGTTATTGATGGATCGTGCTAGAATATTTTCGTAGATTTTAAAGTGCATTTTTCCATCTATAAAGATCGGTTAACAAAACAGCAGCAAAATTTGTTATTGGATGCAGCATTTGATTAGTAATTTGGCCTTGTAGACTCAGTTCGGTTAATAAAAAAACCACTATTATGTTTAGGAAAATGGGGTTTACAATTCTCTTCGTCACAATGATAATGCTTTGTATCAAGCTTAAGCTTATCGTCATTACACCTTAACCCGACTATTAATGAAATCATTAGTCATTACCCCTATTATCACTCCAATTAACCACTCAAAATTACATTCACAACCCTATCCGGAAAATAACGAACCAATGACAACTACACTAGATAAGATTGATCATTGAGCACGTGCAGCCTAGAATATCTCTGCCATAAGCCGCTGCCACTCAAACACTCGCATAACGTTGTTCCAAATTCGAGTTGTACATCTCAAGACCATAAATTGAATTAGACGACTCACTTTTGTACCTATTTTAAACATACAACTGATAAAATAGGTTCTATGTAGAAACTACAATTACTAATTGTAAGTATCAACAATTTATTTTCTATATTTAATTTGGATTTATTTTCATACCTGTAAAATTTTATACAATTAGATTTCACACCCCACATCAATCATTCAAAACTCTAAAGTCCACTGAAGAGAAAAGAGAACATTCAATATTTGCTGTGCGCTGAACCAACCTACCAAAATAAATACCAGAAATCACTCTACTCCCATAACAAGGGCACAAGACTCGGGTGGAAAAATTAGCTCTTAACTAAAATTTAATATTTTCAAGACAAAAAAACCTTTATCCGGATTTACCGTATAGCAAAACCCTAATTAAATGTACAAGTTTATTCGTTCATTTTATAGAAAATTCTGTACCAGAAACAATGATTATCTCCAATTATAGCCCGAGTGTATAATATATTTTTTCTCACCATCCCCATAGTGTAATGTATGCATTTCGATTGGGAGCTAGGTTCATTAGTTATTCATGTCTTAGAAAATGTGATAAATTAAAACGACCATCAACTCTACCTAAGGGAACTCATTAAAAAGAAACGTCTCTAAAAAACACATTGGTTGTTATTTCAGTTGCAAAACAGTAACCACATCACTTTGCAATGGTGATCAGTGTCATAGCAACAAATGACCAGCAATAATCCCATAAGAATAAACCAATAACTGAAATTGAATCAACAAAACCGATCACCAGCTTAATAGTGAAAAAGATTTGTCAGGACTCAGGCGGCATTGGAATCAACATAAATCAGCAGCACAGCTAGACAGCCATCATCAGTGCCAACCACTAATACCATTGCCAACCCGACCCCAGCAAAAAGGGCAGCAACAGTCAGCTACAGTAATTGGTTAATGCTTCAAATTAATCACGAACACAAGCATTTCATACAAAAGATGCATCAGCAACCACCTCACAGCTACAGTGTCATGGAGCAGGGTGCTACAACAAACGTTTATCACTACATTAAGTAGCAGATGTTATAATCTTGAAAGGTCAAATGTTAAAAATTATCCATTAAAACACCCTAAAACAAGTAACCGTGAATCTATTACCATTGTCCCCTTCTCAGTGATTTGAAATAAACACCAGCACATTTAAGTTCATATTTAGTACCCACAGTTTTATGTTTAGTATCTGCATCTGAATCAACAAATGACAGGTCCAACTCCTAGGAGGCACCAGCTACATGTCAAAATATGCTCAACTTGTGTTCATCACCGCATCAAGAATCCCTCTCAGGACAATTTTTTTTTCGATGAAGAACAAACACGGTTACCAGATCAAAGATCAGAATTCTCAGTGGTTATGAGGGATCTCATAAGAGAAAAAGAAAGCAAAACCAAAAAAGCTTACCAATGATCAGATCATTCAGCAAAAAACCAAGTCAACTAATTGTCTGTCTAACCAGCACACTGGTAAAACACAGTCCTAAAACCACAGCATATCTTGCAATCAGCATCAAATTCACGGCCAATCATCAATGACATAGAAACAGCATCAACAGCAACAATGTCAACATGCGCCTATCAGGCCCCCATCACTTTTCCCGATCATAACTATAAAACCCAATAAGTTGTTCAATAAAAATTAATTGACCTTCAACTAGATCACAACCATTCCTTCCTATAAATTGGGAAATGATAATGGAGAAATGGAGAGAGAAATGCAAATAGTAGAATGAAAATAAGATGGCAAAATCCCTCAAACTGAAATATTAATCTATCAACTGCAAGGTCTACTAGTTACCCAACACCGAAGTAGATGACATAAGTCCAACTATAGTAACATTCAAACATCAAGGAAGTCTGACCCTACCAAACAGCACTTAGATCATAAAATCCTTCAATGACTCTGATAAGACCATTCACATTTGACTACAAGATCGAACAATAGCAAAACTGCTACAGGTGCAAGTGTCTTGTGTCTCCTGAATTTTCAAGAAAAGCATAGCTATTCCTGCAAAAGAGAAGAAAATTTAAAAATCACAATATGTAGAAAAAATACCTTGTTGACTTAGAAAGTACAAATTTAGCAATTTATTACTGCACTTTTAAGAACATTACTTACATCACCATTTGAATTTCGAGGGGATGGGCTTCGTGAAGCATCAGGGCGACCGCATGGTGAGACACTGCGAGGTGTAGGAGACCTTCCATCACGGCTACGATTGTCAGGACTTTCGCGTCGTGGACTTTTCCTGGGGGAAGTACTCCTTTGAGGGGAAACACTCCTCTGAGGGGAAGGACTCCCTCGAGGACTAGGACTGCGACGTGCAGGGGAGCGGCTATGCAGGGAATAACGATGAAAAAGTAAGATTAAAAAATAACAATCTTGATGATAAAAGAAAAATCACAGTTGAAGGAGCTAATTATCAATGAATGAAAACCTATCCACTGATCTGCTTCTGCTTCTACTACGATGCTCATCATCATAGCGTCCCCTACCACGACCCTTGTAATCAAGACTGGTGCTCCGGCTCCTGCTTCGGCGACGAGAATCTCTATCTCTCCCACGGTACCTGTCCCGTTCATACCTATCATAGCTCCTGCTGCGACTTCTCCTCCTGTAATCCCGGTCTCTGTAATCATCACGATATCTGCAAAATAATTGGGAAATTAATCAATGCACACCTACAACAACATCAATTAAGAATGAATGACCAAACAACATTGGCTATTATAAAAGCATTTTAATTACCAAAAACAGTTTTCAAAATGATAACTTGATAAAGTGACATGTTTGATAATCAATTGCTTTAGGGATTAATAGTTCTTCTTCCTCAAAATTCATTAGTCTGTAAGAAAAATCTTTTCTCAAAATTTGGTAATCAAATTATCAAAACATGCAAACGTTCCTCCTGAGCACATCACCAACGAAATAGATGAAACCTATTATAAGCATGGCATCATTGGCATAACACTGCAGCCACAACAGTTTGTGTTGCATGGGATTTTTCCAATCATACAAGTTAATGAGCCGATCTCAGAAAAGTAAATTAACATCTCATTACAGTCCAAAATTAGATTGCTTGAAACGGAGCTTGACTGTCACAAAAACAAAGCATTCAATATATCAATGATGATTATAAAAATTTGGGCATCCATCAGAACATAAAAACAAAAGCTAAGAAATCACATGTAAACGTAATTGAAACATAGCATTCAATTTATCACAAGCAATCAAAACAGTGTACAACTACAATCAACGAGACAAATAATTCTAAAATGGTTACTTAGAAAATCTCATGACAGAAAATCCCTGACATTCTAGAAGTGACAAGGGAATTTAAAAACAGCAAACCTTCTTTTAGGACTGCGGCTCCTTGACCGGTACCTTGATCTTGGGGTAGTTTCAATAATCCTTCCTTTGTGACTGCAAATTAAAGAAACTTAATTAAGCAAAGGATAGATGCATAAGAATCCATGAGAAACGTAGGCCATCATTCAAGAAAGTAAAGAAAAACATTATTCTGAGAGTAGAAAAAATAATACAATATAGTATATTTTGTTTCTTCTATTCTTTTCCTCTATCCCATCAAAACCCATCAACACTTACCCTCATCAAATCCCATTCTCCCCCCCCCCCCCTCCAACACCACTTACTGTGTGACAATGGTGAATGTCTCAGACAAAGTGATGAGGAATGGAAAAATCTTCCAAATAACTATAAAATAATTTTCATTCTCAAAAATACATGAAGTCAAGAACCCACTCAAGAAGATTTAGCTCAGTTTGAATTAACTTTTCAACAAGTACTTACGAGAGACAAAAAAAGGAAGAAAAATAAATCTCATTATTTTCTTCTCTTACAAGTGCTACTGCACAAGCTTACCCAAACTGAAACATTGTAAAATGGAGTAACCAAATTAAAAGTTAAAATCTGAAATGGCAACAACATTATAACAGTAATGAACAAATAAATAATCAAAGAAGAGCAAAGGACTTACATCCTCTCAGCATTAGGCCCATACTTTGCAAACTGGACCGTTATTTCACGACCATCAACCATTCTTCCTGAAGAGTTATAATTTTTCTCATTTAAATTAAAAATATATTTAATTAAACGAAAAATAAAGAGTTAGCACAGATGAATAATACGCATACCGTCGAGCCTATCAACGGCCTTTTGAGCCTCATCAGCATACTTGTAACGCACGAACGCAAAACCCCTCGACTCACCAGTCCTTCACCAAAAAAGAATAATAAATAAATAAATAATGTATGAATAAAAAGAGGGAATGAAACGAGAAATTGAAGTACCTTCGATCTTTGGGGATGAAGATGTCCACGACCTTCCCATACTTATCAAATAGAGGGAATAGATCATCAGCGGTTGTGCCTAAACAAAATAAGATCCGGTGTAAGGTTAAAGATTAACAGAACAACTGAAACAGAAAAGGGAAAACAGAGAGAGAAGACAGAGAGCTTACGGAAGGTTATATTGAGAACGAGAAGAGAGTAAGTGTCGGAGATGTCTGGGGGACCCGACCTACCGAAGTGAGACATGTTTGTTTGCAGAGAAAGTGAAAGAGAAAAAGAAAAAGATAAGAGAAATGGCGATTAGGGATTAAGGCTAGGGTTTGGGTTTTTTTGGGTCTGTGATGTCTGTCAAGCATTGCCCGCAGAACCTTCTTGAATACTCACTTTGCCTCCGCCTCTATTTATGAAGCATACAACATTTTTTTAACGTTTTTTGAAAAACAACGTTGTCTGCGTGCATTTTTTTTTTCTTTTCTTTTTTCATTGAAAATTCCCTTTTCACAAGTTTATTATCCTTAAACTAGTAAATATCTCAGGGTATTTGTATAATTTTAATTTCTTTTTTATTAAATTTATTTATTTAAAAATATAAAATATCTAATTTAAATATAAAAAATATATAAATATAATAAAAAATATTATATTAAATATAATAACATTGAAAAAAATATAAAATACTTTATTTTTTATATAAAATATTTGTTATATTCTGTATATTTATTATTCTTTTCAATAATAAATTTTTTATTTTTTTATGTTATTTTAGACAATATAACATATAATAATTATAATTAAATAAAAATTTTATAAAATATAATTTTACATAATTTAATAATTAGTAAATATATAACTTAATATAAGATTTAAATTTTAAATAAAAGACCTTATATTTTTTATTTATATATTTATTTACATTTGTTGAACTAAATTTTTATGATAAATTAATTATAATTTAAAATTATTAATAAAAATTTATTATATAATTATTAAAAGATAATATAATATTTTACAAAAAAATTATCAGAGTAATATATACAAAAATAAAATTGTATTTATTTAACTAATATATAAAATTTTAAAAATTTAATTTCATTATCAATATATACAAAACTATTATATTAATATCTAAATATAAAAATATATTAAATTTTTATATAAAAATAAAATTATTATACAATATTATTGTAAATAAAAATTAATAATAATACAATATATATTCTGAATTTAGAAGTTTACTTGTGGATAAAAATAAAAAAATATAGAATTGAATTTTTTTAAAATAATTAAATTACTAATTTAATAAAATTAACATTGATTAACATTATAAATAAATTAATTTTATTTAATAATTAATTAAGTATAATAAAATTATGTTATTTGGATCATAAAATTAAAATAATAAATTTATTAATTTTTATGCATTTATTTTTAATTTTTAAAATAATTAATATAGTTTGTTTATCATTTTAATTAAGAATTAATAAAAATAAATAAATGTAACTATAAAGTAATTTAATGATATAATAATATTTTAAAAAATTTATTAAAAAAACAAATATAAATTTAAATAAAATTTAAAAAATTAATTTAAAATTCTAGATGAAAAAAAATATTTAGAGTGAATTAAAAATAAGTATATTATTATTAGGTATGTAATTATTTTAAAAATATATTAATATAACTTTAATATAAACATATTAAAATATTATACTATCATTGAAAAAATAGATGTGTTTTAATCATTTTGACATAAGTATGATATATTTAAGATTTGATGATTGCTTTTAAATATATTTTTTATGTGATATTCTTGTGTCTGTCTCTATATTTTAATATATGATACATTACCTAGTTATACGAATAAAAATTAACATTTAGTGAGCCTGATTTAAATATACCTTTTTAAATTAAAAAAATGTATAATTTTAAGAATATAACATGATAAATAATTATATTAATAAAAAAATTATTTGTATTTATTTAACATTTTTACATATAATACCTGTTAATTTTATTTTTATAGGCAAAACATATATTATTAGAGAGAGTTCAAAGGAAACTTAAAACTCATATACATAGAAAAAAAAACTAATACTTACTCAGAAAAATAAAAAATAAAAACATACTTATGCAAAGTTAAGATTGATGCAATATTGTGGGATCAGATACCAATCAACTAACAAAATAGTTTCTCCCTTACTAACAAGTAATAGTCATTTCCAATACTTTAGAATAATAGAATCTAGGACTTCCCTCTCATCTAAAACACTATTGGAAAACACAATTCTATTTCTATGTAACCACAAAGACTACACTGTACTTACCTAAAAAATTAATAAACATATCACTTCTATTTTACTACAACCAATACTAACCCATGAATCGATAAATCTAAAGGCAAAATTAGTGAGAATCCAAGCCAATATGCAGTAAAGTACTAGATTTGAGATGAAATTAAGCATGTTATAAACAAATGAGTTGAAAGTTCCTCCAAATTATAACAGAAGCAATAAGTTATATCATCAATTTGAACACCACAATCAATCAACAAACTTTTACAAGGAAATGCATTCAACAACAATTGTCAAGAAAATACTAGATATTTAAGAGGGACCTTCCCTCTCTATAGTCTTTGCAAGGTGCCCACCGTACACTGATCTATACTATTAGGACCACCAAAAAGTTTAAATAGCTATGAATACGCATATTATACTGAATAATAACCTAAAGAATCTGCCTTTTATACTCATTTATCTTCTTGTAGCACCTTAATAGAAACTTTATTCATAAGCTCTAACAAAATATTAAAGCTTGAGATTTCATGTTGAAAGAGTCCTCTTTGTCAACTAACATCTTAAACACACCTACTGCTATCATGAAAACTATTCTCCAATACACAAGATTCAACATTTCTCGACACCGGCAACAATCGCGGAAATACCTCACACACCTTATCTCTCCAAAAAAAAGTGTGTGCAAACCTGCACCCATACTCTTATCTAACTTCTCATTCAACCATGAATTTTCTTGAGGAAGAACCTTCAGCAAATCACACCACCACAAAGAACATTTGTTGTGGACTGATGGACGCTGAATAGAAGAAGCTAATCTGCCATACCTAACTTCTAACACCCGCACCCACAATGAACTAGAACAATTAACACCTTGCCACAACTATTTATCAAGAAGCGCCTAGTTAAACTCCTGCACATTTCTAATGCCTAAGCCACCATTCTTTAGCAATCAACAAACCGTTTCCCATTTCACCCAGGGGATTTTAAATTCATCCTTAACACTTTTCCATAAAAAAATTCTGTTGGATAGTAACAATCTCATTTATCATCGACTTTGGCACCTTAAAAAAGGATAACGAGTTCAATGGAATTAAGGACGGTGTTAATCAAAGTCGCCCTTCCATGCACTAGGCTTCCTCGAGGTAACACCTAACTATAATCCGAGATACTTTAATAGGAAGCTACTAACCTTACAATGTAGGAACTCTACAGCTAAATTTTCAAAGTTATCGCCAGTATTAATCCCTAATACACAACTTTTATTGAAGTTAATTTTCATACCCGACATTAACTCAAAGCTATGCAATACTACTTTCAAAGTCTATAAGTTATGAACTGAAGCATCTCTCATAATCAATGTGTCATCAGCAAATTGCAATAGAGAAATATTCGGTCCACCAACTCTAATTTTCTCACTAGAGAACAACCCTCAGAGCATTAACAAGCCCCTCATTCTGTAGAACAGAAACTCTCAATAAATCATTATCAATAATAGATCAAAGCCAACTTCTACTACTAAAATGATTCGCAAAATAAGACACCACACCTACTTTAATCTCATCAACCTCTTCGACACATCTCTCCCCAATTTGAAGCGCATGTATATTATTTCGTCGCCTCCTCCCGTAAATACACAAATGAAAGAACTTTGTATTTAAATCACTTTCATTCCTCCATCGCATCCGAGCTTTTTGAGTTATGAGACTCTCCTTATTCTTCCTAACCTTCCAAATATCACCCACCAATATTTATTTATCGCTCCTTCTCCACATCAGAAAGTTGCATCACATAATTTTTATCATCAATTAAGCTCAACTCAGTTAAATAAAAAATCACCTTATCAATATTCTAAACACCTCAATATTCCATTTTTTAAATGCAATCTTAACATTTCTCAACCTCCAGCTAACTCTCTGAGCAGCTCATGAAATAGTAATATCTATTTTTCATGCTTCCTCTACCATCTCCACAACTCACTTATGAGTCAGCCAACAATTATTAAGTGGAAACGACTTCAAACCTCAGTTAACCACTTTGTGCTTTAGAATAATGAGACAATAATCAGATACATTTCTATTCAGAACCTGAATAAAACCATCAGCCCAATAATCAAGTCTGGAACTAGAAACAAGGACTTTATCCAACCTGCTCATTATAGAAGCATCCCTCTTATCAATGTAAATTTCTTACCCATAAGTGGAAGATCCACAAGCTCCATTTCCTGAATGAAAGAATTAAAGCCATCTATTTTAAAGATACCATGGTCTGCCTGACAACCCTTCATCCCTTTCACTTGTCTCACGACATTGAAGTCACCCAATATACACCACATAAATTTGCCAAAACCTTTTTTTGTCATGAGCAAATCATCTCATAACTTTCTTTTCTCATTTAGTCTATATGATGCATAGACATTCACCACAACACATAGGTTCCCAGTAGCCAATAACTGCAAGCAACACCTAGGAATCTAGTACCAGAAAAGGAGAAAAGTATTTTACCTTTGGATGTATCCCAAAGTGAAAGCATACCCCCGCTTTTGCCAATGGAGGACAAGGCAATCCAATCAAAATCCACAGAACCTCACAAACGTAGACATAAGTTACGATTACATGTCTCAAGTTTTGTTTCCTGAATCACCAATAACTCCAGACCTTCAGAGCAAACAATCTCACACACTTTCTTTTGCTTCACCTCACTCCCTAGCTCTCGACAATTGAATGAGCCAATCTTCATTTAGAACCAAAGCAAACCCCATGTTTATTCGCAATTGTTCTGTCACGTACCTCCATCTCAATTAATTTCTCTCGAACCTACTCATTATTCCCATGTACGACGATACTAACCTTCTTGTCAATGTGTAATAACCTCAACGCCACTACCTCATCATCACAATCTGCAACAACCATTCGCTCTCCTACCTCAACTGAAGGATTAGAAGGATGCGAATTGTAGGAGCTCTTGGAAGCATTAGCCGAAATTTCATCAGCTAGCGATACCTTCTTTCTAAGTTGCAACGACATTGATGCTTCTTTACTGTGATCCTTAAGGTTTTTTGAGGGGGATCTATGGAAACCACACTCTTCTGTGTCTTCCCTCCTTCATC